GGTTGGAATCTGGCCCGCGAAAAGGAGACGGCGGAGGGGTAGTTTGTTAAGGTAAGGCAGGGAGGTACCTAGTTTTTTTTTTTTCTTTTGGCGGTTTTGGCTTGCAGACGTCCACGAGGAGGGGTAGAGGTTAGACAGAGAGGAGTGGACACTGATGAATTGAATGGGGGATCGACTGGTTCGAATGGGAATTATTTTTTTTCGCCCCCTGGCCTTGGGGAGTTCCCAGCAGACAGAGACAGACAGACAGACAGACACAGACGGCGGGCTGCGTCGACCTCCCAGGCTTCAAGGGGGGGGAGGGAAGGGAAGAGAACTTTTTGGCTCTTTTTCTCCCTCCCTTCTTCCCCCCCCGGCCACTCCCAGCCAAGCGACGGAAAAGGGCTGCGTACACGTACTATTTTTTTACCAGATTGTTACTAGGTGAGTATTACTGTTGTTTTTTTTTCTTCTTCTTTTTTTTTGTTCTTTGAATTTGTAATTCGGGCGCTGATATGAATAGGCCTCGCCCAGATGGCGATTTCGACACGGCAGTCTGAACATCCTACCGTACCACCATCCTACATACTGCATAGTCTAGACAGATGAAGATCGGGTGGGGACGAGCAAGGACTGAAGCACTGGGAGTTAAAACGAGGGATGCCAGCCCGTACCATGGGCCGTGCAGAGTACGGAGCAGCATCTTAAAGGTATTTCCCATCTTTCTCCGTGCCAGAGCGGACGATCCAGCTGCGGAGTCGTGGTGGAGTCGCCCAGAGTGTCGTGCGTAAGAGCTCCATAGAGTCTACTTATCTAAATAGGTTAATAAGATAGTAACTAAGTAGTAACTTGAGTGCAAATACTCGTGGTAACTATAGTTACTACATAGTTAGTAGTAGCTTTGTAACTAAGTACTACTCCTATACTTTGTATACACTTATGGTCTACCTTTAGGATGGAACGGGCCATTCTCAAACACCAGGTGTCGCATCAACACGGACAGTAAATCCTAATTATAAACATTAGACACACTGATAAACTATATAGGAAATAGAATAATTTTAACCAACTACCTGGGTAGAGTATACTAGTTAGTTAACTATCTGTGGCTACAGTACAAGTACAGTACTAAGTCCAGACCGCTCTCCTCAGTCTAGCCTCGCCTCGACCGCATAAGCAGCAAACACAGCAGGTTTCCAGTAAGCATGGGTACCTGATGGACGACAATCGGTGTGGTGAGCACCAATAACAATCTTGGGGCTGGCTAGGCCGAATATTTTTGTGGTTGAAAAGACAAGCGTGTTACTTGTATAAGAGACCTCGGTTCCAGGCGACAATCAGGCAGTCAAATGTAGAGCAGAGAACTGACCCTTTTTTAGGAAGGGCCAGGGCCCATGGGTAAGAGTAAATATTCATGTAGTAATGTCTTATCTTCATCATCTTCATTCTCTTTCTTCAATATACTCTATACTTGTATTCTTGGGAGTGGTGAAGAAACCACTGTAGTCTCACGCACTCTCAAAAGCACAGAGAAGTCCCCTCGTCGGGTAGTCTACAATGCCATGGAAGAACAAGACAGAACTCCCAGATGGCGCACTAGATTATTCAACTTCACATGAGATAGCATATTTAAGCTTGAATTGATCAATATGTTATTACTCTTCATCAAATGACTACACATGGGCTCGTTTTCGCGTCAAAAGATTCCCCGTGGTTAAAAACCCCTTGTCTCCCATTGAACCGCGCCATTCAATCGACAACTGCCCTAGGATGGCTCGGCCATCCCGCTTCAAGTCCTTCTGAAGAGCTTCCAAGCCATCGGTCTGGTTTTCTTCCTGTTCAACGAGAAATGCAACCTGGAGGATATCCCGTGGGTTCAGGGAAGGCTGCTGCGTATCGGTCGCCTCCGTGTCTCGATAGTCCCAGTTCAAGGTCTGTGACTTGAACGGCGGTTTGGGATTCAGCTTTGTTCGCTATTTTTCACGTCAGCAATTGGTGGAATCTTAAGAGCTTAATTCAATATAAAGTAAACGAACCTCGACGACCACTGGCCCTTCCCCCACATTCTCAAGCTGTGCCTCGAGCACAAACCGAACGAGCCCAGTCTTCCCGTACGGTCCAAGGGACTTATTCTCGATCTCGAACGGCGGTAACTCGGAGGCCTTGGTTCTGACACTGAGACAGGGCTGCGCAACGAACTGATATAGCTTGCGGAACGATCGGACTCGGCCGCTCGCCGCCTGGGCATCGTTCCCCATCAGGGTTTCCGTATAACTCACACTGACGGCCAGAATGTGATTTCCCTCCTCTTTCAAGTCGAACCGTACGATCTTCTGCACTGATTGCCCCTTCTCCAAGCCTTCGGCTTGAGCGCGGTCATCGGCTGGCTCGAGGTCTAATGATGCCACCTGAGACGGCGTCTGCATTTCAGCGACAATCCGCACAGAGGTCACGACTCGCCACGACTCGTCTTCGGGAAGTTCATTGTTCGCACTCAGTGTACATGCAAAGGTTTCTCCGACATAGGCGGAACCGAAAGCTGGAGGTAGCGTAAGCTAGATGGGAAACAGCGTCGTTAGAATCAACCCGTATATTCTCATAGAAAGAGCGTTCGAGTTTCCGCCTACATTCGGAGTGAGAATGAATTGGTTGTCGGCGGTGGCGGACGGGTAGCTCAATGAAGCTCTTGGCGAGATCTTCGTATTGGCGGCGGGGAGAGGGTATTGGTAGGAAAGAGACGGTCGTGACAGTCTGTTAAAAGCAAAATTTGAGGTGTCAGATACAAGCTGATATAGGTCACTGCCTGGTCTTGCGCTTACCGCAGAACTGTCCAGGACCTTTGATCAGTCAGGGCCGCACTTCAAGAAGGGGACGTCCACCAGCACTGCGTACCTTTGAGAGAAACTGCATGGGGCTCCTTGGGACCCTCGGTGCCGGATTGAGCACGAGGCCGCGCCATCGTCAAGACAAAAGGGACTCTTTTGGAATCGGACAAGAAAATTGAAGCATCTGACGTGGTTTAGATACGTGATGATGTTGCCTTGGCTGCTTATCGTGACAGGGGGTCCAGCCAGCAAACAAGACATACAAGACAAACAAGACAAACCTCCACATTAATATCATTCAGTGGGAGTAAGACTGACTTCATTCTCTCTAGATATTTTATTATAGGGGTTCTTTTAAATCCTTTAGACTTAACTATAGGTATAATTTGTTGTAAATCTACTTTATTATACAGTGTTTCCCTAACTGATCAGATGATGTCATCAGCAGAGTAACTGTTTGAATGCCTAGGTAGGCAACAACTAGTAAACTACTACTTATCACCATCTGCGAGGCGTGTACTTTTTCACAAGGTCAAGTATCAGCATTACTTGAAGATAACAGCAGCTACTCAAGGAGTATTGTCGTTACAATCCCATATCGTGATGGGTACCAAGAGAACGATTCCATCAGGCGAGGATGTCTGTACCAGCTCTTCGACCGCGAACACGAGAAGTACGCGTGCAAGTTCAGGAAAGAGAAAGCGCAATGACGCTGGGATGGATGATGCTCTTACTGCTCCGACGAGGAAATCGAGGTCGAGGGTCTCGGCTCCCTGCTCAACCGTTGAAGTAATCGACCCTACGGGTGATGATCCGACACCCACCCCCAAGAAACAAAAGAAGACCACCCAGAAAGCGCAGCCAGAGACGAGGGCGAGGAGATGGCGTCCCCATGCCCCAGCTTCTATCTTGCATAGGATAGCGCGTGCAAGAACACAAAGGTTTCACTTTTCGCCACCATCTTCTTTGTTCTTCGAGGACCCGTCGGCTTTTAACTAACGCTGTTTTCTCCTCTCCTCTAGAATGGTCGTCGCCAATCACATAGTTACAGGCACTGGGGAGGATTTGAGTATTAAATGTGATATTGTCGGGTCAACGGGGAACCTTTACGAGACCTGTATTGGGAAGGTGCCGACTTGCAATTGCCCGGATTCTCTCAAGGGAAACCAGTGTAAACACATCTTTTACGGTTTGTTCCTTTGATTCTCTCTCTGCGACGTCTTTCATCCTGCCTTTCACTAAACACTGCTGGTGCATCAAGTCCTAGTGAACGCTCTCAAGGCCCCGCCACAGCTACAGTATCAGCTCGCCTATCTATCATCTGTATAGCCCATTCCAGAAATGCATGCCTCTCTTTTACGGGGCGTTGCTAATGTTTTTGCAGGAGCTTCGTGAGATGTATGATAATTCCCCCCTCAGTCGCAAAAAGAACAGGTCTGCAGAGGAGGGAGACGGGACTCGGAGGCCTATCGAGGGCGAATGTCCTGTTTGCTTTATGCAGTTTGACCCTTCTTCTGAAGCGATCGTCTGGTGTCGCGCAGTGTGCGGAAACAATATACACAAGACCTGTTTCGAGCAATGGGCACAGACGGATTCTAGCCATGGTGTTCGCTGCGTGATCTGGTAAGATATGACTAGGGCTTAAAGGAAGTGTGTGCTAATACCCTTGCAAAAGTCGGTCCCCCTGGCAGGGGGAGGAGTTTTCAGCAGACATGGAGGCATTAATAAAAAACGGCTCTGTGAACGAGGAAGGATACATGAATATAGGCCGGGAGCTTGGCCTTTCAAGCGAACGTGGTACGAATACTCCTTGCAACTATCAATTTAGGCTCGATACTGACGGGATTTATCTTCTTCTGGAGACTCCTCAGGGTATTATCGGCCTGGGAGGCGCCAGCGATCGCACTACTATGGCTGGGCTAGACGCTAGCAATAGCTGTCAGTGTTTACATTGAACTTAGGTATATTGGATATCCTTTCTTTCTTGGATTATATGAATTCTAGCTGTGACTACTGCTGCTTCTTAACACCTGTAGATGTAAATTTTTATATTCCAATCAAATAGATTCGTTAATAGATTTAATATACATGAGGCAATTATTTAGTACCCATTCCTTGACATTCATATTACCTGAAAGGTAGAGGGTATATAGAGAGAATAACTTCTTAATCATCCATCTTTCGGAACTCGCCTCCCCCCTTTCACCACCGCAACACTCACCGCTTCTTCGCCGGTCATCCAGGCCGGGATACGGTCAGGCTGAAGGATCCCGAGGTCGGCAAGTTTGCGGAACCCGCCGATGACATCTGCACCGGAGAAAGTGAGGGAGAGAGTCGGATGAGAAGAGGAGGGGGTGGTGGCGGGGGTGTCATGATGCGGGTCTAGAAGGCGGATGTCCAGACGATCCAGCGGGGCGTTGAGGGGGGAGAGAGCCATCCCCGCCGTACCGAACCGGGTGTGTACTGCTAGTCTGCGTTTCTTTGCGGGGGAGTCGGAGGAATCGTCAAAGTCATTGGTTCGGGTTGTTGTGACGGTGTTTTCTGTACTACTTTGATTGTTGCTCTTCTGGGTTTCCTGTTGTTGTTGTTGTTGTTGTTGGAGAAAATCCTCCGGGGTGACGGTGTGGGATGGCCGAGGGTCCAGCGGGCTGCCCTCGAGTGCTGCATCGGCGAAGATACTGAATGCCCCGTTTGCGGCGTTGGAGCGGCCTGGTCCGCGGAGAGCGAGCAGAGCTTGGAGGCTCTTGGCAGTTAGGGAGGTCGCCTTGAGAGTCAACCGTTGCTGCTGCTGCGAGAGGGCTTTGGGAATGGCGTCGCGGACAATCTGTTGTAGGGTTCGAGTGTCCGTTGCGAATCTGGGGTTTGCTTTGGGTCCCGTCGACGAGGAGATGGAGGTGTAGATGTAGGGGCAACTGTCTGGGAAAGCAACATAGAGGACTCTAGACGAGTCCACCAGTGTTCCAGGGTTGGAACGGGAGTTCTGGTACGGCGAGTCGGTGACCAAGATTCGCAGAAATGTCAGTGGCAAGGTTTTCGAGCGCACCAGGTGGTAGTGTGCTTTCACCAGGGACGAGACCTCCCGCTGTAGGTTGCTGAGAAACATGGCCGCATGGATACGCGGGACGCATGCGGAGATGTCCGCTGCTCGTGTGGCAGATGAATCTTGCCCATCCTCGGCCACTATACGACTAAGCTCCAACGCTGTCCATCGGAGACTTGCTGGGTGATCCTCCATGTATCGCAAATCTACCATGGCCAGCTGGCGCAACGTGATTCCATGCCGCCAGTCGCCGTCGAGAATCTGCTCGACAACTTCCCGTTTCCCTCCCTTTCTGTCTTGGAGCTCACGATACGTTTCGCGAACCTCCTCGATATCCTTTGCGGCGGCGTAGGGGCTAGCCTCGTCGTTATCGTCTCTGTCCTCCGCCTCGTCCTGTGCAAGGTACGGCCGAAAGCTCTGCACATTGCGGTCGTCCAGCCATTCCAGCACCAGATCAATCAGCACCTGACGCGACAGCCGGCCCAGGGTCTTGGTTAGGATTGGAGTCGTCGAGGGAATGCGCAGGTTGTTGGGAAGGCTGGCGGCGGTGGGGACGCGTACAGTCTTTCCACGAGCCATTGCTTCCGAGGCAGGGTTAAATACTCTGTATATTTGCCCGTAGTTGATGTTCGTATCACATGGCTAGTCTGCTGGCTAGACTCGACTGCAACTGCAGTTCTAGTGTCGGTTTGGTCGTCCGTCCATACCGTGTCTTGCCATGAACCTCAAGATCAACAACATCAACCCTCGATCAAAACCTGGGTCACGTGGTGATAAGCTGCGCTTTAGTACGAGCACCTCATACTACGGAGTACTAACCTCATCCTACAGACAAATAATGTACATCATCAAGTCATAAATAACTGTTTTCTTAACAGAGACGCAGTTTTCATGGTACTGTTTCTCGACTCGGGCTAACCATGCGGAATCTTTCCAGACCTTGATGATCAATCCAACATTCGGTGACCGAACCAAGAGGTGCTCTATGGTACATACTACAGAGTACTGCATAGTTACTCCGTATTCCGTACATACAGAGAGAGTATCCTACCTAGACCTATGTACCTAGTAATGCATGAAAACAGGCTAGAAACTCAAATGGCTGACAGCAAGGGAAACGCATGCTCCTGCAGGGCGGGGGGAAGCTGCTTCGATCTTCATCCAAACAACACTTGCGTGATCAACACCCTATGATATTGATGGCAGGGACATGCCAGCGGGAACCGCGCGAGATTAAAAAGAGAGCAATAAGAGCGACCTCGTCTATTGCAGCGTACAATCTGCATGAGTTATTATTTTCTTAGGTACCTAGGTAACTAGTTACTACTTAAGCTGACAAATCAACCAGCGACTGCTACCGTTACCTCGTCTATGATGATACCGCTTGTATCATTATTACCGAAAGACAGTGGGACAAATTCCTTTACGTATAACTAGGTAACTCTTAGGTACCTACTAGGTAGTTAAGTGATAGCTAGATTTGGAGGGGTAACAATAGTACCGAGTTTACGGACAATAATGCCTAGTACTCATATTAAATTGATAAATACACGGTAATACGAGCTGAATAAGCAAAGCGTAACCCCCGCCGACATTCGGCGACCGGAAAAGTATGAGTCGGAGTGGCTGTCATGGCCGGAAATTCGGGAAACAAAGCCTGAAGTACTCAACCTGAAAGACAGTCCGTAGGTAGGTACCTACCTAGGTACCTAGGAGGTAGTAGGTACATCTGTCTGTACTGTAGTATATATTTGTAATATGTCATAACACGCCCAATAACAACAGTCTGATTAATTGATTCCACAGGCATCTGATCCGACTGAAGAGCCGGATCCCCATTCCGAATCCGTTCTCCGTCATTCCAAGTGTGGGAGACCCTCGCCAATTGTGCCCTGCTCGCCCCTCCGTTCCCCACCAGGAGGAAAAAGGGCCGAGTCTTGGACCGGCGAACGAAGTGGTCCGCACGTCTCACCATCAATTTGCCCTCCACTCCATCTCCCTCTCTCCTCGACTTGACTCCCTTGTCCCGCCTGCTCTCCATCGTGACTCTCGATCCAACAGACGGAGAAGAGCAGAGAGAGAGAGAGAGAACCCGACGCCAACCCGTGCCTCCCAGAAGACCCCTCCCCCGGTTCCGCCCCCTCTGCACACACAAAACTGGTCGCCCTCGGGCGCCATCGCGCACTCGCCGTTTGCTTGATCATTGCTGGAGGGAACGTCGAATTGGATCTTTAGAATCGGGCGGTAGTCGACGGTGTGAAAGACCTCGGGGGGCTCGTGCAACATGTCTCTCTACAACGGGCGTCGTGCGCCCAACTTCTCGCAGTATCTCGATGATTTGAACTCCCTCCCATCCGCCTACGACCAGACTGTCCGTCAGCAGCAGGAGTCCTACGACGTCGACAATGAACTGGCCCTGTTCACCAACACCGAGTTCTTCGATTTTGACAACTTTGGTGGTCTGGATCTGCCGACGTTTGCCCCTCTTGAGACTGATGGCGCCCTCGGAGCAAACATGGCTGTGGATCAGAACCAGGACTTGAAGTTCCTCGACATGTTGAACGGTAAGTTCGGATTCCTTTTATGCATCGTGGAGTTGCAAGGCTGCATATTTGTGGTCCCCCCCGAGTGTCGTTGCTTTTCTTTCCCCCTGTTTTTCCCACCCTCAGCTTGCCTCGGACCGTGGAAAAAGCCGATTAGATTGCCCTACAGGGGCTTCCATTGTTGCACTGGGAGCTTCCGTTCCTTGGAGATCGACGATAGACCATTGGCTCTTTTGTTCGTCGCAAAATGCATGGCTTATCGCGCCATTCCACGTGACCTCTATTCTTCGAACTCTCCTGAGGGGGGGGGGGGGGGGGTTGTCATGCAGTGCTGTGAAGCATTGATTTTGTTCTCAACCAGCCCGGATCCTACCTGGATCTGCTCTTCGACGTCTCTTAAATCTCCTTGCCTATGCAAAACCCCTTCTCCGCACCGCCTGAAAGCGTGGGAATGAAACTAGTTCTAATTTCATATACAGATGGTCTAGGCAACGTGCCCGAGTTCTCCTCGACCGAATTCGACACCACCAACATTCGCAACATGCCCATGCAGCCCGCGGCCTCTTTAAACGAAGCAGGAACGTTGACACTCCCGCCTGCTCCACGTGCGCCCCCCAGTCACACTCCGTCATCAACCCAGTCCTCGTCAGGCAATGCATCGGTAACCACCGCTCCAACGCCTAGTTCGACGGCCCAGAATGCCTCGTCGGATCCGGCTCCGGCTCCGGCCCCCACCTCGTCCTCCACTGCTGCCGCCAAGCCCAAGTCGTCGATACCCAAGCCCAAGCCTTTGAGTGTTGAAGAAGTTGCTCGTGTCGCTGCCGATGAGGACAAGCGCCGCCGCAACACCGCTGCCAGCGCCAGGTTCCGCGTCAAGAAGAAGCTCCGCGAGCAAACACTGGAACGCACCGTCAAGGAAACCTCGGAGAAGAACGCGGCGCTTGAGGCCCGGGTGTCGCAACTTGAACTAGAAAACCAGTGGTTGAAGAACCTGATCACGGAGAAGAACGGCGGCGAATCGGAAAAGGGTAAGAAGTCCGAATCTGAGATCGCGGAGATGTTCAACAAGTTCCTCGCCTCTCACAACGCCGCAAGCGAGCGGGGTTTATCCGAATCGAAGAACGGCGTCGGCACGGCTGTTTAATCAAAAGTTAAAAAAAAAAAAAAAAATCCCCCGTCAAAAAAAGAAAGAAAAAAAAATAATCTCGAATCACTATTTTTTCTTCTTCTTGCTTCTTGTGCATATTACCAAGAGATTTTTTCCCCCTTCAAACGGCCCTATCATGGGTGGGTGTTTCAGGGAGTCCTTCATGTTTGATGAGGACGGGAGGTTACTTGATTTTCCTTTTATAGGATATGTTTAGATATGAGTTCACGCCATATGGTTATGTTTACTGTGAATAGATGAGACTCAACTTTGTTTACTCTACATTTTCGCATGAGATGGCACTATTTGTAAGTCTAGGGTAAGTCTAGGAGTGGATCAATTGTCTACCTAGATCAAGTAGTAAACTTGCTACATTTTACCTATCTCATTGATAGAACTGGAGCGAGTCATGGCATGACTAACGTATTGGTACTTGGTCAACGGGTTAAACGTGTTGCTAGTTGCGAGTTGAGACTTATAACTAATCCATTACTGCGGGGATATCAATGTAAAAACATAATCTCCAATGCCAATCCTTGATTCAATGCGCCATTCCATCGTTCCGTCCAATCATTAAGTTTGCAAACTTTGCATCATGAAGAGAAGAGTCATTCGTCCTCCCTGTTGTCATTCTCCTTCCCGCGCTCGGGCATCTCTGCACTCGGACCGTCCTGCTCATTTGCTTCGGAGGACTCCGGCGTTCGCGACTCGGCCTGGCCTTCGCTCTTCTCGTCGTGTACGTCGCTTTCTTCCTCATCTTGCTCTCCGCGCCTATCACCTTCGACCCCAGGGATCTCACCCCATCCAGAGCTTCGGCGGCTGACCCGTCCAGAGACTATGTACATAGAATTGGCAGGGGGAGCAGCACTGTTGTTTGTGGGCCCGGGGAGCGAGCTGGAGATCCACCCCGTCACGCTGGCCGCCACACTGTCATTCCGCGTGTGTGAATAGATGCCGCTCTTGATGCTGGCGCCATCCGTGGCGCCCTGTCGTGTAGCATGGAAGCTAGTGCGCTCGCCGCCGCCGCTCACCAAGGGGGCTACCCCGGAAGCAGAGTAAATGCTGGTACGCTCGTTGCTGGCCAGCCCGACCAGACTCGGCCGGTTGAGCATCCCTGGTGTGTTTAACGGCTCGCCGACATTGCTGCTGAGCACGCTCAGTGGAAGGCTCTCACGGCTGCCGCCGAAGACAGAGGACGGCGCTAGCGCGCGGATTGACGCGTTGGTATCCAGTGAGTTGCGGCGGCGGCGCTTCGATGATGACGCAAGGGTAAGGATCGACGCATTGTCCGTCAGGAGGTTGTTCGCTGTTGCTGTCGTATAGGTGGCTGAGTGACCGTGAGGAGTAAGGTGGGGCGGGACGGCCGACACGGGAGAGGAGGGGAATTGGTGCGAAAATTGCACTTGTTGATTATTACTACTATTATTATTCAAGCCGTTCTGTATCGAACTGGCATGGGACGGGCCCTGCTGTGTGTTATGGTTGGCGTAGAGCTGAGTGGAGGGGGCTGCCGACTGCACCGTCGTTAAGGTGGTGGTCAAGGATCGAACAGAGGGGGCGGGGGAAGAGAACGTGCTCCCTTCACCACCACCAGTGGAGCTGATGCCACCGCCACCTGTCGCAAAGGTTCCAGCTTTGGAATATGCCGCCTCCGAGATCGTGGTGTCGCCGCCGTTTGTTGATATTGTCGGTGCCCTAGACTTTGCACTCATCGCAGGCATCCGACTCTCGTAGGCCGAACATGTAATCGACGGGTCGCTTTGCGAACGAGACGTCCGCCCGTACCGGTCACTCGATTCTAGGTGCGAGTCGTGAGAAGACGGGGAGGTAGAAAGATAATGGTATGAGTCGGTCGTACCATGGAAATGGTAAGGACTATGCTTCTTGCCGGGGCTCTTCTTATCCTTGTGTACGGCACTTCGCTTGTGAGACCATCGGATGGTGTTCGATTCGGACGAGGATGAATTCTTCAAGTTTGCGAGGCGCTTCATCCAGTTCGAAAATGGACGGCGACGCTCATTGCGATCTGAAAAAAAAAGAGAAGATCAAAGAGACCACGTCAGAACAGAAGAACAGTTCATACATGGTTTCTTCCTCCTCATTGGCAACTCACCATGCGGTCTTGCAGGGGCTTCCATCGTGGCCATTGTGTAGATGGACTTGAAATATTTTTGCAAGTTAAGAGACCCCCCCAGGCCAGACAGTCTAGGTACAAATAGGATCGAAAATGTGGCTGATCAGGGAGGCGGAATCCCACATGAGTTGGGCCGACGGGGTACGCAAGCGGCAACCGTCGATGTTGGGCGGGTGTAAGTGGTTCGTGTACGGTTAATATTCGACGCGGAGCTGGAATAGAAAAAGACTTTGGAATCAATATAGCGCTGACAGACTAAGGCTCGTCTGCTCCTAGGGTATGTTCGAAAGAAAACGCTGCCACTTGAGTTGGATGCAAAGTCGTAGATATGAGATCCTACCTTGGCAGGATCCTGATACTGTAGTGATAGCCTGATCAGTGATAGTCTGATCAGTGATAGAATAGGCTGAATAGTGAATAGCTCACTATACACACGTGACCGAAGCACTATTCTTGGATTCCGTTGTGCATCACGTGATCATCACATCCGGTTAGCGGGATTGGTGGACCTAGAAAAATTTAAGCACCGAGGATTTTTGTTATTTCCTTTCCCTTCTCTCCCAACTCCTCGCTCAAAGAATCGCATTCAAAGCTCACGCACAGAAGCCTTTCAGACTTCACACCGGTTCCTTCCTCCCTTTGGGAGAACCAAAAGCTTTGGGAGAAAGTCCCCGGACACCCTGCTCCAGAGTCTTCCCTCGTGGAAGATTTTGGACATTTCAGTCAGGCAATGCGGAAACGCGCCGCCACAGAAGCAGTTTGATAGCGGCTTACGCTCTATTCTCTCCCAGCCGCCCGTGCGGCACCCGACATCGGTTTCGGTCAAACGTCATCGGTGGAAATAATGGGGTGTTGCCGGGCAGTTGGAGGGAGGTTTATCGAGTTGCCTTTCGTCGTGTTTGGATAGTCATGCGATTGCTCGGTTTCCTCCTTGGAAGAGACCGGGTAACTCAATGGGGCTCATTCTTGATGCGAGGAGTTCAATTCTTTTTTTTTCCATCTTTCAGAGTCTGTAGCTTATGGCAAAGCGGTGCCTGGTCTCTTTTTCCGACCTGCACAGAAACCCTGTCGAAGGGGTCAGGCTCCTTCTAAGTTCGCGTGATGATATACCAATCATAGAGTCAAGCACTGAGGCTCCTGCAACAGCATGGTGGCTATTGACGATAAACGATTGTCTTTTATCTGATGAGCATTTGATCTTGAGATGTTTTACTACTCCGTACTGCCGCTTGCAAAAGTGTAATGAATCAATAACACTCCCTATTCTAAAACACCTATAATAATGCATTTTTTTTACAAGTATAACAACAAGAGGCCTTTCGTGTTTTCGTAGAATGACGTAAATAGAAGTATAAAATAGGGCACTATTGCGTCTTCTTGTCGTCAGCTCCGGCTGCAGGAACTGGCTGCCCTCTCTGGCTCGTGATCTGCGACAGGACAGAAGTCACGATATCCGTGACAGCAGCGATCACAGCCACGCACACGCTGCTCCAAACCTGGATGCTCACGGAGCCCAGCGGGGCACGAGGGAACGAAAGCACCCATTCCACGTAGTAGGGGAGCCAACCTGGGGGCAGGTAAAAGACAGCGGTCTTGGAATAGTAGAACTGGAGGAAAAGCTTCAATCCGTTTGTGCTCAGCCAGCGAACTGCCTTGACGGCCCACTCGAGCGAGGTCTTTTGTGACGAGAGGTCCTTGTCTAAGACCAGTTGGTTAGCTCGAGATTCACAAATTCCTATATAAGAAACCAACTCGCACATACTTATGGCTTCGTGCTCCTCTAGGGTCTTATCATGTTTCCTCCGCAGCTTGGCCCATTTGGCAAATTCGTCTTGGGAGCTCGTGTTGTTCATCTCGCGTTTAAGCTGGACCACTTCCCGCTTCAACCGGTTTGATTCCTGTGCATTTCTCGATGCTGAAGTCGGTAGTCGGAGGTAAAGAAGCCATACCTAGTTTCCAACTGTTAGCAGGTATTATCCCAGGGCAGATCAAGGTTGTCTAAGGGACAGATGGCCCTACCAGGTTATCAATGGTCGACGCGCCAATCGTATTGACCAGGTATATGGCAACATGCACAAATAACACCGTAAGCACGAGTGACAGCATAGTGGATGGCTAGTTCACGTCGTTGCACACACGAGGAAGAGAGGTCCTGGCCGCAGAGTCTGGATACCCAAAAAGTGCTCCCACCGCAATGCCGAGTCCTTTGGCAAGACCTGCCAAAGCTAGATATTGGCGAAACTGAACTCTTCTCTCCGGATTTGGCGAGGCTTGTTGCGAAGGGACAGGCTGGCGGAAACGATGGTGAACACACTGTAGCTGGTAGGTACCTAATTATTATTATGAAGCTGTTGCGATTCAGCCGAATCGGCGTTGCGTGGGAGTCCCCGCCGCTTGGACCAGGTTCCACGCCTAAATACGGAACTGCATACGGAGCATTCTTTACATACTTCCAAGACAACTTCTTTTTTTTCCCTCAATGTCCGATTCTGAACAATTATTATTTCGACATCTTGCAGGAATTTTCCAAACACATCGGAGCTGTGTTCTGGAAATTGAGATCCTCCCGCCAGAGTTTGGCCCGCTGCTTCAAGATGGGTGTGCCATAGGCATCACCAAGAAGGCGCTGGTCCAGGCTTTTGTTGTTGCCCGACGGGTTTTCTTTGACAAGCTTGTGTTTTGGACAGATAGAGAACTTCTGACGTCGTGCCTATCTATAACTGAGAAGTCAGATACAGCAGAACGGAGCAATTTCTCTGGGGTCACAGAGATCATGTTACTCTTTGACTGTGAACATCTCACTGCTTGCAACTGGCGAAAAAGACGGTTGGATGTTCTTATACAGAGCTTGCGCAGTGGCAATGGTATAGCCTTGGGGAGCACTGTCGCACAAGTACTAGAGTCGGAACTTACTCTGTTGACATCCTTTCTTTGCTCTCCTCTACATCGACACACCAAGTCCCCGACCTTATGGCAACACCGGCTGTGGGTTATGACACAGATATTCCATATCCGGGCCATAGCACTGGTTGACGGGTTTTCAATATCATCACCGTCTACAACACCTGACGGGGAGGGCCTTTGGGGCTCCAAAAATACCGAAGAGCTCATACATTCCGAATTGAGTGTTGCCCTCCGTGCGAGTGAGCAGCATCCCAGGAATGTCTATGCTTTCAGCTACATGAGGCACCTGCATCGAGCGTTATCAGACACCGCAGAGGATATTACTACCCCGAGCAGCGCTGAGCGTCTTGCTCGGTGTATTATTTACCGCACTGTGGAATGGTGTATGGCTCATCCGCGAGATATCTCAGGCTGGATGTTCGCACTGTATTTACTCCAGGCTACCCCGGATAAGGATTTCAGATCCAGCGTCTTACACCGGGTGGTCTCCTTTGCTGTCCAGGTCGGATGGGATGGCGAGAGTTTGTGGATATTCGTGGATCAAACAGCGAGAGCCTTTGGTCTTGTAAATGATCTCTATATTACTTTACCGTCTCTCCATGGTGAAACTTCTGATTTGACGGGCGCAGACCAGACTTGGAGACTGTGGCTAGCCAGAGCACGGGCACTCTGGGCAGACTGTGAGAATACATCGACGTAGGTTGCCTTGTCCTTAAAGTTGGTTCCACGACTGCATAGTCTATTCATATCAGTCATTTGTTCATTTCATTTCTCATCCTTTACTCCTGGGAGATATTCAACGCGGGCGTAGAATCTCGTATTTTGAATAAGAACGCCTCGCTGATGATTACCAAGCTCATAGAATCTTCGCTAAAGAGACCAAATCACTAGAAGAAAACAAGAAGATTCATGGCTCCTCGCCACCCCATCTAGGAATATCCCATGTCCGCATGTGGTTGTGATTCCAAGACGTCCGTCATATATATTGGCTCGCATCCATCATACCTTATCCTAGGTGTATAGCAGTCTCGAGGAGGAAGAATCGAAGGGCCGGCGGAGGATGCTCGTCATTTCTTGTTGCCTTCTGCCGCTCGGCGCTCATCGGCTACACACCAACCGGAACATTAGCATGTTAAGAAAAGAAAGAGGGGGGAGAAGACACGCAGCGTTGGCGTAAATTCGACGAGGCAAAACGTACCAAGTTTCTGCTTTTCACGCATGATGGCCGCAACATCTTCCTTGTTGCGTTGAAACTCCGTCCCAGTCATGCTGTTCTTGTGTTTCTACAGCAGCATACAGATCAGTACATCATCATTTAGACTTATGCTAATTTGAGCATTGGGCTGGCAAATTAGGTAGTATGACAAACCTTGCCATCTTTCGCAGCTTTGGCCTGCTGCTTCTTGCGATCAGAATCGCGCTGGTTACCGCGAGTCATTTTTGCTCAGAATGAACGAAGAAATGTCTTTTTTTTTATCTTTTTAAAATAGAGAGCAGTGTTGAGGAACGAGCTCCCAGAGAGGCTGAATAACGAGGGGTGACTGAGGGCGGTAACCTGAGAAAAATATATGGCTCGCCCATTATTGACGGCCCATGGCGAGGCATTCCGATGTTATCGGCGCTGCCCCACGCTCCGAGCCAACCTTCAATCTACAAGGTTCTTTTATTTACCCAAGAACGCGATTCTATTCTTTCATAATTTTGTGCATTTCGAATCATAAAGCCAAGACCCATCAGGGATACCCTGGAAGAACAGCAACAATGGGCCATTTCGACTGGGTTACAGTCTTCGCGACGACTGGAAATCGCCTGTATGTAGTAGAAACAGATCGAGTACTCCGTACTTTGACTGAGATATCCCCTGCAGATTTCTTTGTGTTCTTTCAAATTCTTCGAGGGTATCTGCAGTGACATCACAAAAGAACCGCTAGTAGCCATGCAGGGGCCTGTTTGGCCTAATATCAGAAGCGCAAGTCGACCGATCGATCCTTAACTCGGTGGCGGCTGGATCGACTAGATAATTGGCGGCTAATTCGGTACTTCTTGAGAAGAAATCTAGAAATAGAATCTGAGTCAATTGTTAATTTCAGATACAGTCTCACCACGACGAAGAAAGCGCTCGGCGGCAAGAACGACTACTGGGAAGAAGCGCTGTGCTTAGGCGCCGAATGACAAAAAGCGCCCAAAATAAAGCAGAATGAGAAGTAAGCGGCAGTTGGCCCTTAGGCACCTGATTTGCTACCCTGCGTCAAAGAATGGCAGGCATGAGATTGAACAGTAGCCAGTCAATTAGACCTGACCACGCGACAAGCGTTTCAAGATCTGAGAGAATCGTCTTTCGTCACCAATCCTCACAAGGCCGAGAGTACTGATCTCTGACCGGCCCTAGATCCTCTCGTATAGTTTCAAACCTCGAACGATCTCATGAGCAACCCTCGACAGGCTGCCCGGCGACAAAGCAGCAGAAAGAGCTTGGGCGTCAAGGAGCAGGCGCTCAAGTGAATAGCCATGGGGGGTTGCTTGACCCGCAATGAATAGTCTAATTGTCTTTGTGGCTCAATAGTGCTATCTCTTTATGTTTCACATTGTCTCTATTGATTTCTATTTTCGCCTTTGTTGGGCAAATTCACTATCTTGCTAACAATGAAGGCTGATTGGGGGGGACTGGCTATATTGAGGCCTGTTGTTTAAAAAGAATGGGAGAGAACTGTTATTCTTGCGCTTACCCAGCTACTCTCTCTTGTTCCACTGCCTCGAGTTGATCTCAGGGATTTCATTTGTATAGAAGTCCATCTTTCTGGAAAACCCTTTCTGCTGGCCAGATTCCTTTTCATAAGAACAACCCAACCCTCCCACGGTCTATCAAATAGATCATCGCTGGCTTCAGCATCATACCTCAGACCTGATCTTTTCCTTCCCTAAGCCTATTTTCCTTTCCATCTCTTCCATCGCCATGATGGCCTCCTTGAAAGAATCCTTGGCTGGTCCAGGATATGTCATTCTCAACACCATTCGTGTACTAAACATTATTGTGCTCATGGATATGATTGCCGCCTGCGTGGTGATGCTAGTGAAGATTAAACTCCAGACCAGTTTCTTCTTCTTCGAGGCGGTATCGCATGTTGCGACAGCCGGGGCCTGCAGTAAGTGTACTGAATCATTGGTTTTGCTGAACGAGAAAGCTAATGAAGTATAAAACAATAGTATTTCTCATTGTCTCAGAGCTTCCTATCCTCAACAAGTATTTCGATCGCCACTGGCCAGCCCTCGGACAGGATGCGGGATTCCTCACATTGTCTCTGGCTATGTTAATCATGGGAGTTGGACTTTTGGGCGACTTGAATTACACCGTCAATGACTCGAGCTCCATCGGCCTTGTATTCTGGAGGATCATCATCTCTGCAGGGATTTTAGCACTGGTGATGAGTGTCATCAATATAGTCGCGGTGAGCAGAATCATCAATCATCTGGGGTCCGGTCTTATGACAAATGCTGACATCGAATGCAATTGCAGACTTTTGTTTTCTGTGACCGAAATGCTGGTGTCACTGCTCGCCATGTGCGACTATATGGCGCAGTTGCACCCCAAAAGGTCCTCACTCGAACAAACAGTAACCGGTCGTTCCAACTTAGCATGAAGCGCGAGAATTCATTGCCCACATACAACACCCAGCCCCCAGCGAAAAGGTTTTCTCGCTTTCCTTTGAAGATCTCGTCTCCAATCAACCCAGCCCACGACGCAGCATCGTCCAAGTACTCGCGAGACTCTCAGGTAGCCTTTCCGGATCTCGCACACCACCCAGCCATGCATTGATGAGCTGTGAGAAGCAGAAAAAAGCAACCAGGAGTAATTATCATAAACCAGACCAGGTGCCTGTACACGATTTGATGGGTTTCACAGCTCAGTTGTGTGGGCGTTGAGTATTCTGGCGTCATATCGGCAACTTTTGTATTATTTTTATATTGAGGTTCTTCTTTCTCCCTTTGATCACGATAACATAGTCGTTTAGCATTTCTTCGGTGTGTTTTTTTTAGAGAATTCACAAGTCCTTTAAAAGTTCATTTATTCCCTTGAAATTACCTAGTTAGCCTTTGATTCCCAACCAGGGAGGCGTTATTAAGTCTGACCGGAATCTGGTAATAACTATGGTACCTGACATGTTCTTTTTCTAAAAATATAAATATACAGAAAAGAATATACCTTGTAAGTTCGTCATTGTGAGCAATGAAGCTCTTGACGTCTGTAAAGTGTCACTAATGTTGACGGCTGATAAGATAGGCATTGAAGTTTCGCGACGATTTGGGCTTCCAACTGTCAAGATCTAACTTCCACGCCTCTGGGCAGACGCGACGAAAGGCTTCTTGGAAGCCCGTTGGAAATATGGTTGGACTCGGAATCTCGTTTGGAACGTGAGTGCATGATATGTGTCTTCTATTCTGCTGCTTTGGGCTTCTTTCTCCAAGATTTACCCGCTAACTAGTGAGCTACACAGCATCAAGTCACTCCTCATATTCTTCGCTCCTGTCCTGATACCCAAGGCAATCAACTTCTATCGAGGACTTCGTGTCTCGTTAGCAAGCCGACCTTCGCCGCAGCCTCTTCCCGCGACAGCCTCTCGGGCTCTGAACGTGCTCTTCTTCTCCGTTGTCCTCTTCCTCCTACTCAGCCTACCTTTCAATCCGCATGGGCCCACCCAAAACATTTTCGCCCTCACGCGCTCGCGTCTGAATACTCCGACAGATGTGATCTTCGCCCGTCTGGCACGGTATCGTCCGCAAAATACCCTCACGTCCGCGGACATAGTTCTGCAATCCAAGTTCATATCCCGCACCGCTAGGAACATCTACCTCCGGTTCGGGCAGGATGCCTTGATAACCTGCCAGTTCTGCTCGCTAGACTCCCCGGACACATATCTGTTGTACTATCTGCCGTTCAATACGCTACTTCCCCATCTTTTTCATATGATTATTGTGGGGTTGGTGACGTCCGCACCATTTGCAGGCCGAGCAGCAGCACAATGGCGGAACAAGTTTACGATTGCCGGGTTGGCGCTGGCAGCGGCAGACCTCTACATCATGGCGACCTATGATCCAGTCCAGTCGGCCTCGGCGGCCGTCAGGGCGGGACAGAGCCCGCCTTCCAGCCTATACACCCAGATCAGCCTCCTACGCCCCTTAGCACTCACCATTTTCGACAGTGTGTGCGCTTTCCTGATCTATGTCTCGGCCACGAACCGGTTTTTCTTCCCCCCCGTATCACAGGCCGACCAGATCGACAAGATGGTCTCCATGGCCGCGGCCACCTTGACAGAAACCAGCGCGAAGCTTCATGGCCTGAGCGTGACGCGGAACGCGGTCGTTAGAGACAAGACCTTGAAGACTCGCGACGACAACTATTGGCGGGCTGTAGTCTGTATGGAGAATGAGACCGTTGGCACGGCCAACAGCGGCGGGCCTTCGTCGACTGCAGTGACGAGCGTGTGGGAAGAAGAGGAGGTGGTACGAGCCATGTCCAGAGCCATGGCTGGTCAGGGAGGCGTCGACCTAGCTAGACTAGGTGTCAGCGCGAACGAGTACGTCAATGGAATCACAGCCGGCCTAGAGAAGACAGATGATACAAGCCCGTGATGAAGAAGTCCATGTTCTCTTTCTCTTTTTTCCCACTTTTTATTGGATATAAATTTATTATGTTAGATTGAGCATGTGGGTCAAACAAACCTCAACCTTCCCCAACAGTTTAAAAAAGGAATACTCCGTACATAGGCCTGGCCTTGATAACGCACGATAAGCTTGACGCGAAATTCCACAGCTGCCATTGGTCTAAGGCGGTGAAGCTGTGAGCTTCCCAGGGACACCCCTCTTCTGTTGCTAGAGTTGCTCCTGTCCTTCAGCTAGAATTGAGTATCCATTCTCTGGTTTAAGAGCTCTGCTTGTTCCGCGGGCCGCGTTTCGTGGCAGCAGTACTCATCTTTGCCTAGCCCCCTGTTACGCAAGCCGGAGACGAAAAAAATCGGGTCCAGGAACCTGTCTGGAACAGGGGGCCCTTCTCCATACAGAGCCCTGGGCCTCTGGCACGGTAGTAATTGACACAATCGATAATTAAGAAACCAGACTAACCGAGGATCTCCCTGCTAGGGTTAGTCAATACCCGTACTAACAAAAAATCGCCGAGGTTGAACGGAGTATATAAGCCATCGTTGTAGGCAACACGTATTCGACCATGGCAAGAGACATGGCGGCGTCTCAACCGCAATCCGTCACAGAGCTCAATGCCTGTGTTTCATCGTCAAATGGCCGCCTACCGCACAAAGTGACCACGTTTCGAGAATGGCTGCTTGCCAACCAGATCGGTATGCAATTGCTCTTTGAACATTCATCTCCAATGGCAAAATGGCAAATTCTACCTCAAAACCTGTACTGGCTGGTGATAGATACTAATCGGTATGGCTTACAGGGATTTCGGTGACGATTTTCGCAATGCTTCTGGCCGTCCAGAACCTCTACCCTTCCCTCCAACCATACACCACGCCGTTTTTCCAGCTCTCATATTACAACCCTTCAAAAGGGTCCTATGTCCAAGGCCGGGATGATATCTCGTTCGTTATCAGCTCCGCCATTGCCTTCACCGGAATCCGCGCCGCTGCTATTGAATGGATATTCGAGCCATTGGCTCGGCAAGCAGGGCTGAAGCATAAAGCTGCTCTTCGGGTGGCAGAACAGGGCTGGCTATGGGTCTACTATGCTTTCTTCTGGACGTATGGGATGGTATGTCTTGGCCTGCATCGTCTCGATTGCAGCTTAGGGTTTATTTCCGTTTCTTTTCGTCGCTGACTCAAATTGGGTAGTAGTATCTCTGGATTCATTCTTCCTACTGGAAGAGTTACTCTGCTATCTGGGCTGAGTGGCCGGTACGGGATGTCTCCGGGTCGATGAAGTGGTACCTGCTGGTGCAGCTATCTTTCTGGATCCAACAGATGCTTATCATCCATATTGAGAAGCGGAGAAAGGACCATTACCAAATGCTGGTCCATCACATCATTACCAGTACGCTCCTGGGCTCGGCATACATCTACGGCTTTTATAATGTCTCAAACGTCGTGCTTTGCCTGATGGATATTGTCGACCTTCTCCTTCCGGTACGTCTAGCTCCCTCTCTTTTTTTCGGGCATTTTATCTGACTGCCAATGCATAGACTGCCAAGATCCTCAAGTATTTGAAATTCGAGACGAGCTGCAACGTTGCTTTTGGGGTTTTCCTTGTGACATGGCTGATTGCTCGGCACATCTACTACCCTCAACTGTGCTGGTCTATATACAAAGACGTCCCAACTCACATGGCATACGGCTGTTATTCTGGCACCACAGCCGAGTTGGTCACCACAGACGGATATCCCGACAGGGCTTCCTACCTGCTGTCTCCGTTCAAGGACATCAATGGTCCGATCTGCATGAATCGTACCGTCAAGTGGATCTTCCTGTCCTTCCTTCTCTTCCTCCAGCTTCTCTCCATTATTTGGTTCGGCATGATTGTCCGCGTTGCTGTGGGCGTCCTGCGTACCGGGAACGCTGAGGACACTCGAAGTGATGACGAAGAGGAAGAGATCAAGGCTGCCAATGGCAACCTTCAGGCCGTGGGCAGGGATGGAGCGACAATTGTGACTGGCGGCTCGGCTGTGCACGCTCGGGGTCGCGGGCGAGTCCGGCTATCGGAGCAGAGTGACCGAAAGGCACTCCTGGGCAGAATTGGCTGCGACAGGCCGACATGAAATAAGTAAAAGTCGGTAATCATCATTATTTCAATTTTTTCTCTCCTGAAATTATACCATTGCATGTCCTTGGGCGCCTTTACAAGCCGAATTGGCTGCACAAGCTTAAAAAATTTCCTTCCTTTTCTTTAGAAACAAATTTCCCTCTTCAGAAACTCAGCATACCCTCATTCAAATCAATCCTTTTAGCCCCATGATAATATAGACAAGCAGGCCTTTTTCTCAGATGGAGGCAAATGGGGCTTTGGAGATACTAAATATTCGGATTTATACTGAAGATATTCTCTGCTTATTCCTAGTAAGAATGCTTAGTAGGTAAAGCTAAATTCTTTTCTGTGGATCTTAGAAGATTGTTTTAGATATCAACTCATCCCATCAACCAAATCAAACATATGACTTGGGAGATATGTACTGTTTGTTGTTGGTGCTATACAGATACCGAAGCATCGCCGAAGCATCGCCGACCCGACAACCAATTTGATCCCGAGTCGATATCACGGTCAACGCTGACGCGCCTCGCATCTCCCCTCTTTGTTCTAGACCGCAAGAGACTTATGTAGTAGAGTGATATGTATACTATGAGCTGACATGATACCGTCGAAGGCATTCCTTCCTGATTCAATAGTATACTTCTCCAAGTTCAACATGATTTAAGTCCAGATATCGTGGCACAAATTCATAGAACATGTTGCTTATTATATCTCGCCATGCTTTCCTCCTGTCCCAGCATGCGTCTGGAGACACAGAGACATAGTTATTTAATGTTTATAAGTACATGTATAGATATATACACTCAGATGCATGTGCCATTAACCAGAATTCAGAGAGTCTGCCGCAGAGCAGCTCGTGATAATAGGCGTTTCAAGCCCCAGGATATTTCTTCTCATCTCGTCTTCATCCCAGAAATAGCCGTCGGATCGAGATTGCTTTCTTTGTCGAGCTGCGAGCGCGTGTTCGTTGATATGGGCTGATCCCAAGGAGCATTCTTGCTGAGTGGTTAGGAACCCGATTAACACGCGACGGAGGCATTCCCAGAGAGCCCCCTGACGCTTCCATTCTAGACGCTTGGCAACCCGCAGCATCCGAGAAACGACCCAGCTCCTTTCCCCTGCGTCGCCGGATTCACCGCGAGGATAGCCACCATTCGTGAGAAACAGCCAAAGCACTGCAGCAATACTAGGGTTGCTATGCGGAGAGAGGCGCTGGATTTCCAGATGTACCCAATCAAGATAACGGTCGAATGGCGTCGAATTAAGGTAGCAGTCGTACAGTGCAACATTGAGGTAGAGGAGGCAGGCCATGCTTGAGTATTCATCGATAAAACGGACGTCTCTGATGCCATGGTCGTAATCCGGAAGGGTAGTGAGAATGGAAAAGAGCTTCGTTTGGGATCCGAAACGGCTTTGGGGTTCTGGAAAGTCGCCAGTTATGCCACCAGGTGAATTCAAGGCGCTATGCTCTAAATCATGCAGACGTCTGAAAAACCGAAGAAAGTCCTCACATCCGCAAACGTGGTCGTACATATCCTCAGGATCGTTGGCAGGCGATGGATTGTGAGAAAGGTCAAGGTGGAATTGTGAGTCGCTGACTAAAAAGTCGAGGCTTTGGGGGAGGGAATCTGATGCATCACCGGTCCAAGGGAGACTGCTGCCTACGATGGCATTCGAAGCGCAACTATAATCGACCCTGTGGTATTCATTAGCTCGAATGAATGGTTACCGGTTTTTTGGGGGTCATTGTAGGTACCACTAACCAATATATTATGTTTTCTAGGAACTTGTTTGCGGCATGCAAGCCTCGCATGCCTCCTCGGCTTCGAATCATCGACGCAAGTCCGCTGAAGTGCATTTGCTCAACAGAGAAATCTTTCGACCATTTCTGCCAACATTTAGCAAGGAACCCTTATATTCTCCTCGAGCAAGGGGGTGGCAGTACCTCAATAACAGCCATTGTAGCCACGGCGTAGATTATTCCGTCTAGGTATCCATCTGGCCTGGTCTGGATGCACTCATTGATGAGTCGCAAGGCCCGCATCTTGTGCGTGAGGCTCTGGACGGATTCTGTCTTACCTTCAACTCCAGCCCGGTGTTTGGAGGCAATTGCAAGCATGGCTTGAAAAGGAACGGGGTCGCACATAGCAATGTGCTGGAAGATTTTCATCATGGGATTTTTGGGCATGGGGTCGAGAAGCTTGTACATCATAGAGGGATATATCGAAACAACTGGAATGAGATCAGCACACCATTCAAATAAAAGAAAAATAGAAGTATAAGGTAATCCACGGGATATGCTGCAGCAGAGACGTACAGTGTTGGATCAATTGATGATCATTTGAATCTATGGCGATCGGAAACGAGTCGAATGGATCGAACAGCACTCCATCTCCAGGAGTATATCCTAGACTAGGAGGTTTGCTGTGTGGCTCCAGGCATGCTGGAGCTGTGCTATCCCAGACATTCCGATTTGATACTAATTTATGAGGCCCCGTAAGATGCTGCTTGGGGTTTATGAAGGTAGACTTTTGGACTGCAACGTGCTCTTCATCCTGTGCGTCTTCCACCTCCAAAGCCAAGAACGGGGACGAAGATCCTGCGTCTTGACGAGTCGACCAACCACCCACGTAGAGACGAGATGAATCGAGTCGAGCTATGCTGTCCAGACGGCGCTTGCGCATATATTGGCGCATCGCATGGCGGCGGACTTGGCGTCGAGATCCACTGTCCGTCACTAGGACGAACTCGAAATTCTTGCCTTGAGAAGGTGTTGATCCACCTGATCTGTCTCCATCAGAAGTAGGTGCGATGGCCGACAGGCCTGTCCCATTCGGTGTCAGTGCGAAATTTTCTGCGTGGGTTGTTAAAGAGTGCAGAGGTCGAGTATCCTCCCCCATACCGGCCTGGGCGCGGTGGATGCTTGCTTTAAAATTGCATGAATGAACCATGTGGGGAAGGTCCCTGCATCTGCCATTTGCTCGGCAGCAATCGATCAGTCGTAATGAGCAAGACGCTCGATTTCTGTCTCTAGGCGCACATCAGCACCCGCTTGGCTGCATCATCGAGACGAGAACCGACGCTCCATTCTTGCCTGAAGACTCCACATCTCCGATACAGGTTAGTCTACTTGTTCTCCACGTGATATATTACTCAGCAGTTAAGAATGTGGGCATGGGGATACTGGAGTATAGTTAGGTTTAAAGAAGATTTTAACTTGAGAATGGATCCTACATATGTTTATCTAGATACTCATGCTATTGGAGACTCTAGATATATTATCGGCATGATCTTTAGCCGTCAGTTAGCTTTTGAAGAAGAAGTTGAAGATAGATAGCGAGAAGGAAGGAATTAAGCTATCCTCTAAATCCTGATAATCGCCAGGATCATTGAAAGGATAGGTCTAATATAAAAGCCTAGCTAGGCTTTTAGATTTATTATCAATAGGAGATAATATAACTAATATATAAAGTTTACAATAGAGTTAAAAGATTATTAGTGAGAGTATAAGTCTCAAGACACAAATTGCATCCTGTAATTAAGTGAAAAGGATTATAGTAAGCACTGGGATCAAGATGCCCAGTAAGATGATTACTGTATATCAGTTATTTTCTTCCCTAAGCTTGGCTAATGCTGTCATAATGCCCTCGCTCATCGCTCCTGAGTGAGCTGGGGTTTGACTTGATGCACCCATCGCATTATCCTCTGGCTGGACTCCTGTGCCTCTCGGTCCTTCTGCAGCAGCTAAGAACGCGGCTTCTTCGTCCTCGTGGTCGTCTGGGTTCTGTGACCTAGGGAGGTGGCCCTCTACGGGCAAACTATGAGCGGCACGCGGTTCTAGACTGGGGGCACGTCTCTTCTTCGCTGTCTCGATACGAAAATCCTCTCGAACCGCATGAGTCCATGCCCGGACCTTCTTCTCTCCCCAGCCAGGTACAGTATTAATCTGTTCCGGTTGTGCGTTGATAGCATTCTGTAGGCTCCCGAACGTGGATATGAGGCTTGCTGCGTCGGATTTGTTAATGCTTCTAGGAGTCGTTACAAACTCGACTAGGCTCTCTTTATAAGACTGGGCCTGTTGCGAACGGATGGCAGTCGGTTGCGCGTTTTCAGAAGATTTAAACAACTCCAGATAGTGGGCGGCTTCGGGAGCCGACCAGCAGAGTATGAGAGTGAGGTTATTCACGATAGAGGTCTTGGAAAGCTCTTTCAAGCTATCCTCGTGGTTCGGGATATCGACCATTGTCAGAAGAATACGAAGATTGTACTTGCCTCCTAGAGAGCGAATGCGAGAGTATATATATTCGGGATGCAGCCGGTGGTACTTGAGAGACAGGAAGAGGGCACAGGTAGTGCGGCCGATCACATAGTCTGCCGGGATATCCTCATATTCCCAGGGTAAAAGCTTAACATGATTGAGGATGGGGTTGCCTTTCTGCCGATGAGACACAAGAATTGCTGAGGGACCGGTCTTTGCTGCTAATGCTTGTGGTTTGGGTTGTTGGACTTTGGGTGGTTGTGAGGGCGGGTTTCCAGCGGCCGGCGCTGAAGGTGTATTCTCTCCTCCACGGGTCACATTTTCAAATTCTGGGACCTCACCAAACTCTTCATCCATCGTGCTAGTTCAGCTTCACGAAATCGTTCATGTCGAAAACAAGCGCCCCTGGAGATCCTATCGAGTCCTGGAGATAAGAAGTTACTCTCACCGCCCTTACAGGCTCTGGATCCACTTGCCAAACCATCTTTTCTGCCGCTAATTTTACAGCCAATGTGAAAAAAGTCATTGCACCAACGATAGCTGAAACTCCCAAAAAAAGACGAATTTCCAAGACCGATAATACCCAAGACGCTGTCATGGCTGAAGATAAGCCAAATACAGAGCCTGTCAATGACAGCTCTGCTGCTCAGCAGGCGAAGCGCACCCTTTTCGTTCGATCTCTCCCCGAGTCTGCGACGACTGAAAACTTGGCAGAATACTTTTCGCAATCCTATGTTTTAAAACACGCCGTTGTTGTTTGTGATCGGGAGACTAAGAAGTCCAAAGGATTTGGTTTTGTGACATTCGCTGATCTGGATGATGCGAAGAGCGCCCTTGAGGAATTCAATGGATCGGTATTTGACGGGAAGAAGATCAAAGTTGAATATGCAGAGTCCCGCAATCGTGAAGTCGATGAGACAAAGGGACGGAGTTTGCCTTCTACTACTGCTACCAAGTTGAAGGAAGAGAGGGAAAAGCAGAGAGCGGCCAACCAACCACCTCGATTGATTGTTCGGAATCTGCCATGGAGCATCAAGGAATCCGATGACCTTGCTGTTCTGTTCAGAAGCTTCGGTAAGGTCAAGCAAGCCATTGTTCCGAAAAAAGATGGAAAGCAGGCAGGTTTTGGCTTTGTTGTGCTGCGAGGCAAAAAGAACGCTGAAAAGGCTCTGGAAGCGATCAACGGAAAGGAGGTAGATGGCCGGACTTTAGCGGTGGATTGGGCTGTTGACAAGGGCACCTGGGAAAACCTCAAGACTCCTACTACGGATGAAGGCGACACTCAGAACCAGGAGGAGAAGAACGAGGGTTCGGAATCGGGTGATGTCGATATGGCTGAAGCACCAGAGGAGATTTCAGATGCCGATTCTGTGGATGACTCCGAGGATGATGAAGATATTGAGGACCTAGACGAGGACGATGACGAGGAAGATGAAGAGGAGGAAGAGGAACAAGAGGACGAACGGAACGCCTCTACAGTGTTTATCCGGAACTTGCCCTTTACATGTACAGACGAGATGCTTTACGAGCATTTTGAACAATTTGGACGCCTACATTATGCACGGATTGTTGTCGATCCTGAGACCGAGAGGCCTCGTGGCACGGGCTTCGCCTGCTTCCGAAACGTTGACGACGCTTTGTCTTGCATACGCGAGGCACCGAAACAGACAGACACGGTGACCGCAGATAAAGACAAAGCCAAGAAAGGCGCAACAGCTTTCAAGCAGTCCGTTCTACAAAACGAGAGTACCGACCCCAGCGGACGGTATACTTTGGATGGTCGAGTACTGCAAGTGGCTCGTGCTGTCAGCCGGTCTGCAGCTGTGAAGCTTGAAGAAGAAGGTGTTTCACGACGTCTGGTTCGTGATAAGGATAAACGCCGCCTCTATCTCCTGTCCGAAGGAACCATTCCTTCCAATTCGCCTCTCTACAAAAAGCTTTCCCCGACCGAGATTAAGATGCGCGATGACAGCTTCAAACAACGACAAAATTTCATCAAGAAAAACCCGGCCCTTCACCTCAGTCTGACTCGACTTTCTATTCGCAACATTCCGAGACATGTCACCTCCAAGGACTTGAAAGCTCTGGCGAGAGAGGCAGTTGTTGGATTTGCCAAGGACGCCAAGAATGGTGTCCGGCAACCTCTGTCGAAAGAGGAGATTCGTCGTGATGCAGATGCTATGAAGGAAGCAGACACTCTTCGGAAACAGAAACGCCAGGGAATTGTTAAGCAGGCCAAAATCGTTTTTGAAAGTCGCGACGGCGGTAAAGTTAAGGAGGATAGTGGCGCCGGACGCAGTCGAGGCTACGGGTTCATTGAGTATCACACTCACCGCCACGCACTCATGGGCCTCCGGTGGCTAAACGGTCACGCGGTCGAAGCCCCAGCAGATGCTGCGTCCGAGATGAAGGAGAAGAGGAAACGCCTGATCGTTGAATTTGCCATTGAAAATGCGCAGGTAGTCAAGCGCCGGAGCGAGCTCCAGGCGAAGTCTCGGACTTCTCAGAAGTCTGGTAACGGCAAGGAAGGCCCCGAGAAGGACAATGATGCATCGAAGAACGCCTCTGGACGAGGAAAGAAGCGGAAGAGGGCTGAAAGTAATGGAAAGGACAAAGAGAATAAAGATGTAGAAGAGGAGAACAAGATCGCGAAGCGCAACCGGATCATTGCGAAGAAACGCATGCAACGCAAGACAAGGAAATCAAAGGCTTAAGAGGAGGGAACACCCACAAGCATTGCATTGTCAATATAGACGTCTCGTTGTATATTTACATTGATATCCTTATTGGTTCTCTGATAATGTCAATTTAAAAGTTTCTGTGATTTGGAAATGTACTTTATAGTTATTAGTAGTCCGAGTAATATTTTATCATCGCCTTATACGGGGGGGAAGGGGGTCCAACCGCTCGAAATGCTGTTCCGATTATAAATTCAAGTACGACGCAATTCGAATCAACAATTAGTCGCGCCCTGGACCTTCCCAACGATATTGTACCGCTTGCTGAAAAAGGTATACCATTCGCTCAGCACCGTTTTCTCCTTCTCCTCCAAATCATACCAGTCAGACCTGCAATCCTCGGCCTTCAAAGAAGACGAGGCGAGCGCACGGGAAGGGTCCTTTCCAGCAAACACTGGAACCTAGTTCAGCAAGTCGAGTCTAAATAATATATCACAGAATGTGAGATTGCCGACATACCGTGGTACTGCCCGCTAGGTCCGTAGGCGGGATTCTTGCTCACATCGAATACAATGCCCTTGATAGCAACTAGGGTAGGACGACTCGGATCCGTGCCTATAATCAAAATAGAAAAAAAGAAGAGGTCAGCTTCTAGTATAGAGCCATCAAGCCATTGCGCGAAGCGAAGCTGAGGGTCTTTATTTACCGTCGCATTTTGACAGCTCCTCTACGGTGATTGGGTCGTCCTTCGGCGGATTCAGCTGGACTGGCACCTTTGGCGCAAAGCTCTTGGGTTCGCGCTCTTTGTCAGGCATTGTGAAAGGTGTGTGGTGTGGTGTCTGATCAATATGGCAGTTAAAGGGCAACCGATTTTCCGAGTTGGATAGTGGAAGAGCAATTGCGGGGTCTGTTGCAGGCGGGGTCAAAACCGACGTAATAATACCTGGTACGTAGGTCATTGGCCTGGTCAAAATTATGATGTTATAATTGGCTTTTTCGAGATTCTTTAGCGCATAACTTATGACTTTGAAGCATAACAGTACTGGACAATATTATTAGTTTAGGGGTTATATTGGTAGGAGTAAAGGTTTTTTGGTCCTACAGCTGTATAAGGGGTATAGAGCTGGTGTGGATATAACTATAGGGATTGTTACCATGAATTCCTAATTATTTATTGATTTCTATGAGCTCTTATTATAATCTTGATCTATATCTACAGCTAAAGTAAGCGTATTCTCCTAATTACTGCCAATTCACGGTCATCATATGTTAGGGCGGCGTGGCCCTCTCAGCAGAATGATGATGATTATGATGGATGAAGGCTGAAGTCATAGTCTACAGCCCACAGGACAAGTTAGCCACCCGACAACTATCCCATTCTTAGTCTTACATATCGAAAGTCTCCTGAAATAAACAGTTTCTATAGTTATGACGTCAAGCAGTTCTGTAGATGCTGGAACGGGCGTTGATTTGTTGCTGGGCAATAGAAAAGCAAATGTTGTGGTGAACCACGAACCTCTTCCAGAAGTAACCTTACTTGGTCTTCAAGTCTTGGAGTACTGCAAGGGTCAGTTGATCGCCTCGATATGCATCTTTGCTCGCCAATCCAGCAGACTGTGTTCTCGGATTACACAACCTAATAGACTGACCACCTCTTACTCGGACGTCTTGCTCTAGGCTACCAAACAGTACACGTTCCTAATGATAAATACCATCATGTCATCTCATCAAGAGACGTCAAAAGCAACAGAGCAGCACCAACCTGTTCTGATTACTCCTGAAACCCCAGATCATCACAACAGAACCGATGCCGACTCGGATCTTTCGCATTACCTACACTACGAAGACAACAATTGCTTCTTCCCCCCAAGCTGGCTAGGGAAAGAGCCACAGCGACAGCTCGACGACGAAGCCGTACACCGATCTAGAGGACGGGAAGGCCGCCTTGACGCTCCTCATGGTGCCGCACGTTGATCAGGCTTACTATCTAGGTGTAAGAGGGAAGGCGTCGTGGTAATGGGCATTTAACGATTCTACCTACCATGGTTTTTCTCAAGAGTTTACACCGGTAAATTGTATGATAGCATTCTAATGCTCTCAAGTCATATTCACATTTCAATTATTAGTTTCTTTAAAATAGTATAGATACAATTGTCACCAACAGGAACGCTTCAACGCCATATTTATATGCCGATGCCGTTCAGCCCTCTCTACTTTTGTTCCTCGTTCTGTCTTGCAGCTTCCGCCTCTTTCAACGCGGCCAGTCGCTGCTTGTTCCTCTTCCCCAGCACGCGCAGTGTATTCCGCCGTTCGATTTCCGTCATTTGCTCCCAGTTTGAAATTCGGGAGAGCGTTCCGTCTTGGTTCACAACCATGGGACCAAAATGGTCGAGTTTCACGGTGGAGCCGCCCTCGGCGCTGAGATCAATCTTATGACTATTCGATCCGTCTGTAGGGTCTGTGGATGGGAGAGCGAGAGGCGCTTTCGGTTTCCCATCTTGGTCTTGGTTTTGGTCAGCTGCTTCGGCTGATTTGACGGGGTCGGACGACATCATGGACGAGGTGGAAAACGGTTGATGTGGGACAAGAAGCGACGGACAGTGGAGGTACAGCGCGGAGAAGGATCTGAGGTTCGACGATTGGTTCACATATAATGACCCGGTCGGCGCTCGGTAGATATTCGAGGCAGCGGTGGCGCTTCCACGAGCTGGGAAGAAAAGTAGAGGGCTCAGGGTAAGGTGGAGAAGCGTGCTGTAGAGTGTGTTGCGAGACATATGCATGTCTGTCCCACCTTTGGACAATTGGATTAAAAGCGGTACCTGCGAGGAAGACAATGGGTAGATGTGTAGGCGTGTAGACCCTGAGGAAAGGTTGCTGTGCCGGAATGGTCGCGCAGATGATTGAACATTAATTATCAGGGTGGATCTCCGCCGGAAAGAACCCGCTTTCTACACAGTATCTCTCTCTCGTTCTATGCTTATTTCTATACATTTCTCTTAATATTTTGGTTACATTGTAGATTACTTTGAAATTTTACAGATCTATTTCATATACCATGTCAGTTATATGTCTAGGTCTGTCGTCCGATCGCACAGCTTTGGTTCGATCAATCGGACTGTATCATGCACCCGTCTAGCGAAACCACCAATTGACCTGATTAAAGATTAGCACTCTTTCGGAATAGGAATATAAATAGTCAGATATACCGATGCAGTAACCCCGTTTCCGACTCCTTTGATGCTATGCCACCAGCCATTCGGTATAAAAAGACCATCGCCAGCCTCCAAGCGTGCTTCATAGCCCCAACTGTCGGACACAGAAGTAAGCTGGCTTGGGTCAACGTCATTCCAAACCAACTGCTCAATGATTTCTCTCTCTTGCCCTTGCATCATTTCCTCGCCGCGGAACGAGGCTGCCTCGCGAGTCCCGCTTTTCCCAAGATATCGTCTCACAGTCCCAAACAGTGCCAAACCATCCTCCGGCGCCAGCAGCCGCACGATCTTGCACCCTGCAAGCTGCACAAACAAATTCGGATTGGGGTCACGATGGAGGGGGGTGTATGTAGGCGGGAGTCCGATCCACACGTTCGTATCGTAGATGTCTCCCTTGCCTGCCTGCAATACAAGCTCTGGAGTAGGAAAATCGTCGCGCAGGGTCGGAGGAAGGTCGAGTAGTTGGCACTGCGCTAGATATAGCCGCATATCTTGTGATTGTTTTTCCGCCGCGCGGATCCATTGTAGGAAGAGACTCAATGGGGCCTGAAACTTCCGAAACTCGGTACCATCTTCTTTGCTCGCATGCGTGTCCTCAGTCCCTGGTGTAAGCTCCAAAGGCACATACGCATCACCGCCATGTTCCGTGAGATAGTCAATATTCAAACGAGATATGTTCGTCTCGGAGACAGAGGGTTTGAACCATCGTTCGGACGCAGGCAGGTCGCAAAAATAATGCCGAGGTAGAATCGTGGGGACTTCAGGTTTGAAATGACGCTCACGAAAGCTGGCTATGTCAATATCGTCAAGTCGTCCAAGGTCACGGTATTGATGCGTTCCCGAGATCTTGTTCTTGTAGGGTAGCTGGCAATCCGAGCTGTACAGTTGTCGTCCATCATAGTTGGATCTGTGAGCTCGCGCGACAAGACGTGGGAATCGCGCCAAGATTCGAGCTTTGTCGCAGAGAACAATAGGCCATCCTGCTGCGTTCATCCAGATCCTTCCGGCATCAGGAGCCGGTAGAGTATTTGATAAGAATGATCTCCAGAAACGCAGATCTGCCGTCGAGACAACTAAAGTCTTATCCCGAGCTATTCCACATTAGGCATAGGAGGTGATCCGTCATGTAATTATCCTCCGGATCTACCGGTACACTACCTGCATCTCTAGGTATTCATGAACTATTGAAAGATGCCTGCATAACTAATGGATTGTTTTAGTGATATGAGGAATGAGACTATATGTCGATCTAGCCTTCAAAATATGCCAGTCTACCGATGTGAAGAGCCTCTACAAACCAAACCTATACTAAGTGCGACGAGGTCATAACTAGCTGTTTATCCCGTCCCTTAGGTACCTGATTCTAAAAGGTATCCTTTCGAAAGACTGGTATCACCAGGACTAACCAAGAGTTCAGATAGCAGCCATGAACCTCGCTCGATACTAATAGTCTTGGCCTCGGTAGCTGAATCGAAGATGATCGATAGAGAAATCCTACTCCGTGCCGAGGTCTCACGTTCTGTATAACAATCACACGTTCCTCAAGTAACGCACCCTCCACACCCATTTTTGCTTTATCGCCATTCAGCAGGGATAAATAAGAAGCTATCTGTCAAAATGAATTTCTATCCTTTACTCCATTTTGATCTAGCAGATGGGACTAATATACTAGTTATTTTCCTCGGTCGAAGCTCCCAATTCTCAACTGGTTTTTTTTTTTTTTTTTTGAAATCATAACACTTCTTTCCTCCTCGACTGTATTAATTTAGCATGTCTTCTTCAGTATCAAGCATCCATAGGCGTCAAGCATACACTAAGAATGCCTACACCTACTATCCTGTGGCTATAATTGGCGCCGGCGAGTCTGGTATTGCTATGGGCTGCCGGATGAAAGAGAAACTCGGGTTCGATCAGTTCCGAATTTTTGAACGGCAATCAGGAATTGGGGGAACATGGTGGATTAACAGGTATCCTGGGGTTGCGTGTGACATGTACGCTCGATGAATCCATTTGATCTGGTGCTGGATTCAACCACAATGTTTACAAGTCTCTACTGCTAGACCCGCACTGTTCTACTCATTTTCCTTTGCGCCGAAGCGAGATTGGACAACCCTCCATCCGGCGGGGCCTGAGATTCAGCAATACCTCGTTGATGTGTGCTCCAAGTATCAAATTATAGACAAGATCCAGCTCAACACCGATATCAGACAGATCCGATGGCTTGAAGACGCAGAAGAGTGGGAGATTACACTATCCCATCTCGTGTCGGGTACCGGCGATTTATCGAAACGCGACAGAGACGAAAAAGTGGCGAGCGAAGGGCCAGAAAGCGTCTATATCAAAACGGAAGTTATACGGGCAAAGATCGTTGTCAGCTGTCTTGGAGCGTTGGTAGAACCCCAAGTATGGCCAGAATCCATTCCTGGAATTGATACCTTTGCTGGCGACTTGATCCATACGGCCCGGTGGGATGAGTCGATCGATTTGCAAGGGAAGAATGTCGTCGTGATCGGCTCCGGTTGCAGTGCAGCGCAGGTCGTGCCAAAATTGTCGGAAGAACTCGTCGGTACCAGCTCAGTCACTCAGCTCATGCGCAGTCCCCCGTGGGTTATACCCAACGAACTGTCTCCGGAAGGAATGGTGAAATGGGAGAAATATTCGCCCATTCTCATGCGTCGCATCCCTGGCCTCGCGCATGTACTCAGAAATGCGCTCTTCTTCCATTTGGAATCTGCCTGGTTCCGGATGTTTCAAAACAATGCCTTTGCACGTTGGCAGCGCCATTCCATTGAAAGGCAATATCTGAGTAACATGCGTCACAAAGTGCCCTCAAGATACCATGAAATATTAACCCCAAATTACGCAATGGGCTGTAAACGACGTGTTCTCGAGGGAGAATGGTTTCGCAGTCTTAACCGCCCCAATGTCGAGTTGACCACCCTGTCATTGACAAGCGTCCAGTCTCGCAGCGTAACTCTTGGTCCCGGCAGACACTATCCGCCTTCGAGCCAAACAGAAAGCAAGATACCCCATGATGAAGTGAAGCAGATACCGGCCGATGTGATCGTTTTGGCGAACGGATATCAGACCGTCTTGCATTATATGCACTCACTCCGGGTGATCGGTAGGGAAAACAGAGCCCTTCAAGATGTCTGGGATGAGCGTGGCGGTCCACAGGCATACCTCGGCACCGCGATGGACGGGTTCCCTAACTTTTTCATGATATATGGGCCCAACACCACAACGGGACAGAGTAGTGTGATTTATGCATCGGAGAACATGATCAACTACTCCTTAAATTTCATCGGGCCAATACTCGACGGTCGAGTCAGTTCGTACGAAGTCTCCGAGCTGGCGGAACGAAAATGGACGAGCGATGTTCAACGTACGCTTCGTGGCACCGTATTTGGTATCGGTGGGTGCAACAGCTGGTATAAAACTGAAGAAGGCTGGAACTCTACAACATATCCGTAAGCACCGTCATTGTGTCTCCATGTCATAAACTCTACTCACTGATTTCACATAGATACTCCCAGATCGACTTTTTTTTCCGTTGTACGTTCCCCGTTTGGCAACACTGGACCCCAAGATATACCACAAAGGGTCTCCGTATCCGGAGACTGAAGCGAGCCTTGTTGACTATGATACTTGGTGCTCTCGTTTGGATGAAAACGACTGAGAGAGGCATAAGAGCTTGGACAGGATTTGCTTCCTTTGTTATGAAGGCGACGCTTTCTGTGGTGGAAGCCTCTCTTCTCTGCGTACGGAGTTACTTAACGTAGACCTGACGGTTCTTTCCGTTTGAGCAATAAATAATATATTTCCAATCCAACCAAGGCCTGTAGCATTAAAAGACAACGTCACGGAATGTTGGAACATCAGATATACCATCGTGGGGGGCGATCCCCAACACCCTCTACCTCTACCTGTCGACACCAACAGACAGCCGTTCCCCGAGGTTTTTTAATCCCATTTCCAGCTTTCATTGCAACAAGCCAGATCAGCGAATCGTTCCTCGCTGATATAAAGTTTATCAATTATCAGTCAAATCTGGGGAACACTAGAGGATTAGCAAACCCCGCACCACTCATGTCTCCAGCGTTTCCAGCTCCTGACATCAGCACGGCTTCCGTCCTCCTTTTTTTAATACCAGCCAACGCTTCTGGCCTGTGGCAGTCTGAACACAGAAGATATGACATCAGAAACACAGAGAGAAGAGAGCATACCGCTCCCGATGTCCACAAACGAGTTTGAAGCGACACAGACTGTCGATAGCGCAAAAAGAAAGGCGGAACAGACGAACGGAACCCACACGCGCACAAAGCGGAATCGCTATATTTCCATTGCCTGGTATGGACCCGACTTCCCTGACCATTGATTGCTTTATTTTCTTTTTCATCGCCAGATCGTCTCCTAATTGTATATCTTTTCCCTTTTAGCAATGAGTGCAAGCGACGCAAAATCAAATGCAACGGCCAGGTGCCGTGTCAACGCTGTGGCCACCTCAATCTAGAATGTACGAGAGAGCAACCGCTGTCCTGTTCTTGGACTTGAAGAAGGATCGCTGAACAAGAGACACAGGCCGATATGCGCCCAATTGCTGCAATAATAATTTTAAGGAGTCAGAGTATGTGGTGGAGCGACCTGGTTGGACTTTGTCGTCGCTGTACGCACTCGAGCTGACTCTTCTTTTCGTCGGGATATTATAGTGATTTCCGTTTGATGAAGCAGCAGATTACGACGCTGCAAGAACAAGTCAATACGCTATTTACGAAGTTGAATGACTTCCGCGATCCGAATGCTTCGCTTGACTCGTCTTCGGCCTTCGACGGCTATTCCCGAGATGGCTCCCAGCAGATCTTCGCACCGCTTCATCCAGGGCCGTCAAAGCCACCTTCCAAACATTCGCGCTTCCATGGGCCTACAAGCACCGTTTTCAATTTCAATGTGGCCAAGTCAAGCCTCCAGACCATGGGGATTGCGCCTCCGGATGATGTGATTCCGGACGACCTTACCACTGCACATGCGACGCCTTCTGGATCTCCACCTCCGCCTATATCCTTACCTATCTCCACTGTCCATCCCTCTAAAGACCCTATCTGGTCTATAAAACGAGAGGAGGCTTTACGACTCTGTAGGGTCTATGAGGAGGAAATTGGGATCATGTATCCGCTCATCAACATCGAGCAAGTGAACAGCCGAGCCAATCTACTCTACACCTTTATGGAGGCTGCAGCTCGTACTGGCTTCGCCCAGCGAGGGATGCCCGGCTCGGATGGCTTACATGACGATGACACAAACATTCTAAAAATAATCCTTGCCACCACCCTCGTTGTTGAAGGGAATGGACGAAGCGATATTGGGCAGCGACTGTACATGAGCATGAAACCGATCATTGAGTCCAAGATATGGCAGCCAAGTGATCTCAAGACCATTCAACTTTTTGCCATAGTTGTATGTCTTCCCCTTCATTCCCCAGAAAGTCGGGATTGGTCCCATCTGCTAACACGGCTGGCCGTTTTCAAAGGCAATGTATCATTTCCATACAGACGACGATATCATGGCTTACCGCTTGATCGGAGTAGCTGCTCGTATGTGTCTCGAGCTTGGGTTACATCGGCGTGATGCATTGATCAAATCTTTCCCGGACGAGGGACAATGGCCGAGCGTCAGCAACGTCTTTTGGTCAGTATACACCTTGGATAGACGTTGGAGTTTCGGAACGGGGCTGCCATTTGTGATCCAAGATGAGGATATTGATCCCAACCTACCCGAGCCAGTAAGTGAGCGGCGTTTTGTGACCTGACCTCTTTTCCCTTGCGAGTACTGATTCCCATTTTAAGGATTCCTCTTTACCATACCTCAACTGCATGATTGCTTATAATCGCATCAGCGCGAAGATCTGGTACTCTGGACTTGGTTCAGAGGGTGCCACGGATAGCAAGAGAGATGAGATTGGGTATCTTGACTACCAGATCCTCCAGTGGTATAAACAAGTTCCAGACACCCTGAGATTCTATCCGCAAGATTCACCCAGACAACGCGAACCCGCCAACCGAGGTCTGCAGCGGTTACGCGTCGTTCTCTATCTCCGCATGAATCAGCTGAGGATCCTAATCTACCGTCCCGTGCTACACTCGACCGGAAGCATCGTGGAAAGCCGAGGGCAGGCACTGACTGTGGTCGAGATTGCCAAGGATACCATTCGAGTACTGACACACTTGAACCAGTCGACCGATATATACCGAAGTCAGCAAGTCACTTTTAACTACTTTCTTTTGGCTGCACTTGCTGTACTCTTCCTTGCTGTGTCCCATGCCCCCGGAGAATTCAACCGCCAGGTGCGGGAAGAGTTCTATATGGCTCTTGATCTAGTCAGCGGGTTCAGTGCAAAGTCGTACGTTGCAAAGCGGCTTTGGAAGACCATCAAGGGGCTTCGAAAGATTGGCGAGAAACTTGGAGTTCTGAATCGCCCCTTTGCGTCTCACTCCGACGACCCCCATTCGACAGCAGCGGTCGCCATGGCAGGCCTCGCAGGCCACCCGATAGAAGATATATCAGTTTATGGGCCGGTCGGCGCCATGAACGAACTAGGGAACAGCCCATTAAACGGGCTACAGATGAGCCAGGAGCTAACGAATCTGTTCGAAGCGGTAGGCGGACTGAACTCCTTCATGGCCTCCGGTACAGCTCCAGATGGCCTCCATGGGTTCGTCGGCGTCGATGGAGAGATCCAGAACACCAGCGAAGGATTGCCTGGTGTTCTAGGTAATGAAGGAGGGTTTTCTAGGGTCATCAGAGACCTTTTTTGAATTGATTTATTAAATGGCTTATAACAGGTCTAAATTTGATACTCTGTTACTACTTGTCTATTGATATATAGCCTTGCAGGTCACTTGATATCCATTTCTTTATGTCTCCTTCTATGCCTCTTTTAGTAAAAAGATATCTGAACTCCAACCTGTATTCCTGTAATCCTGTGTCCTATGAATGACAATGATAATAGAAGAATGAAGAACGGACCCGGGACGAGACCCCCAATTCACGTGACATGCCTTAGGTCAACCACCAACAATTCTTGGGCAGTTTTGAGAATCTCAATCGTCTCGCTTCGGAGGGCGACAGTCTTCTTTGAGAGCTATTGTTATTTACCTGCCCAGCGACCTGAGGAGAGCTCTGTCCTGTCTGTCCTTCGTGCCTCCCACCGCCTCGCAAATCGTAAGGTCTCCATTCTTCGTCGATCGCCGCACCCACACCGAGAGATTTCGGACCCCCCCCCGTTTTCGACTGTGTTCGAGAATTTGTCCACTAGTTCCAGGCGTCAATAGCTGTGCCGTCTGTCTTGACATACTCTTTTGTTTTCTTTTTTTTTGGCCTGCAGAAAATTCGTTGTGGGGAGTCAGCCAGCTATTGATATTTCTTATCGGTCAGAGCGCCATCGCGTCAACGCTCCCTCATCGCACAACTCCCGCCATCCCGCACACTGCGATGACCCCTCTACTAGCACTTATCGCATAGTCCACCACACTCCACGCCCGACTATACCCCTCAAGTTAGCGAATCGTTCAGCGTGAAGCCATTTTTACGGCGGTTCTGTTCGGTTCTCTCGGTGACCAACCAGGCTGCAACAGCGCTTGCTGCTTCCTCGGCCACACACAACACGAGAACGAGGTTCGCTGGCTACCTGTGATCTCTCCAGCTCTCCGATTGTCCTCGGTCACTAGCTCGACAACGTGTCGAGAGAGACAGGGTCGGCGCTGGTCAACGGCCTGGATAGGCTGGACCTGAGCCAATTATCCGAATCGACGCCGTCGACGTCCGTGACCGATTCTTTCGCCATGTCGTCGTCGGAAGGAGCCCCGGAGTCATGGATCTCCTCGTTCTGCTCACTGATGGGGCATGAATTCTTTGCCGAGGTGTCGGAAGATTTTATCGAAGACGACTTCAATCTGACGGGGCTGCAATCCCAGGTCCCCATGTACAAGGAAGCTTTGGAAATGATCCTGGACGTGGAACCAGAGGACGACGATGAAGAGGAAGAGGAGGAGGAGGAAGAGGAGGAGGATGAAGATGATATGCTGGGTGACGAAAAGCCCCTCGGTTATCGGAGAGCGGGTGATCGGAGGCATGCTCGCGTCGCGAGTGACCTGAGTGTGATTGAGAGCTCTGCCGAGCTGCTCTACGGCCTGATCCACCAGCGATACATCACGTCACGACCGGGGATCCAGCAGATGTTCGAAAAGTACGAGATGCAGCATTTTGGCGTCTGCCCGCGCGTGAACTGCAATGGTTGTAAGGTTTTACCCGTTGGACGGTCAGACACTCCCGGCCAAGAGACCGTGAAGCTCTTCTGCCCGAGCTGCCAGGACGTCTACACTCCGCCCAACAGCCGCTTCCATTCCGTAGACGGTGCTTTCTTCGGAACAACTTTTGGATGTCTGTTCTTCATGACATTTCCGGACCTCGATATCGGGCCTCGTCTCAACAACGTTCTATCTCCGACCTCACCCCTCGTGGCCAACACGAACCAATCTCGCTCGTCCTCTTTGAACTCTTCTGCAGTCGTGACTCGCGCATCACCAGAGTTACCCCCCCCTAACCAGCCAACTGAGATCAACGGAACCCGCACAGTCAACTTCTGCACAGGACTGGGTTCAGGCAAGATCTACGAATCTCGGATCTACGGATTTCGCGTGTCGGAACGCGCCCGGTCGGGTCCCCGGATGAAATGGCTGCGTATGAAGCCAACAGACATCTCGGAACTGGATGAAGTGGTAATCTTTCACGCCGTCCACGGAACATCCGACACCCGGGCAGACAACGGTGGAGACACCGATATGAACACCCTCCCTGCGGGATCCCAACAGTCGGCCGTTGGAAAACGGAAAAAGGCCCCGATGCGGAGACGCCGACAAGTCGCTGCCAACCCGGATCAGATGAGCATAAATGGAGGGGAGGGTGGCTAGACAGACTACACCGCATCGGCACACTTCGAAGAAGAAAAGAAAAAGAAAAAGAAAGAAAAAAAGAAACATGTACAGATTGCAAGGTTTTGGACAGATGCAAGACAGTAGATGTGTTGATCTATTGCCTGTTCTTTTTTTTCCCTTTTTTTTTCTTCTCTCATCTCTCCTTGTCCTTTTCTTGTCTGCTTATTTTCTTCTCGCTTTTTCTTTATTCTAACAGCATGAACACAATTTTCCATACTAAATCTCCAACGCATCTTTGAATGTCTCTTCGAAATATCTTTCTTTCTTCCTTTCTTAAATTCGTGGCTATCTATGCGATTTGCAGCCACGCCATATAAGCATAAGCTTCCAATGTCTTCATCTCATCTACGTCCTAGCTTAACCCTTTCGTCCCTCTCAAGAGCCACCATATTCAAATACATAGCTACATGTTATTTAAAGCAGGACATCTCAGTAGATAGCAATCACAAAGAAGAAAAAGAATCAGCAATAAGGCGGGGTTTGACTATGAGAAATTCTACACTAGATAATGAAAAGTTCCATCTCAAATTCACAATCATGGTCATCTTGTATCTTCTCATAAACAATGGTGTTTGGTATTCTGGCAGGAACTGAAATTTACAAAAAAAAAAAAAAAAAAAAAAACTGGAAAACGCTAGAGCCTTGTGTCTATTGCTCCATAGAAGAAGAAAAGAAGAAGGCAAGATCATGACTTCGGCAGTGCGGTATGTTATCCAATGAGACGAAGGTTGACCTGCAGATAGAACTGCGAAATGGATATCATTTGGTGAGAAGATTAGCTTTGTAAGGCCCGGTCATGCACAGCTTTCGGGGCAAGAGAGTGAAGTAGTCTCTTTTTTTTTTTTCTAGATGAAAATGCGGTCTATTGCGGCCGCGGCTGGGTGGAAGTGTATGGTTCGAATCCGGTCAGGGCCGGGTATTCCATTCCGAGGGGGGGGTTCATAGTGTTCTCTTCCATGTAGTAGTACGTTTGCGCTGACGAGGCGGTTGATGGCATTACTTCCGGCAGCATAGACGATAGGTGGCCTGCGTATCCGTTCGGAAGGGAGATATCCTCATAGTAGCCGACCATGGGAGGTTCGTAGACCGGTGGTTGGGGGTATAAAGTATGGTTGTATAGGTCAGGCTGAGAATAGGGAGGATAAGGCTGTGGAGGCGAGGCTGAGAGCTGCTTGGCGAGGTGGTAGGAGAAGATTGCCTCCTCGTCTTGTCCGGTAGACCTTTCAAATTCTAATGAGGTGCGAGGCGGCTGAAAACGTTGGTTCTCGTCCGAGGTAGACCGTTCAGGCGTCCTTTTCTTCGTGCGCGATTTGAAGGCTTGCGCCTGCTTCGGTCGAACCGAGTCTTCGTGTCTTCGTTCCGGTAATACGGGTGTGGTTGCGGCTCTTCCTTCTAGATCCTCAAGACGGCGCTTCATCTTTTGCCCTATATATTGATGGCAATTAGAGTTCCATCCATAGTTGGTAGCGCATATGTTTTCATGAGGAATCTAGACTTACGATAGTTTCGCTGGGCGATTCTGTTTTGTATCCTGCGTCGTTCAGCAAGGTCCGAGATCTTAGTCCAATCTTCATCCGGGTTCGCGTTTGGGCCAAAAGCACTGCTGGTGCTATGGTTTGCGAAGGTTCGGGGGTCCATGATCGGATGGTAAGTGTAGGTATATAATGCGTTCATGTGAGAAAGCAGGCTCTATTTTTCGAACTTGATTTGGAAGTTCGAATCGACGAGGCAGGCAATTGAGTAGGAGGCAATGTGAGATGATGGTTCATCTTTCAACCAGCGACGACCGGAGGGGATAAATATGTAGCTTTTATGATAGCTGGGCCAGCCCTTGACTCCATCCTGGGCTGTTAGCTCGCCGTTGGATAGCCTTAAAACATGTCCGTGCTTCGATGTTGGAGCTCAGCCAGAAGCCGGAAATAAATGTATGTATAAAGGGAATGGCAGTGCTAGTACTCTTTTAAAAAATGGTTTAAATTGACCATCCTCTTGAGAGTTCACCCGTTAAGCAGCGAAAGGATTCATAGCCTGTCCACTGCGCCATAGCTTTGAAGGAGCCGGCCAATGGGCCCCCCGTGTATGGAGTAATCCAACAGCATTAAGGGTACCTAGCCAGACGGGAATTGGCCAGCGTCGAGGGAGTTCCCAATTGGCCATTGCCCTGGCAAACTGCTTCAGCGTAGGGCTGATGGAAGGGCCAACACGCCAGATCAGGAAATGGAAGGCCTGACTCCGCCTCCTCGACGTCCCTGATTTGCTCCGCCTCTCTGCATCGCCTTGGGGGCCGCGTTATATCATTGGAGAGCTCGACTAATACACAGATTAGCGGTCTCCATTTTATTAGATTACCTCAGTAATACCTTTACCTTTTCTTTGAAGAATAACCCCGAGTCCGTAGGGAGTGGTAGTCCTGCTGTTTGATTTGAAGCACCTGGTCAGCCCCATAGCCGCACCTGCCACCAACTTTCCTGGTGCCAAAACCGTCGGTTATTAATAGAAAATGAAAAAGAAGCATCTGCCGTCCAGCCCTGTAGGAATATTACTTGCCTTGAATAATCTGCATGGATTTTCTCCTAACTATAATCAAGGGAACTAATGTCCACTTGCAACCCCACGGGGCCCGTTTCCCTGCCTCAGGCTTTAAGGGATTCAGGGTTAGAGGTTAGGTAGTTAGTTATCTGTTGATTGACAGAGCTTCTGCAAGTCAAGGAGTTTATGGTTTTCTAATTTCAATACTTTCAAATTGTTTATATGATTGGAGAAATGACTGTATCTCTGCAAGTATGAATGGGACCTTTCTGTAGGTAGAGAAGGTTCTGATCTGTCAGGGCTTGTCTGATGCTGAAGTGTAACAGGGGGCTGACAGTTAAGCATGCCCAGCTGGAAAGCACATGACCTGCTGACATTGTGACAGTTGACCCATCAGAGAGTTTTGATTGCTACCTGATAATTACGTAGGAAAACATTATCAGTCTATAATATTGACATTGGGCCTTTCTAGATTAATTGATTCGCTGCTGCTAACCAAAAGAGGAAATTTGAGATAGATTAACAGAGATAGGGTGTCTCAATAGAGAGACTAGACATACTGCGCCACTTATTAACACCTAAAGGGGGGAGCCTCTATACACGGTAGCTATTGGCGGAAGAGAAACGAACGTTAGCGTCAAATTTGAGGTAGTCTTTCAGCTCCAGGAACAGGGTCTTACCTCCACTGGTGCTCCTCGTCACCGTATTGGATATCCTCGATCCAGTTCTTCATCGATAGGGCAATCTCGCCGGCTTCCTCGTTCTCCTTCAGACCGCAGTCCACCAGGTTACCCTTGTAGCTGATTTTGCGGACGGGGCTGACGATCGCAGCCGTACCGGCTCCGAACACTTCCAGCAGTCTTCCCTCCTCTGAGGCCTCCACAACCTCCGACATGCGCATCTTACGTTCGGAGACAGCCCAGCCCTTGGGCACCAGCCTCTCCCGGGCCAGCCCCAGAATAGAGTCTCGAGTAACTCCTTCAAGAATAGTTCCATCCAGGGGAGGAGTCACCAGCTCCTTCTGACCAGTTTCCTTGTTCTTGACAGCAATGAAGAGATTCATCGTACCAGATTCGGTCACGTACTCTTCTTCGCCGAAAAGCCACAGATTCTGCTGGAAACCACGGGAGGAGGCCTGAAGTTGCGGAACAACGCACGGCGCATAGTTGGCACCCAGCTTCTTGTCGCCAACACCGCCAGGCCACGCGCGGACAGCGTAATCAGTGGCTTCCAGGGAGATGGCCTTGAAGCCGGTGGGATAGTATGGCCCGACGGGGCTAGCGATGACAAACAGAAGAGCGGATCCCGGGGGTCCGACGCCCAGGGTCTTCTGGGTACCGATCATGGTTGGTCGAAGGTACAATGAGTATCCTCGTCCCCTGCATTCAGTCAGTCAATCCTACACATGACACGCTCTAATCCACGACCGAAGTCACTACTAACTCTGGGACAAATCTGCTGTCTAGCTTCACCATTTCTCCCATCATTTTGATCAATGCCTCGCCATCGAAATTAGGGAGAGCAATGCGTGCGGAGGACTTGTTTAGTCGTGCCATGTTCTTGTCAGGGCGGAACAACCGGACCTGACCATTCTTGTCCTTGTAAGCCTTCATGCCCTCAAAACACTCAAAGGCATAGTGGAACACGCATGTAGCCGGATCCATGCTGAAGTTCTGGTATGGGGTGATTCGAGGCTCGTGCCATCCATCCTCGGCCGTCCATTCGATACAAAGCATGTGGTCTAGAATTGTGCTATTGTTAGTGATTGGACATGGATGTAGAGCAGAATAGCTAATTATTTTTTTTTCATACCAGTGAAAGTCTTTCCAAAGACAAGCTCTTTGGGAGGGATCACCTCCTTAGGGGTGGTGGTCTTGGTGATAGACAGCTTAGAAGCGTCAAGCGCAGCGAGCTGGGAGGCCGCGGCAGGAGTCTGGCTAAAGCTTCTCTGCCATAGCCGATTCGCACCAGATCTGTTCAATGGCATCGCGCGAGGTGCGGTATATCGAGGCAGCGCTCCACGGCGCGCCAATTGCTGTAGCGACTTCATTTCGGCTTATCTTTTGTGTTGCTCGGAAGGCAGAAGTTGGGGCAAAGACACCTGAAGACAGAGAGGTTCGTTAACTAACAGCGTTGATAGGAAGGTTGGTTTCAATGGGATAGGAAGCGTACTCCGCAGTTTTATAATTGCCAAGTAGATAGAATCGATATGACTCTTTCCGATATGACTCTGTTGAACAGACGGTGAGACACCGAAAATTACAAATGCGGAACTCACAGGAAGGTCCCGGTGACTCGTATCAAACGCCGCCAGACACAGTAACCAGTCAGCTGTCCTCGGCTCAAATCCGACATCGGAAGAATGCATCACGTGAACCGGGGAAGAGCTCCCAATTCCGGATGACTCTTTGGGCGTCGACTTTCAGGCGCTTTATGATTCGTTATTCTCGACCGTTCTTACATAATCATATGTTCCTGGGGCAGTGGCGTAGTTGGGAGCGCGTCAGACTGAAGCTTTAACTTCATCACAAAGGATATCTGTTCATCCTATCTGAAGGCCACCGGTTCGATCCCGGTCTACCCCATTTATGTTTTTGTTTTTGTTCTTTTTGCTTTTTTTTATTGGAATAAATAAATCTGTTTCCTAGGCAGTCGAGCTTTTTCTTGCTCTTAGAACTGTGGTTTTGACCTGTTCCTGACCAGCTAGCTTCCTTGCCTTTCCGAGTACATACTAAGTTAAGTAACTACACAACGCACGTGTAGGAATATCATGTGATTTGGCGATAAGGGCCCGCTGTCCGTTATTCATGCCTGATAAATGACACTCAATGTGAGGAGTAGCGGAGGGTTGGTTAGCTGAAACCCCCTGAACAACAGCAACATTGGGTATAATGACTTGGCGCTGACATCCTGACCAAACCTAATAAAGCTTTTCTTCTCCTCCTTCTTCTATTACAGCTTAAAATTGGACTTAGCTGCAGCTTGTGGGACGCGATAAAGCGCGATCATCCATAACTCCTAGCCGCCTCCTACCATTATTATCGCCCGTTCTTGATTCGGATACTTTTTGTATCAAAATGTTTTCCTCGGCGCTCAAGTCTTTCGGCTCTAATATATCAGCAAATTATCAAATTTCATCACATCCAAGCGTGTGCTCCGGTCCGTGGAAAGTTCATGATGCAAAGAAGAAATCCACCGACACGGCTGCGTCGGTCTTCATCTTCGAGCGGAAATTCCTCGAACCGCGCTCGGGTGGACTTGGTGGCCGCTCTGGCTCATCGGCGAAAAAATTGCAAGATGAGGTTGTTGAACGACTCAAGAGAGAAGCGGGCAATCTAGCACGCCTTAGGCACCCATCTATCCTGCAGGTTCTCGAGCCCGTGGAGGACACGCGCGGCGGTGGTCTTATGTTTGTGACGGAGCCTATTACAGCCTCGCTGGCCGGTTTGTTGCAAGGGAAAGACCAGCAAGAAGGCTCGCGAGCAAGTCGTCACACCACCGAGGATTCCAGTCGGAGACGAGCCGAAAATGACTTTGAAATCGATGAGCTTGAAATCCAAAAGGGTCTTTTGCAGATTGCAAAGGGCCTTGAGTTCCTCCACGAGTCAGCCGGGCTCGTTCATGGAAATCTCAACCCCGAAGCCATTTATATCAATGCCAAATCAGACTGGAAGATATCCGGGCTTGGATTTGCCGGTCCCGCCGCCGGATCAGAGACTCGGTCGACTCTTCCTCCTTTAGCCTTGTCTGAAGTTTTTTATCAAGACCCACGACTCCCTCAGGCTGTGCAACTGAACCTCAATTATACTTCACCAGACTTCGTTATGGACTCGAACGTGACGCCTAGTGCAGATCTATTCTCTCTCGGGCTGATTATTATAGCTCTGTACAATTACCCTCATGCGTCTCCGCTGCAAGCGCATTCGAATGTCAACACGTATAAAAAGTTGCTCAGCTCCCCCGCCACCACTCCGTCGCAGGGCAATTCATATCTTTCATCACGGCCCCTGCCTAAAGACGTCATTTCACACGTACTACCTCGATTAATCACCAGACGACCGGCGCAGCGTATGAGTGCCCGAGAATTCCAGCAATCGCAGTACTTTGACAATGTGCTTGTTTCTACGATACGCTTTTTGGAGTCTTTGCCGGCGAAGAACCCCAGTGAAAAATCTCAATTTATGCGCGGCCTCCAGCGAGTGATCCCCGAGTTTCCAGCGTCTGTGCTGGAAAGAAAGATCTTGGGGGTCTTACTCGAAGAGACAAAGGATCGTGAGCTACTGTCTCTCATCTTACAGAATGTGTTCTTGATTCTGCAAAAAATCCCTAACGGACGACGGGTTTTCCCTGAACGAATCATTCCTTGTCTAAAAGAGGCTTTTATACATGATCAACGCACACCAGCGGCCCAAGAGCGAGATTCAAAAAAGGATGCTGGCCTTATGGTTGTGCTTGATAATGTGGGTGTTATGGCAGATAACTGCTCGGGTAACGAGTTTAGGGACGGTGAGTATATATAACATAAAGCGGGTTCTCCATGTTTAACAAAAGCTGATGTTGTACTAGATATCTTACCATTCATCCGCTTGGGACTCGACTCACCTGTACATTCTCTTGTGGACGCTGCACTGAAGAGCCTTCCTTCGATATTGCCAGTTCTTGATTTTATAACTGTGAAAAATGAAGTTTTCCCTCCGATAGCGTCGACTTTCAGCAAAACTAGCAGTCTTGCAATCAAGGTCCGCAGCCTAGAAGCCTTTGCTGTGCTTTGTGGGGGAACAGCAGAGAAAGCAGATCTTGAAGATGACCTGACTGGTATAGTGAAAGAGAACAAACCTGCCTCTAAATCATCCATCTTGGATAAATATACTGTCCAGGAGAAGCTCGTCCCTTCCTTGAAAGCTATCAAGACAAAGGAACCAGCGGTCATGATGGCTGCCCTGAAAGTGTTTACTCAAGTTGGCGCTCTCGCAGACACCGATTTTCTTGCACTGGAAGTTCTCCCCATTCTCTGGAGCTTTAGTCTCGGGCCCCTTCTAAATATCCAGCAATTTGGAGAGTTCATGAGTCTGATCAAGTCGCTCTCAGCCAAGATTGAACGGGAACAGATTAGGAAACTGCAGGAGCTTTCTTCTACAGGAAGCTCCTCTGGCTTCCGGCATGGCGCAGAAAACAACATGAAAAATATGAATAAATCTGCCCAGCTCGACAGTGACGGAGCAAGAGATAATTTTGAACGCCTTGTTCTTGGTCGAGACACTGCAACAAGTAACGGGCAAGAAACCGATCAATGGGCAACCCTTGATTCGAGTACAGCAGCTACACAGAAATCAACTCAGCCATCATCGCCCTCGTTTACCTGGACATCTCAAACAAACGCACCGGTAAACAGAATCAGCTCGCCGGAAAGGCGAGACGTTTCTTCGGTACAAGCCAACTCCAACTTCCGTTCCATCACACCGGACTACCATATGGGCTCCTTCCCGTCTCTCGAGCCTGCATCAGCACAAAAATCTTCACTAACCTCGCCGTTCCCCGCCTTACAGCCATCTACTTCCATATGGAACTCTTCCAAGCCAATAGGTCATCAGGTTCCTTCTCCAGGACCCGCGTCCAACCAATCTCTCTCGAGCTTGGCTAGCATGCAAAGCATGCAACCCTCTATACCACCCATGACCACGCAAAGCTCAAATTATTCTGCGTTTTCTATTCCTCCGCCTCCGTCTTCAGGATCCACGTCCAGCTGGACCGGAAATCTTGCCAATACGAATATGGCTAGCCTCGGTGGCTCTTTTGGAGGAAAGCCTGCTATGAATACTATCCAGCCGTCCCAATTCCAGCCACCGGCCTCCCAGAAAACAGGGTTGGACAAATATGAGAGCTTATTATAGAAATGGGGTACGTCTATATTGTGTGGTCAGCGGTGCATTGAAAACTTTCTCTCCAAATTTGCACCCAGGCTTCGTTTAACATAGAATAGACTCCATCTCTTGTTCTTGGCTGTCTCTCATCAAGCCATTTTTTATGAAATACACACTTTTCTTATCATATATGTTTATTAAAAGCCATGTCACATGTACCTCCAAGCAAGTCAGCTTATCCCGGCGATTTTCAATAGGCCTAGAATATAGAGATGATACTCAGCACTAGGTATATATTAATAGATTAGGTATAATACTATGCCTTTTAAAGAATTATGAGTAATAGTAAGAAGAGAAACCCCTTGACTTCTAGTACTACTATGCAAGGCGTTCTTGTATGTGGAGGGTTATTTAAAGAGTGTGTGTGACTAGTGAGCTAATGAGACAGCATTAGAAATATTATTATCATAAAGAGTGTGGATTGCGCTAAATCTATGTGATCTGTTACCCTTACACTGTTCCTTCTTCAACTCGGCGAGCCCCTGGAGAATGGGTAGGCATGTTGAAACAATACATGGCATGATTAGTTGATTTTATTCACATCATAGTTAAGGTGTAATATATCAGTGTTTTTGGTTGCATTTTCAGGCTGACACTTGTCCCACCAATATATTCATCTGATAGCAGGCTTCGTCGACCAGTCTCCTCTGGGAGTTGGGGCGAAGTTCAGGGACTATGGTATCAGCAAGCGCCAGCAAGTGTGAAATCCGCCAGGGGATAGATGATATGGCGTAATCATCTCGCATGATACCAAGGCTCTGGTGGATTCCCACGGACATAGGAGGGCGCCATTCATATCGTTTTTCCTATCCAGCTTGTTAGATTATATCTCCTCACCGTCCAAGTAAAAAGATTGATTAATAGGCGCGCGTCAAATTCTGCCTTCACCTGAATGATTGGATGTGGGTTTCTTGAAATCGTGTGGTTTCCACGTAATAAGATTATTAGGCCGTCGGTTACTGCCTCAGTTGCTGGAGCTGAAAGTGCAAGTCCTTTTCCCCAAGTGAATATAAAAGGGCACGGTATGTCAGCTATGGACACGAAGGACCGTTCTCTCCAAGCAACACCATACACCCATCTCATTTGAACATATCTGATCCTTACCAAGTACCTATAAAATGTCGAAAGTCTTTAAAGCTTTCAAGAAAGCGATCGTCAAAGAGGGCGAGTTCAAGAAGTTTTTCAGAAAACACACGCCAGGAAGCCGTATCTTTCCACCGAAAGCAGGAAATAATGACGCCACGTTTCAGCTCCGATTCGATGCCGGGGAAGTTGTTAATGGCATGAAAAACGTTTACCTTCAAGTCAACAGCCAGGCCACAAATGATGCACTCAAGAAGTTCCGTGGGAAGCACGGCACGCACGCGAACATTGCCACGGCGCAAATCAAAGAAGACACGCCACCAGAGGAGCAACAAGATGTCATAAACGATATGTTAGATCAAATTGAAGATCAATTTAAGGAGATAATCAATTAGAGGGTAGTTCACCAGTGGCCAAGGCAGTTATTCATTCCATATCTACACTGAACCAGGCTGACATGAGCGGAGTTTGATTCCTTTAAACGTTTTCCAAGAACGGCCACATCCTCCGGGCGTCCTGCGGGGACATGTGTTTGGACATTTCCTTTATGTATTTTTCGAGGGCCGACTTGTTACGTTGCTGAATTTCGGTAATATCCAGCTCCGGAGATATCCAACCATCAGCATCTGTATCTAGATAGCTCCTTGCAAACTCCTGAACGTCGTGCCAATCCCGATATTCCTGAAATTCTTGTTTGATTTCCAGAAGTTGCTCTTCCGTAAATGAGATAGGACACCTTCCAGTAAGGCCTAACACACTCCACGACTGATAGATTTCAGCTAAACAGGCTCGAAGACCTATTGTGCCTTCCTTTGAGGCTTCTCCACAACGTATAAATATCTCGCGGAAGACAGGCGGTAGGTTAATAGAGCGATAGACGTCACGATTGTTATAAAGAGAGGAGCGTAATTCGTAAGATTTGGTAATCAAGGCATCATCTCTTGTAGAAATTGCAAAATTCTTTTCAGCTATATCTAGCTCGTCAAAGTTGTGAGGTAGCTTTGGTTGAACGGTGCCGCAGATATAATCATCATTGGGCTTCAGGAATTGCGGCCAGGTTGCTTGTAGGAACAAAGGCCCAACAGATATTGATTGCCAGTCGATGATTGAAACAATCTGTGTCGGGTCATCCTCTGAAACGTAGATATTTCCTAAATGTAGATCCGTGTGCCATATGATTGGTTTCGAAATCGAGGAAAGGTCCTTGTGGAGCGATTCTAATAGGTTTATAACCCCCATAGCAACTTCAAGATCAGCCATCTCCTCGTCGGCCTTGCGGCGGCGATGAGGGCGATTATCTGTCTTTTGGTTGTAGGAGATTCGAGATATCTCTCGTTTTATGACGTCATGACCATAATCGCACAGAGAAGGCCCTGTAATTAATAGCGAGGGGTTAATTCAGTTGTCAGAATTGAAAAATGGGAAAGGCATCGCTACTTACAAGGGCCCCTGCTGAAACCCGGCGTCAGGGTTCCCGAATGAGATTCAATACACCACGAACGGTCCGCTGAGGGCCCGATGCAATAGGATTGACTTGGGTCGATATCCATGGGAAGTGGATGGCACTCGCTCCCGCTCAAGCATGACTCCCTCAGATAGAGGCTTCCAGATACTGGAAAATGAATGGAGGCTAGCTGGCTCTCCAGCGTTACAAGATGCTTCGTAAGAGCAAGCTTCGACTTTCCATCCATTTCGCCCCATTTTTTGTAAAGCTGGACTCCTGGCGCCTTCTCCATGATTATATATTCGCTACCAACACTGTTGGTTGAGTCACAGTCCCACGCCAGTACTCTAGGAACGGGTATCGACGTATGCTGTTGTACTTTATTGTACGAGATATATTAGCAACTTTCACAGCCTGTAGAGCCTATCAATCGGGATATTTGAATTACCATATTTTAGTGTTGCCACCTCTGATACTGTTGAGTGCTTAGGGGGTCCAGCCAGTTTTGACGGCAACTTCGCAACTATTTCCGATCCATCCGCTTTCCTCATCAAAAGCGCTTTGCAAAAACCGCCTTCCATTTTTTCAATGGCGACAATAGGCGATTTAGTGCCCCCGACAACAGCCGCTGCAGCGCAGAGCTGTGGGATGTCAAACTTCACGTAGCGCTGCCGATATTGATGTTCTTCGTCTATTAGAAAATGGCCATTGGTGTACCTGTACAACTCTTCTTCGCTGATAGGGTCACCTATAAGGCAATGTAAGCCAGCCGAAGCAACGAAGGAATAATTTGGCCCACGCACCCCGACATGTAATCGTCACGTTTCTCACATGCTTCGGTGGTTTGCGGTGAAACAGAGTACGGACTGCAGTCATTCTGAAGATGGAAGCGCCATACAATAGTAACATCGAGTCAATAGTGCAGAGGGTTAAATAATAGAGAGGTTGACCCAGAGAAAACACAAGAAGCCAATATATTGTCTGGATAGAATGAAGGGTATGATCGCGATGCTAACTGGCCACTTTATGGATAGTATGATGGATGGTTTGTCATACGGGGACAAATAAAAGGGATTTAGGTACGTAGTAATCAGAACTCCAGTTGCCGTCGCGGGATAGTTGTGGAAGCACCAAGTGGTGGCTTCGTCGTTCGTTGTGATAGAGAAGGTACTGGTTTATTTTGGCATGAAACTCGACGCCAAGGACCCTTGCCAGATGACTGGCCAGCTGACCTCCACCGTGCCAAGTTCCAATTGGCAGTAGTGCATCAAAGCCGGAAGCAGAGCGGATATTAGCATTTTCTTGTTGGACAATTGTAGCATTTGCCTTTGGTTGTGGGCGGGTAATTAGACTGACAATCATGCTTCAAAGCGGGCGCTAGTTTGGTACTGATACCGGCGAACCTTCTACTACATACACTTTGCTGTGTCTTCAAAATTGCACATATATTTATTATAGCAGTTTTAAATGGGCCTGGTATATAAAGACAATACTCAGCAATAGATGTATACCTATAGACTCAGGATAATTTTATGCCTTATAAAGAATTAGTAGTAAATAATATAATATAAGAGAAGAACTCCCCTAACTTCTAGTGCCAATACTATGGATGGTAAATTTGTCGGCTGTATATAAAATCCACATGATAGTAGTTGTCATTAGTATATTCATGGTTATAGAGGATCTAAAGCTTCTTGATAGCTTATCAAGAAATATAGTTAAGCTACTATGACCAGACTTGGAGCTTTATCCTGGTTGTTGCGAAACAAGTGGCAAGTCAGCAAGTAAAGTATCCCCCCACTATTAAAACCCCGCCAAAGCTCATGAGAACGGGGTAGGTAATTGTCAATTCCTCATAGAGTATCCAATTTACTCTAGGTCTACCATTAAGCACTATATGAGACTATATAGAGCTTGCCTGAGGCGCATATCACCGGAACATCGTTTCATCACCCTCCGTTGGTTACCCCTCCTCACAGGTCCCCAACAGCTCGTTCGATTTGGCTCCACGTCTCCAGCAATCAAACCTGTACCCTTTAGCAACTCGAACGTGTCTTCAGTACTGTTCCAAACAGCAAGGATGGACGAGAAAATCAAACAGCACTATCTTGCCGATTCGCCTCCGTCTGTTGTAAAGCTGGAAATCAAGTCGCATTTCGACAACCTCAAGGATGGCAAATCAAGGAAATACGCCCATTACATGAGCAGGTATGTTCTTCTAGATGAATTGTATGTATGAAATCTCGAAATTGAAAGCTAATAATCATGTAGGGCTGCCTTTGAAGGAACCCGGATCACTCTCCGCCAGGTTTCGCCTGAAGCCGAACCAATCTATGATTTGATCCTTGTGTTATATCAGGCATGTGGTGGAGATTGGAACAGCCTGGCTCAGAAGACCAATGTTAGCGCTGAGGATCTTCGTTTCTTTCTCGAATACGCTGCTCAGTTTCTCGGCAATTGCGGTAACTATAAAGGGTTTGGTGATTCCAAATTCATCCCGAGGCTGTCGGAATCATCTTTTCAAGCGCTCGCTGCGGCCACGCCAGAGACACAGGCAGCTTATGAGAAAGCAGCCAAGGCTGGCGGTGGAATTTACGAAACCAATGAACAAGCACTCATGCATCTGGGATATGCCGACAAGGGCCACATGACTACCTATTACCCTGATTCTCCCTCAATAACCAAGGATGAAATCACTGCTGTAGGGGACTTTTTGGGGCAGAAAGATCTTCCCCTGGAGAACACAAGATTGAGGAAGACCTCATCTGGCGACTATGAGTTGCTCATTGCTTCCGGAAGCTCGGCACCGTCAATCCAGGATCGAGACCTTGGTGATCAAGACTCATGGGAGCTGGCGGGGAAATTGCAAGGGAAGAAACTCCGTCTGGTATTCGGAGATTATGAGAAAGAGATGGCCAAGATTGCCTACAATATCAAGCAGGCCGAACTCAACGCGGCAAATGATAACCAAAAACGGATGCTTGCATCTTATGCCAAATCTTTTGACACCGGATCCATCGAGGCTTTTAAAGAGAGTCAAAGAGTCTGGGTCAAGGATCAGAAGCCGGTTTTGGAAACAAACCTCGGCTTCGTGGAGACGTACAGAGATCCTCATGGGGTGAGAGGGGAATGGGAAGGCTTTGTGGCTTTGGTATGTTGTAACTCCCCGGCCTTTGAAGATGATGGCATTTTCATCAACGCCATACATGCTTTTTTTGACATGCAGATCGATGCTTACAATTCAAGGTCAACATGGAACGTACTCGTGCCTTTGGGAAACTCGTGGACAGCGCAGAGGGGATGATCCCCAAGCTTCCTTGGGGTAGGGATTACGAAAAGGACAAATTCCTGAGCCCCGACTTCACGTCTCTGGAAGTTCTGAGCTTCCAATCCTCCGGCCTCCCTGCAGGCATTAATCTTCCCAACTATGACGATATCCGCCAGAACTTGGGCTTCAAGAACGTCTCGCTTGGAAACGTACTGAGCGCCAAGGCTCCTAACGAACCTATCCCCTTTATCACCGAGAAAGATCTTGACGTCTTCCGTCGGTGCCGGGATGCAGCCTTTGAAGTGCAAGTTGGCATACATGAACTCCTGGGACACGGAACTGGCAAGCTCTTGCAGGAAACGAGCCCCGGAGAGTACAATTTTGATTTTTCAAACCCACCAATCAGCCCGGCCACCAACAAGCCTATCTCAACATGGTACAAGCCAGGCCAGACCTGGAGCTCTGTGTTCGGTGCCATTGCTTCTTCGTACGAAGAATGTCGCGCAGAGTGTGTGGCTATGGCTCTTGGCTGTGATTTTGAAATCCTCCAGATCTTCGGCTTTGGTGACGGTAATGAAGATCTGGCGGGCGAGGCTGGTGATATCTTGTTTGCCTTATACCTTCAGATGGCCCGAGCTGGCCTTGTCGCAGTCGAGTTCTGGGATCCAAAGACCCATAAATGGGGCCAGGCACACATGCAGGCACGCTATAGCATCCTCCGAACCTTCCTAGATGCTGGCGACGACTTCGTTCGCCTTGTCCACCAAAAGGAGGATCTTTCCGACTTGGAAATCCACCTTGATCGAACCAAAATTCTCACTCATGGGCGTCCCGCAGTAGAGAGATATCTGCAGAAGCTCCATGTCTACAAGAGCACGGCGGACGTCGATGCCGGACAGGAACTCTATGATAAAGTCACTTATGTGGACGACTGGTGGGGAACCAAAGTCCGTGAGGTTGTCCTCAAGAACAAGGTTCCCCGTAAGCTATTTGTTCAAGCCAACACAGTCCTAGAGGGCGATAGTGTCACTCTTAAGGAGTATGAGCCAACGCTTGAAGGCTTGATTCGGAGCTATGTGGAACGCAGCGTCTAACATGCAGCAGGGCTTCTCTTGATCTACACTTACCCATGCAAAGAAATGTTTCCAAAGCTGGACATACCGACTGTTTCTCTTTCAATATCCAATATTACAGAAATACATAAATGTAGATAATTATCATCTTGCAGAGGGCCTGGCAAATCACAGTAGAGGATCCTGCAGGCCAGGCGCTTGCTTCTATGGCGGACAACGGACCCTGAAGCGCCCGCCCCAAATGAACGGCTGAGATCAACCTAACTCCCACCCTCCTGAGCACCTGCTGAATATCAATCAGTGATCACAGCTACTTATACCAGGACATTCTATTATTGGCTATAAGGTATATGATAGCTGATATTATATAAGAATTCCTCCTAAGACTGGTTTTGTGATTATATACTCCGCCCTCTATATGCAGCAGCTATCCTCAAGACAGCCGTGACCCGCTTGCTTGCTACCAGCTTCACCACTCCAACGAGGTTTCTCTTGAGCAGCCAGTGACCAAGTGGTTACTCAAACAGGCTGCACTGGAAATTTTTGGTTCTCTCATCCAGTTTCACCACCTTGTCGAGGCCACGGTACCCTGCTGGCTCGCCTGCCACGGCGCGGCCCCCTCAAATCGACTCCGAAGCGGAGGCCGAATCGCATACAGCAATCCCTCCGCATTCTCCATCCTTCAAAGTGTCCTCAAACTCCTTTACCTCCCGACCTCCGCCCTTTTCGTCGCTCTTTTCAAGCTCTACCCAAGACCCCAATCACGTCAAAACCGCCGTCACAGTAGCCGAACCCGCTCCTGTCACGTTTGTTCTACCACCGCCGCTCGAAGAATCGTCCATTGCGCCTGATCCTCCGTCGGTTGTTGCGGAGGTCAAGACACACCTTGCAGCAGACAAGAAAGAAAACCTTGGCAAAAATTCAGACGACTCGGAGCCTCCGCCGCCGTACACAGAAGGATCCAGCCCGATCGAATCGTTCACATACGTCATGGCTGCAGCTGGAGGTGCCTCTAGTATCATTACGCAGGTACAACAAACGGGGGGGCCGCCTATAAATACTCTTGGAGGTATGCTTGATGATCTCTGGGACAGAAAAATACCACTCTTGGGAGAAGCTGGGTTGTGAATTTATGCAGTTATTGTATGCTGACATGCAATCTCGAAACAGATATTAATGGAGATGAGCATATTACTCTGGATCTTCGGTAAGGCCTTGAGTTTCTACTTTCTGATTTTCAGGAAGAATGGTTATCAATTGCTTAACCTTTCTAAACAGGGGAACCCGATTCACTTTGTCTCGCGATGAGCTCCTGACTCTGCCTGAGTTCGTTTTGCTGTCACTCTTCCCCAATGGTCTTCTCCCAGATGGGCACATGGGCGGATTCCATGAGGGCGATGTTTATCCGATCGATGTAAGTGCGCTACATTGACGGTGCCTTGTGCCTTATGGTCGGTCCATTTCTAATGACTAATGCTTTTTCTAGTATGATCCCACGTCTCTCCAATATATGCTGGACTTCTTCCGTTCTGTTGCCCAGTCGATACCTACAAGTGCACCGTCTGCGTCCACTGCACCTGGAATGGACATGCCTGACTCCATGCAAGCGTCAGCCCGTGATATGCTTCAGGATCGAGCTGGCATCATTGTGCTTCGCGAAGACCTCGATTTCTACACAATTCCGCCACGATCAGATGTCGGCCATGTCGAGATGGTTGCAGTCAAGCGTGCCGCTGGCCGAGCATTGCTTAAACAAGATGGCATATTTTCCGGGCTGAGAAAAAGTACCGAGGTGGGCTCTACGGAGCAACATCTCATTGAGATGCTGACTGCTGGGTGGGTTACCGCTGCTTTCATTCACTGATGGAGCTCTTAGAAGGATTTATTTTGCTGACTGCGGCTCTAGTGGTTTTGACCGTGAAGATCAATGGGGTCACCGTGCTCCAGAACCCAATAAAGCAGTGATCTGCAGTCTAGCACTGGCCAAGTTGCGCACTGATATCAAAGGAGATATATCCAACAACAATGTTGTGGGAATGGCTCAGAAGCTACTTCTCTTCTGGAGAAAGCCAGCTAGGCGGTGCTGGTGGGAGGGGGTCGAGCTGGAAGACATCGAAGGCGTCGAAGGAAAGCTCAAGGTCTGGGTTCGAAGGGTGTGGACTCTTGAAATGGTAAGCATCCCGTGAAACGATGTAAAGTGCCACGAGACTAACAAATCGCTTGTAGAGCGTCATCGGACTTAGGTGATTTCACATTATTTCACCATGTACTCGTCGTCGATTTCCATTTCCCTCATTGTTTCCGTCTACTTTTCCCGGATCTATTTTCTCGAGTTTCGCATGTCCCCCATCTCCTATGCGTATCCCGTATCCCGTATGCATACCACTTTCTGTACAATTGTCTCAAACCTCCATTCTCTTTGCTGCCGAAACGATGATATCCTTCCTTTGAGACTTACTTGGACTGGCGTATTGGATCCTCAAACGCGATGCTGCTGTTGTAATTTGTTTATAGTTGGCAACTCTACAGAAATACAGACAGATCCCTTACAGAATCGAGCCTTATTCATTAATACATAAGTAGATAGCATTATAAACAGGCCTTACAATAGTTACTAAAGAATTGCTGTTACTCTGAATAAAAGCACCAAGATTCACATATTACAACTGCAATATCACGTGACAGGCGGCTGGCCGCCTTGCTGGAATGGAGCTAGCGTCCCCAGGCCTTTTTGTGCCATGAACAAAAACGCGACCGTCCAAGGGCCACGGACACGGAGCTTTATCGCGATCACCGTTGATAGATCGTCTTGACGTCGACGACACGAGGCTATCCGCAGGTCGAACACATTCCTTCACATTGATCTCGCGTGGTCTCCATTCTATCCAGAGCGATTCGGGCGGACGCGACATCGCAGGGCGGGATTCGAGGTCGCCGCTCTGCGCATTTCAGCGACTTGCACGACCAGCGGGCTGCGTGTCGGTAGAATTGTGTCTGGCAGGGTCATGCTGATTTAGGAGCCAGCTGGCAACCATGTCTCCTCTCAGAGGTTATATCAGTTCCTATCCCCCCCGGGTGCGCCAATATGGAAACGCGTTGCTCACGCCGGTCATCCCTCCCACGCAAACCGCTCCGCCGGCGCGAACAACGAAGCGCGGTACCACCGCTATCAACTACGCAGAGGATGGGTTCGATGAAGATGATTTCGAAGAGAGCGATGGCCCTCGCCGCCCGACCGGGTTGCGGAGCTTAAGGCGTGAAGATTCGACATTTGACAAGGTAGCTTTGGCGGAGAAGCTGGGGAAGGAGATTCACGCGCCAATTGAGATTCAAGGGATCTTTCGCGATTGGATGATTAAGAGGATGTTACGGCCAGCGTATGTTTTTCTCTTTCTTTTGTTGTTCCTTTTATATTTAATCCTATCATTTCTTCTTTGAATGAGGCTAACTTCGCACAATCCTAGTTGCGCCGACCAATTACAAATTCAAGCACAGCTCCCATTGACTCTCATACCGATTCGCATTGATCTAGAGATTCCAGCGCATCAGCCCATCGAACCGTTCCCTTTGCCGCGCGGAGTGATGGATCCCAGCATCAATCCAACCCTGCCTGCGTACAGAAGACCCGATCCCCTGCCTGCATACCGGATAAAGGACACCTTCATGTGGAATCTACACGAGGCACTCGCAACTCCGGAGGAGTTTGCCACCGGATTTGTTCGTGATTTGGACTTGCCGAACCCCCAGGCTATGACGGTTGCGATTAGCAACCAGATCCGCCAGCAACTCGAAGAATACGCTGGCGTGGCGCTGCATCCACTTTTCCAGAGCACCCAGACCAAGCCTATCCCAAGTACTGTCTCACAGGCTGGTATCTCACGAGATGTCTCCATGACCCCCGCTCCGGCGAATGTTGCCACGCCAGACAGCCGGCCCAACACCGTAACGGTAACTAAAGAGCCGTTAGTCAACGACAGCATTCTCAACCCAGACGATGCATATAGGTGCATGGTCAGTCTGAATATCAATCTTCAGAACAAACTATACACAGACAAGTTTGAGTGGTCGTTACTCCATCCGCCGGGTATGGCTGAGGAGTTTTCCAGGGTCACATGCGCCGACCTGGGACTGGGTGCAGAGTGGGTCAGTGCAATTGCACACGGTATCTACGAAGCTGTTTTGAAACTGAAAAAGGAGGTCTGCGAAAGCGGCATCCTCAGCGGCATGGGGAACTACGGAAACGAAATCGACAACCAGGCAGCAAACGGCGCCGAGGCCGGCTGGCGCTACGATCCCGAGGGTCTCGGTGACGAGTGGGAGCCAAAGGTTGAGACCCTATCCAAGGAGGAAATTGAAAAGCGTGAAGGAGATCGCGAACGACAAATTCGGCGTCTAAGACGGGAAACGGCGAGGTTCTCTTCCACGGCCGGCATCACACCCGAGGTGTCCCGACAGTCAACGGGGGGATACTTCGACGTCCCAGATGCAGACACACCCATGGGCCGCGGCGAGAGGAGCAAGCGCAAGAGGCGGTTCCGCAGTCTCAGCCCTACGGGCCGGGGAGGCACTCCTGGCGGACGTGGGACTCCTGATACTAGTTCCGGGGCTGGATACGGGGGAGGAGGTGGTACATTAACTGACTGGTAAGTGACAAGTGGGATGCTTTGAGATCTATCTGCGGTGGTTTTTACTCATGAAATTCCCAGGGAACGGCAAAACTGGAGGTGTACCAATTGCATGGTCTGGGGCACTGCAGTCTGGGCTGTCCGAGACGGCCCATCCGGTCCAAGGGTAAGTAAAACCATTCTTCATCCCCCTCTCTCTCTTCGAGTCCGACGCACTAATTCCAGCTTCAGTCCCTCTGCCATAACTGCGGCCTGCTATACGAACGGGATAAAGTCGCTCCAGAGTGGTCACGTGATTTACATCGTCATGATCTCCCTGCCGGTCGATAGAATAGGACTACCTAAGGAGTGACCATGAGATATTGGCTGGTATTGTGTACTTGAATGGATGAGAGATTGAGATCCTCATGCTTTTTTCTTTTTCCTCTTTCTTTTTTCTCTTTTCCATAATGAATGACGGCGCAGGAGTGATATCGGATTTCCTCGATGCTAGTTCTATGCTTTTATTGTAGGGCATGCGGATGCATTTATTGAATGATGACTTTGATCTGGAGATAAAGATCTTCTCATGGTGGAATAGTAAGCATTTTCACATATAGCTTGGCCATGAATATTACTGTCCTATGTATGGGCCTCCGCACATCGTATTTCTGCAATTGACTCGATTGACTGCCATGGCATTATCATTCTATTGACTCTTATGTCGATTACTTGCTGCATCCATGTGCATTTTATTATCAGAAGGGTTTCTTTCCAGCCCGAGGTCTAAATTAGGAGGTACCATAAGCTCATAACTGATTGAATAGAAAAATCTCATCAAGAAAGAGAATCATGCTTGCAGGTGACGTTGCCAGATATATTACAATCAGCTGCAGATGGCCGAATCGCTTCAGCGAGTCGAAATAAAAGAACGATTCTTCCTAGACATTAAGGATTTGCCTGGGCTTCCTTCAGCCTAGTAATTAGCCCTGGCTATTTTGAAAGAAGCTGTTTCGGCAGGTTCCTATAGATACGGGAGAATTGAATCAGCACAATTGCATTACTGGAATCCTTTCAGTTATCCAAGGAACATACCGACTGAGCGCGGCGTTTCCTTCCCCTCTCTTCCTGGTCGGTACATAAACTCTGTTGATTCGTCTCGATCTTCTTGTTGCCCAGTGCCCGGCCAGAAAGAGTAACGCCAGCACAGATAGTGTTCCGGCTTCCTTCGATCTTCAGGCCGGTGTTAATGTTGATCTCCACGGGCCCGAGTCTCCCATTCTCGCCATGCGCTTTGAGGTTTGATTGCTGGATCGCCGCAACAATGGAGGCTGCGAGATCGGTCAGCCTCGCCTGCCTGTGTTTCTGTGCAGGCTGCAGCAGTTGCGAAGAAGAGGGCCAAGTGGAAGACTTTCTGCAGGCCTGGTCTGTACTCTGCACACCGAGGCCGGGCTGGTGGTAGCTCGGAACAGACGGCATGGCGATGGTGTTCCCGTGTCCGAGAACTTGGATTGACGCATCGATGTTCACGGTTATAGGGCAGATTTCATGGCTACCTTCATCCTCGGTCCCTTCCGTGTCGTCGCAAAATGACTCTTCCACACTGGGCATAGCAGGGGGTATCGGTGAATATGGAGGTGGAGCTGCTGAGGCCAACTGGGTTTGCAGCTCGGCCCTCGCTTCGGCAAGCTTCTGAAACTGATGAAGGAAGGAGTCTGAGGGAGGAAACATTGTGAAGGCAAAACAGAAGCCAACGATAGTGCCAAAAGACTCTCCAAAGAATGATACAAGACAGCAGAATCAAATCGTGATGTATAACCAAGCAGAGGCTGTCAAACACGGATAACTTGGTAATTTAGGAAGAAGATAGTATTGCAAGTCAGTACTGGATGGTTGGAAACAGGATGCTTTCTAACAGCAAGACAGATAGAAAACCAAGGCAACGTAGAGGAGATGGATAGTGCTATTTAGACTCCTCAAATAGCCAGTGCCTGGAACGCTTTGTCCGTGAGACCATCCTTGCTAGAAGGTCAGTGAAATGCACATCAATAGGCAAACAATCCAACAAAGAGGGGGCGCAGCACTGTTACCTGGTGCAACAGGGCCTTGGTGTCTGGGAGGGCTGCTTCTGCAGCTGCCCTCCCAACCTCCCCCCTTTTGATCCTCCTATTGATGTAGTATTGTTCCTATTGATCAATAGATAAAATGTAGATCACGTGATAGTTGAATGAGACCTATTTGATTGTCAATAAGAGTTATCAATAGCCTTGCTATTACCCTCTCAATAGAGAATCGGTTATTCTAATGGTCTAGTTCTACCTTGTCCTGGCGCTGCAAAACCAGCCTCCTTTTTGATCCACAGCCCATATGAATAATGATGAATCATAACTATACATGTAGTAGTATGTACTGGCAATAAACAGCCCCACGTTGACTCTGCAGCAGGAAGAAGCAAAGCCCAGCCGCTTCTATGCCACTAGCCACTCTAGTCTATAATCCATACATCTAGAGTCCCGTCTTTAAAAAAAGGCAGGGAACTGCAAAGACAGAGACGACCAGCCAGGACCCTGACTCGGAGTGTATCCCGAGGGTTCGTGTCACCCCGATGGGCAATTGAGTACAGGTCTAGAATTTGGCCGGGCGTTCATTCAACGACCGGAGCGACTAGGACTGCCTGCAATCTGAAAACGAATGCCTTGGCAAAATACTTAATTTGGTCCATACGGAGGTCTCTCGGGGGCTTGCACAACTCGTGATACCCGCGTCATGTCTCGGGACCAGCAGACTCATCAACATTGCCCAGCTTAGATATCTGCCCAACAGGAGTAATTTCAGTGACAGAGCCATGTTTTTTCATTGAATGGCGTTGTTCGGGATAGTAGGGGCCACCCGGATGTAGTGGGTGCGGGGCCTGAGAGCAGGTTAGCAAGAACGAGGACCCATTTAGATTGATCGAGTTATACCGGGCTCATGCCTGCCGCTCGAACCTGTGAATCATGGATAAGTACTGACTTCGCGGAATTCTTCGCCTTCAACATGAACTTCCCGGTCCCGAATACGGCGCATTAGAGCAAGGAAATTGCTTTCCCTAAATTTTTGGCTTTGATCATGGCTCACGCTGTCGAGGAGCTGCCCGGCGGTCTTTGCAAGCTCGTCGTGATCATTCAGATTAGTTGATACATCATTTTTATCGACACTCGGAATAGTATCAGACCCGATTTGGATGCGTTCACTGTGTTCCTCTGCTTGTATTTCTGGTTGGGGTATCTCGTCGAGGGCATGTCTGCTTTCCTCTTCCTGTAGAATATGTGATTGGGATTCTAGATCGACTCTCGCTTGTTCGAAGGCAGCATCGAAAGCAGATTCGTCAAAGACTTCATTCGAATTGAGATTGTCCATCGCTGGCCCCTGTGTAAAATCATTCATTGTGGTGGTTTGCAGAGTGCGGTCTAGGGCTAAGGATGTTTGAAAGCCAGAAGTAGAGGTGTATGGTTGGGTTGATGAATATAACAATCTACTCTGCTGCTGCTGTTTCATAAACTCATTTTGCCAATTGTGTTGCGAAATTCCAGTTGCGGATGGCCCTGCAGGCATATGATGTTGAGGTAGTATATGCGACGGCCCTGAGACACTCAGTCTTTGGAAATCCGCTGCCCAATCCGCATTATTTCCATAATTTTGTAATGGGATATGGGGATTCGGCGATTGTAAATGCCTCTTATTCTGGATATCAGACAGAGGAGGAGGTGCTATATTGTTCTCAAACGCAGCAAACTCCGAGTCCAAGGTTCCTTGTGCGAGATTCGGTGATCGAAAGCCCTAGTTTTTTCAGATGTTAGTTCGATCCAACCACGAGAACAAATCACTTTCACCTACTTGCCCGGGGGGCTGTCGAGATATCAGTCTATCTTGATGGAGTGTCCTATCTACAGCAGCATGCTTCTGGAAGTTCTGAAGCGGGTTGGATGGTCCGCAGAGAGCATCACCCATGGTGACGAGAAGCCGTGAGAAGTCGACTTCAAATACGGATATATCGCTGATATTATCGCAATTTTGTGGGTGAGCCTTGGATCAAACTCGAGCGCATTCCCTTCCACGCTGAGCATCCGGAAATTTGATGGCAAACACAGGCAGGGTGCGGGGAAGGAGTCATGGCTTCTATGTATGGTCTAAGGCCGGTACCGTACGATACCGAGGCCCCATCACGTGGAAGGGACGACCAGTCCGATAAGATAAAGATCACAGCGGCTCTTGGCTCACTTCCCAAACAGACAAGCTGGTGGTGTTTGCGCTCGCCAGGAGATTCATTGGTTTCCAGCTCTTTTCGCCGCGACTCGAACGTCCATCAAGTCATTTCTCTGCAGCTACCTGCTTTAGCAGATTTATCTTTACTCTTTTGTCTCAAATTTGAGTTGGCGCAGCCCTTAAAAACAAGATGGTGTGTCAAAAGCTACTTGTTCTCTTTATGCCCTCGCTGACAATTTGGACGCGCGACCCAGGCTGCCGCTCAGGTTATCTCGAACTCCGGTCATGAAGATATGATTGTAAGAACCTGAATCGCTCCTTGTACCTGATACATTGGACATCATTTCCCTAGATCTTTGTGTGACTAATTCCCCTCTCAACCGCAGCACGATGCCGGCCTGGATTACTACGGCCGCAGGCTAGCAACATGTTCATCGGACAAGACGATAAAGATTTTCGAGATTGAAGGAGAAACGCATCGGCTGATCGAGACACTCAAGGGGTGAGCGAAGCCTCCCGTCAGGCACGTCAACCATGGCAGTCTATCCGCTAACCGCAAGAAACAATAAAGACACGAAGGCGCGGTGTGGTGTGTTGTATGGGTATGTTAGCTTACGTGAAGCTCGATGATTTCCCCTGCTTTTGGACCATGGACTGGCAATTTAACAATTCTTCCCACGGGGTTATAAAGGCACACCCGAAATTTGGCACGATTCTGGCATCCTCTTCCTATGATGGAAAGGTGCTCATCTGGCGCGAGCAACATCAGACCTCGACATCACCTGCGAGCGGCAGTGCCTGGACGAAAGTTTTCGACTTTTCCCTTCACACTGCCTCTGTGAACATGGTCTCATGGGCCCCTCATGAGAGCGGATGTCTCCTTGCCTGTGCCTCCTCCGACGGGCACGTCAGTGTTCTCGAGTTCCGTGACAACAGTTGGACCCACCAAATTTTCCACGCTCACGGGATGGGAGTTAATGCCATCAGCTGGGCCCCTGCGTCCTCCCCGGGTAGTCTGATCAGCTCCAACCCTGGTCCTGGACAGCAGCGAAGATTCGTCACTGGAGGAAGTGATAACCTGGTTAAGATCTGGGATTACAAGTACGTCCTGAGATACCGAATTTCTCTTCCACCTGGAATTAAAAAGATTATATATGCTAACGAGAGATGTTCTCGACCGTCTTAGCCCCGAAACCAAGACCTACAATGCCACTCAAACTCTCGAGGGCCACACCGACTGGGTCCGCGATGTCTCTTGGTCACCAAGCATCCTGTCAAAGTCATACATCGCCTCTGCCTCACAGGACAAGACGGTCCGCATCTGGACGTCTGATGTAGCCAACCCTGGGCAGTGGGTCAGCCAGGTGCTGGAGTTTGATACTGTCTTGTGGCGGGTTAGCTGGAGCCTGAGCGGAAACATCCTTGCCGTGAGTGGAGGAGACAATAAGGTCAGCTTGTGGAAGGAGAACCTTAAGGGCCAGTGGGAGAAGGTGAAGGATATTGAAGAATAAGTCAGTCGGTCCACCGGGAGAGATATATACCTGCAGAGGCTGTGTTCATTCAAAAAAGGTAAAAAAAAATACATATTACCATGCAGTGTGCGAAATTTATTTCCCTATTTATTCTGTGAATATTTATATTGCCAAAAACAAACCTAAAGAGGATAAATCAACTGTTTGGAATCTCTGCGGCTTTGAACCCCAAAATATGAATGGTCTTATGATATTACTCTATATTGCTCACTGGATATAGAAAATAGGTATTATCTTCCTAGGTTTTCCCGTCTCTTACTGAGACTTTTTTGCACTCCCCAGCCATCTTCAAGAATTCCTTTCACATCCTCTAAGCTCAAGCCACTAAGTTCTGGGTAGATTTTCCAAAGCAGAACCCAGCCAATTGCACAGACTGCAGCGTACGCAGCGAAAGTCCAGCCAGGAGATAAAAATTGCATCATTGGTAGAAATGTCAGACCAACGACGAAATTCGATCCCCAGTTCATTGCCGTAGCGAGTGCGGACCCAAGAGCACGTACTCTGAGGGGGAAAAGCTCGGATTGCTGCCATGGAACGTTCCCGAGGCCAAAGGCGTAAGATGCGGTATATATAATCAGGCAAAGAAGAATCATTGCCGGAAGAAACATGCTGTGGCTTGAATTGCCGGCATGTCGAGGCTCGTTCGATTGCATATCCAGCCAATCCACCGAGGAAAAGGCAACAGCGCAAACGGCAAGAGCTAGGCTCATAAGCGGGATCGAATACAGTAGAATGCGTCTTCGACCGATCTTGTCGATGAGAGAGAATGCAAGCAGAGTGAAAATAAAGTTTGTCACAGCCACAGAAAGCGATGTCAGAGTTGGTGAAGAGAAAGACAAGATGGAGAAAATGGTCGCGGAAAAGTACATCAGGCTGTTGAAGCCACAGAATTGTTGTAACCCTTGCAGTGAAACCGCGATGATCAATGCGCGCCTATTTCCACCAGTGCCGAATAACTCGCGGGCACGCTGGAGGGCATCCTGGGCCCATTGTGCTCCCAGATGTGAGTCCTTCCTGTGGCCTAGCTCCTGTTCTTCTTCGGCCATCTCCTTGCGGATATTCTTTAATATCTGCTCCGAAATGAGTCCTCGGTCAGGGTCGTTTTGAAATACTTTGATCAAAACATCCATGGCTTCGATGTCGGATCCTGCTTGAACTAGCCAGCGAGGAGTCTCAGGAAGAGGCAAGAGAACAACAAGTTGAATGATCGCTGGAAGTGCCCCAAGTCCAACCATAAACCGCCAACCGCTTGATCTGGTTGAAAACAACCACCCTATGATATACGCAACCACTTGGCCGCCTGTTATGAACAGGCATAATATGGTTACAAGTCTTCCTCTTTCATGGGATGGAGCGAGTTCTGAAATATACCTATAAAGAGCGTTAGCATTTAATCACTCATATAAACCATACATTATGATAGAACCAGGGACAAGCGAAAACATACAAAGGAGTAATCAAGCTTGCGCTACCAACAGCTAAGCCAACAAGGCTTCGCCCAACAATCATGACCCATACTTGAGGGGCGACTGCCTGGACCAAGGCACCTATGATGAATAATAAATCTGCTAGGAGAATGATCTTCCTACGACCGAGTTTATCTGCTAGAACTCCAGCGAGTGGACTCGCTATGAGGGCGAACAAGCTCGTACAAGAAGTGATCAAGCTCTTGTCAAGAGTTGTGAGAGATCGATGCGAGAGATCCGATCCCACCGAAACTAGAGTCGAGGAGATAACTCCGGTGCTTCAAGGCCACAACACGTTAGCCGTCGTGATCGAGAACAAGATAGCACAGCCCTCTTATGTATTGTAAGTACTAATAGATGCGAAAACATACTCGTAACCAAACAGGAGACCACTGATGCCTGCTGAAAATGTCAATAGCCAGATAAACCAGCTGCCTGATACCTCGGATTCCAAGTACAGAGTCCTTGTTTGGCTAGTATATTGTATTTCGACCGAAGTAGCGCGGTCGGAGGAAAGAAGCGGATCATGAACTCTTGCTTGATCAACCTCATCTGATGTTGACATGACTTCAGATTTAATCGCAATTGGTACAGCACTTCTATTTGGTCAGCCGTTGCTAACTGTGCCTGCGATCTGACGTTGCCTCGTAGTTTCACGACAGCCAGCCAGGTAATCGAAGCACTACGCCAAATCAGTCACAGTAAACATCAAGGAGTTTGTATTCAAGGAAGCTCCAAAATGTCGTTCTGTAGTCAAGGCTTTAAAAGAAGCCTTTCGGAGCACGAGTAATAAGGATACGATGAAGAGTGGATTGATGTCTAGAGATGGTACTGCGAGTTGTAGTTTGATGCTGCGACGTCACTCAGTTTAGAGTCACATGACCAATGACTGGTTAGTATTCTGTATTAAATAATGCTTAGTTTAAGTAGTAACTAACTAGGCAGTTATATTTAACAAATAAGAAATTTAAAGAATTTAAATAAAAATATAGTCCTGCTGTTCAAATGTACAGATTATACGTCATGTTTGAATTATGAGGGCGTTCCTATCAACATCTGAGTTCCGAGGTTTGAGTATATGAACATCAGTATCCGCAAGTGGTCAATGTATAGCGTAAACGGCACCTTGATACGGATAGTTCATCAATTCATTGACATATATACTTGCTATGTAAGAAGTAATATTCTTTTCTCTGCTTCCCCGACATCTCGGTAGATGTCAAGCTCTTCAGTGAGGCGCAGCCACTCCCACTTCATTCGCCTGCTCAGTGATCATCTTCTTGTACGCGTTGACATTGCCGTCAAACTTGTGCACGGTACCTCGGTCACACACCCAGAGACTAGTACAGACATTCTGCAGCATTGTCACGTCGTGCGAGACCATCACGACGCCACCTTCAAATCTCTGAAGAGCGTCAGACAGAGCATCCATACCCTCAATATCGAGATGGTTTGACGGTTCGTCAAGAACAAGAATATGTGGGTTTGTCAGAGATAGGCAGGCGAATGCGACACGAGATTTCTGACCACCGGACAGGAGCTCCATTCGCTGGAGACCAGTCATACCGGTGATACCAAAGCTGGAGAAAAACCCACATTAGCACAATAGCTTAGGATCACGCTGGATTTTAAAACTTACGCTCCCAAGTGTCTTCGGTACTCTTCGTCGGTTTTGCCCGGGTATGTCTTGGCCATGAAACTGACTGCACTAGTCGTAAGATCTAAGGCGTCCACATGGTGCTGGGCAAAGTATCCGATCCTCAACCTTGCGTGTTGGGAGATCAGACCAGAGCTTGGCTGGAGTTGGCTTGTCAACAATTTCAGCACTGTAGTCTTACCGGCACCGTTGGGTCCAACGATGCCAATGCGCGAATCCAGTTGGACATCCAGGTCGACATTTCTGAGCAGGGGCTTATCCTTTGTATACCCGAACGCGACCTCCGACATCTGAACAATAGGCGGTGAAAGCTTTTCAACGTCAGGAAACTTGAAATGCACCACGTATTCGCTCTCGGGGGCCTCGAGGACAGGCATTCTTTCAAGTTTCTTGATCCTCGATTGGGCTTCAGATGATTTGGCAGCATTGTATCGGAACTTGTCAATAAATGCTGGATAGGAGTGTCAGCCATGGTAGAGCCAAAAGTGTCTGGATAAGTGCACCAACCTTGGAGATGCGCTCTTTCAGCCATTTGCTTCTCATACTCGCGTTTGGCATTCTTTCTTCTTTCTTCCTTGGTAGCATAGAAAGATTCGAAATTAGCACCCTTGTAGTAATCCAGTCTCTCCGAATGCTGGTGGATAATGTCGGTAGCAACTTCATTTAGGAATGCTCGATCGTGAGAAACAACAAGAATGGTGCTGGGATAAGTCTGAAGGTAGTTGGATAAGAAAGTGATGGACGGGACATCCAACATGTTAGAGGGTTCTAGAGCTAGTCAGCATTTTCTGGGATAGTGGGGATCCGTTTGTTCAAGGCATACCGTCAAGCAGAAGCAGATCAGGCTCACAGAACAAAGCTCGAGCCAGCGCCAATCTCATTCGCCAACCTCCAGAGAAAGTCTTGGTTGCGTATTGTTGTCTCTCAGGCGAGAAACCAAGACCTGCCAAAATGCTAGCCGCGCGGGATTCTGCTTTATCGGATTCCATTTCGGCAAGTTTGGCATGAATGTCACTCAAGGTGATGTCAAGACCTTCCCTCTCATGGTCCAATCTGGCCGCATCCTTGGACGTGTCCGCCAAAGACGATCTCTCTGCTTCGATAGCCGCCAATTCCTTCGTAATTTTCTACAACGGGGTTAATGGCTTGGTTCTTCGAGTAGAGGCTTGGGGTATGCACAGCATAGGTGAACGTACCTCTTGCTCCGCAAGGAGGTGTTTTCGCCAGACATCAGCATCCAGAACGGCTTGTAGAGCAGGAGTATCATCACCGCGAATCTAGATAAGCCACGTTAGAAGCCTGATCTATTTGCATCATTGATGAATATTGCATACCTCTTGCTCGACGTGGAGAATAGAGATGTGGTTCGGGATGGCCACCTCTCTCCGGCTCAGTGCACGAAGCAGTGTACTCTTACCGATACCGTTCTGACCCACGAGACCATATCGACGACCATACGCCAATGTGAGCGCGGCATCAGTAAGGATACGGTGGCCACTGATGGAGATATCGATACTATCAATCTTGATATCCTTGCTCTTCGCTTGCGAATCCGAGCCCAGCTGGAGAGGGTTGACAGCCATGTAAAATTCTTCATAAGACATCGCCTCAGTCGCCTCGTTGAGCAATCGAGATGCTTCATATTGCACCGTCTTCATCTGCTTCTTCTCCTGCTTGGCGCGAATCTTCCGTTCCGCCTTCTCCAGTTTCTTGCGGTCAACTCGAGACTCTACCTTTCTGCTATTAGCAGACTCAAGGTCGACATTTCCTCCGGCCAGCCCAAGAGTCGAGGACATATTGCGCTGAGAGCCGACGTTGATCGCCTGGTCAAGCTTCTTGGCCATGAAAGGCATCTGCCTCTGCTCCGGGTCAACGCCATCTGTAGAGCTGAGAGAAGAAATGAATTTTTCCACAAGATTACGAATAGCCTCTTCATTCTGGGCAGAGAAGTCGCCCGAAGCAGATATCAAAAGCTCGGTCACGGCATCAGCGGCCTCTGCCAATGGTGATGGAGCATTTGCATCCTCCACATAGGTCTTGGAGGCATGGGTCAGGTACCCCTGAGTATTTCTGGTAAGATACACAGGCGCGATATTTTGCGGATCCGAGAACTTACTACGGAGTATTCCGAGATGACATGGTCCAGGCCTGGGATCTGAGCTTGGAGTTCGGCCTCCATTTGCGCAAAAATTTCAGCTGCCGCTGATTGCTTTACCAGTGAATTCAGGCGAGAAATATCTAAACAAAAACAGACGAGTACACCAGGATATTCACTCAAAGATGGCTTCTTTCAAAACGCTAGCATCAAAGTGAATATTTTGTGCGGTTCTTCCGCCTCAAGACTGTGGCTGCGGAGCACGTCGAGCAAGTGGCAGTCTGGCGGGCGAGTACGAACAATCCCGCGAAAATGTGTGGCTCTACCCATACACAGAGGTACAGCCAAGTCTTCAGGTAACTTGCATGAACCAACAGTTCTACAAGTTTCAGTGCCTGGCATTTTTTTAGAAAAAAAAATAAATAAAACAATAATAATAATCATAATAATAATAAACTACGCCATATCATGAAGTCTAGAAGGAAAATATACATCCAAACGAAAATTTTTGCTCTTAACCACTAAAATACTGGGTTTTGCTGATATTTGCTGGCATAAATAACTATTGAATACCTAGTAAATTGACCCTTGTTTTTAGACAGTACAGATAGCAAATTTAGGAATAGATCTACCTATGCATCACAGAGGTCGGTCGGCTTCAATCGCCTCTTTTGCATAATTAATAAACCAGTCAGCACGGACTACTCCGTACGGAGTCCCTGGATAATTAGCAAGGGTTGTTGACATCTCGACCATCTTCAAACGTCAAATTTGCTTCGAGGATAAGCGGGGAGGCTCCCATGCGAGGAGATGATGAGAAACCATCCCTGAATAGCCTTTATTATTTGAAGAGTTGCAGGTAGCCAGTCGTTCAAAACCATACTTGAGGTTAAGCAGCCGAAGCAACCTGTTCGCTTAGATTATTGGTATCCAGACCAGCAAGGGTCGAAGACAGGGAGAATTCGTCTAGAGACGGCAGAAAAGTTAACGTGCCTTGCTGTCCATTCGCCCCACTGTAATCATTTCCTTGAGATGGTTGTCTGATGTCATGACTTGATCGAAGGGATAAACACTTGATTCGATCCTGACGAGAAGGGCGGCGCGAACCATTCTAGGCACAGTGGGTAATCTAGCGATTGTTGTGGGCAAACGAGTGCGTAGTAGTACGTACTCCTTAGAGGTACTCCATACTCCGTACCTGCGAGCGTTCAAGTGAGAGCCAAAAATTGACAGACAGGAAACGGCCAACGACAGACTTGGTAATTCTTTCGAGAATTTTACAAGCCACGTTCCGAGAGCTGGCGAGGTGCAGGAAATCTTCCGTCGATGTGACAGATGGTTTGGGGGTGAGCTGAACCTGCTCGTAAACTTGGAACCATTGGATCTCAGGCGCTCTAGCGTGCCAGGATCGCCCGCCCATCGGCCGGGATTATTTGAGATTTCGAGCCACAGGAAGGTGATACGTGCCAAGTGGAGATCGTCTGGATCGGCTACATCGATGAGCATCTGCCAATGGTAAGCACTGTCTGGTTGCCCATCTGGGATAACTATAGGCCGATGGATGCCAACCCGCTTGTTAACGGAGTACAGAGTGCAGGCCCAGAGCTGGAGCAGCCTCATCTGGGAAACGCACGCTGTCCAGCAATCCTACTCGCCAATAGCCGCAGTGTCGCGCATGCTTCCACGATCCCACCGGCCCGGAGAAATTTCCCTCGTCTCTCGGCTGCCACAAATCGTGCTCGGCGGGGTGCGAGGAGCATGCGCGAGCAGCCATAGCAATAATGCCAATAGTCGCCCTCAGAAACCCCTCGTTAGCCAGGAAACATAAATACTAAATAGTCGATTATCTGCGTAGCTTATTAGATGGCATAATACCGGAGCTCCTAAATTCCTTGCTGTTGTATGGCTGTAGCGTTGTTGACAGGGCCCTCCTCGCATGTGTTGCTCCTCCGTTCTGGGGGGCACGACCCTGTCCCGGCGGTGGTACTAAGACCGGCGGTGCCGCCAACCACTTCCCCATCTAAGGCTGGCCGCGTCCCGCTTGACAACAACCTTTTGTTGATTCCAGCACCAGAGAAGAGGCGCTTGCTGTGAGGAGAAGGTGTTCTTTATTTATCTATGTTTACTTTCACTCTTTTATCTTCACTCATTGGTCCTTAAATATTATTGTCACTTATTATGCTTCAGTTTCAACTTTCTAGCCTCTTACTTTACCTTCTCAGGTAATGACCTCTGCGATCGCTTGACTAAAGATCAACTTTACCTAGCACCAGCTACACACTGCACCTATTAATCTACTATTCTCTTATCTCTATAAGCCTCTTTTATTGCTATCATGCAGATGAGGATTAATCTTCTTTCTTTAATCGATGCTACTCACTAAGCTGTATTGTGTTTAATGCTGGCTTCACACCCTCTCTCAGGATGGAGCATGTCTCTACAGTAAGAATTACCTCTCTTTTTATTCTATCCTTTCTGTTATATCTAGACTTGCTGGTTCTCTCCATCTGGTTGTGTTGGGACTGGTATTGGTCTCGGTGTCGGTGTCGGTGGTGTTGCGCGCGCTCTGGCCTCAAAGCTGCAATGTGTTACTCGTCTATGGCTAATTTTCTCTTCCTATAGCTTTGTGCGCTTGGCACCGTCGGCGTTGCAGCCACGGGGCTGGGATTCGGTCGTGTAGAAGGTCCCTCCAAACCTGAACTTCACCGCAGATCCATCTTCTCATCCTACGACCGCTCCGCGCCCGCCACTCCCTTCGCAGACCTTCAAACCTTCTCCGATGCGCGACCTGGGTCTCGACACCTAGGATCGAAAAGATACGATGTCTCTCCACACTCCGAGGCCTTCTCAAGAGGCAGCGACAGCTTTGATACCCCTAATAGCGAGGGGGATGCGAATTTACGAAAGGAAGCAATACTGGGCCCCGCAAGACTGCGTCGCCGTCGCCAGACATATACCAACCCGCCAGTCACGCAAACTGCAGAAGATGACTCGGTCGCATCTCATGCTAGGCGGCCATCGTCTTCCTGGTTAAGGCGACTGTCCGGTGTCTCACATTTAACTGAGAGCGTTTCCAGTCCCAGACCGACCACGGCATCCTTTGACGGCTCAACTGCTCCTATTCTTAATGAGTCGTCAGGTCAGCGCCGGGAACCCAACAAGCTTGTCAAAAGAACCATTTCGCAACATGGAAATGGTAAATCGCTATTTCATCGGTCGTCGCTGAGCATCACGGCTGCGCCGATTTTACGGAGACCTGCAACCAGCTACCAAAGATCCGAGTCGCTCAAGTTTCCTGATCTTGTCGGAGCTCCTTCTGACGATACGAATCTCAGTCCTGCTGTAGCTTTGGTCTCTGGTGGCTCTTGGTTGCCCTACTTTCGATCTAGTCTTGATGGACTGCGGGACAAGGCGATGAGAAGGTTTTCGACCGCAACTAAGCCGAAAGATCAACCTATCCGCCGCATACTCCCAACCAACAACGTCGCTCCAACACTTCTCCTGGCTACGTCTATCAGTAGGCAGGAAGCGAATGGCGATCATAAATGGGATCAAGCGTCTGGCACCCCGGTGCAGTTTCGCGATCCATTTTCGTCTACTATTTCGGTCCCGAAGCTGAAGGATCCTCCTTTCTCAAAGGTTACAAGCAAGTTAGAACACTCCTCTGACACCAATAACAAGGGAAGTCCCCAAGAAAGGGTAGATATGAACGGAGGTGTGGATTCAGGGCTGCAGAATGATACCTTGACCCATGCTAAGGGGAGAGCTCTGTCGACGCCTGTCCCTGAGGTGACAAAGTTGGAAAGAACAGCCCTCGGGGGTCCCAGAGTGCAAAGAAGACGGAATATCACCGACCCAAATGTATTTCGCCGCCCACAGAACGCGTCTGCCCCTGGACTTTCCATTTCACTCCCTCCCAAGATCCGTAATTCCTCTGGGAGCTACGGTTCGGCCCTGTCTCCTCAGAACCTTCGGGACGGGATGATCCCCGGCAGCGATGCTTTTCAACGCCCGTCGACTGCAGACGCGTTGCCGGTCTCGCCTACGTCTCGTCCATTTGAGCTAAGGCCTTCTCCTCCAGCCCGCCAGCGCACAACGCGTCTTTCTTCTATCGCAATTTCCAACCCCTCGTCAACCGTGATTGGTTCAGATGATACCCGCGTCTTTACTTCCGGGGATGAAGATGAATCTGACTTTCTCAGTGATACCGCCTTCGATTCAGTGCGTACGCGTGTTACTCTGAATAGTGTGTCGGATATCTGTAGTCCTCGGATCGAAGGGCTCTTTGATAGAAATCAGGGCCAGTCTGTGGTGGTGGGGCATGGGGGACTCAGCGGCCTCCCAGACGTTCTCCCACCTACTACTTTCTCTTTCCCTGAAACAAATCAGGAGCCCGATCAGATTTCCATCTTGGATACGGCTCATAAGTCCAGTTTATCCGAGGCTGATCGTTCCTCTCACATGTTTGACAACAAAGGACCGATGACCAGTTCTATTTCGCTATCGTCGGATGACCAGGATGCCTGCAGCCTAGTGGGTGCGCTACCCAGTGAGCTCAATGCCCAGTTTGGCAGGCGGTTGGCCGTATTCCCCGATGACGAAGATGATTTCGGCGCCTCCTGGGATGCGAACCTGAGCGTTTTTTCTACAAAGACAGATACCCATACAACACACCCCGATTCTCGCAGCCTAAATGATACGTATCCAAAGATGAATCCTTTCGACTGGTCTGAAGACCCCAGGAATGAACGGGAAACCGAAGGGACTGAGGTGCGCCCCAGAACTGTGCATGGCAAACAAGGCGGCGGTGACTTGAGGGGCAGCCGCCCGCCCGCCCGTAAGGGAGCGCATACACTGCACCTTCGCAGCCAAAGTGTTCCCGTGGCTAGAGAGCCTGCATTGAGCAACGACTCGCGCCAACCCCCTGGGAAATTTGGTACTTGGGGCCTGGGCAGCAAGGGTGTCAGCGAAGACTGGGACAGTGATTTCGAATTCGAAGATGCGGATAACAGCATGATAAGCGACAGCAACAAAGACATCACTACTAAAGTCGGCGGTTCTCGGGGAATGTTCGTTCCACAGGCCATCATGGAGCGTCAAGCCAGTCTTCATGGCCAGTTCGGCCATGTCCAGGAACTTACTTTGTTGGTTGAAGAGATGAAACGTCTGCGTCACCAAGCGAGCCTTTTACAAATCGCCAAAGGTCCATCCAGTGAGCTGTGGAGAGAGGCAGAGGGTATTGTCAACCTCGCTACTGTCGATGATGAGGAACATTACCCCTCCCCCCCACGCTCTCCTTCATCGCTGACATTCAGCTTCAACGATTCTGAGGAAGAAGCTCACCCAAGGCCCAACTCCGCGGACCGTAACAGCGGAGAATCATGGCAAACACCACCTTCCGAGCATACTGGATCAAATAGTCCCATCAACTCTCCCGACAGACTCGTCAAGGATCTTCCTGCGAGACCCAAGTCTGTTTTGGACATGATTTATCAACAACGCCCGGCTTGTGAGCCACTCCATCTTGACGTCAAAGGTCCTCCTCCTCAAAAAGTCGCTTTTGATACTCAGTCTCTACGAGACCTAGTTGTGCGGGCAGGTGTAGTGACCCGTGCTTTGAAAGATGTGATTCGCAAAGCAGAAGGTGTCACTTCCACCTCTGATGAGCCCCTTCCAACCTCTAATCCCCCCTTCAGTCGCATTTTCGATCAGCCCCCCACCGTATTTTCTAACTACGAAGCTGGTTACGTCAATTAGACTACGTTTTCATTCTGATACCCCTTTTAACGAGTCAAAGTCAAGTCCATCTCATCGATCGACAGTTTCCACCATATCCTTTCTCTGTACTACTCTTTCTACTACTACATGCGTTACATCCACCGCATATGCAAATGAAGTGATGTCAAAATACGTGTTTCCCAATCTCTCTTTCTTTTCCCATTCAATTTTTTTCTTTTCTCATTACATTCTTTCTTCTTCTTTCCCCTTGGCGGAGAACCCAGCTGATAACAGGCGGTTGAATCTAAGCCTTCTACAAAATTCTTTTCCCCTTGAGTTCCCATTCCGATGGACAATGTTGTACCAGTGGTCAGTTATTGGTTTTTCTGCCTTTCTTTTTCTGTTGGGCGAGGAGTTCATCCGTGGTTCGGACTTGGGCGCGAGTTCCTGTATGAATCAGGCTTCCCTTTTTTTTCCCTTCCCTTTTTCTTTCCTTTTCTTGCTCCTTTTCTTTTCTAGTCCCCTTTAATTCCCGTTTCATATTCTGCAGGCCATGCCAGATCATAATTTCCTTTGACTTGATGTAACCGTCTGACGCTCAAATATGCGTGTACTCTTCTGTTCCGTTCTTTGTTCTTATGGGGTAGGCTCACGGCGTGCAATGTTGCTCTCTCTTTTTTCCCCTGTGGGTGGGATAGAAAACAAATTTTGTTCAAGGAATAATGAATGCGGTTTAATGACCAATCTGAGGTTTCTATTATAGCCATATCCTAGTCATTCATAATCCCTTGGCAGATAAGAATCCCACTATCACTGGGTATCCGGGTCTGGTCCACTTGATGAGACGGTTGTCTGTTGATGCCAAAAAGGATCTCTCTATTAGTAGCTTAGGTTTTTATTATCTATGTATCTGTGGATACCAAGGGTAGTTAGCTGAAAGCTAGCCCGAGACGAGGAAATGGACTGGGTAACTCTAGAAATATTACAATGCAGGGCTTAGGCCGATCCTGTGATTGGGAGCAGAACGATGGACCTCGTGGACAAGCTCTTCAACCGTCTGTTGAAACTCTTTTTGACCAGTTCCCGACAGTCGATTTCAATTTCTTCCTATCTCATGTGTATGGCTCGGATTTCGGTGACGCGGCGAACGTCTGCTACGTTGTCGACGATGACGACAGAGGGGAAATGGTTTCTCTAGAAAGAACAGATCTATGAAAAGGGCCGATACACTCATAACTCCAGGCATATCCCGTGCGTTTAACGCCAGTCTCTAATAGTGTTCGGCAAGGACGCCCATAGTTCGCATCGTCATGGTACATACGGCGATAGCAAGGCGGTATGCGCCAAAGAAGCCTCCAGAAAAAAGCAACAGGGTATCACCGTCTGCAGGTCGGTTGCGATCACCACAGCAAACTTGAAGATGGAGGAATCGGACATGAAGATCGGCCGTGCAACTTGGGGACAGCGAAGACCATACTTTAGACCTCCAAGAAATAGAGCAATATAGCCCCTGGATACCAACTTCACTGGCGACGTCGAATTTTGATGCTATCTTGGAGGGCGCTGTAGAAAAGATGTGAACTACTTGTAAAGCATGCTGTGAAAGTCGTCTAGGCGAGCATGACAGCTGTAGTCAACCTGTACCTCTACCAATTTAATTCGACTCCCGGGTTCCGTCGTGTCTGCGTTGTCTGCATCCTGGGCGTATTCCCCGCCGGGCCGGATCCGTGTAAAATAACTAAAAGATGGGCGGGAGAAAGGCACCGGGTTTGACTGGAATAGACGAGGCCCATCATTCTGGCTCTCGGGTACATAATAAATATAAACCATAACTTTGTAATTCAATAGATAAGAAAATGGATATTAAATCACTTTTGTGACCACTGTGCTTCAAGCTCGGCCTTTCTTTATCTTGTGATCCCCTGGGAAGATCCATGAGGTCTGGCTTGTGAACTGGAGAAGAAGAAGGTGGATATAATACTTTTATAGTGGCATAGTTAGAATAATAACTGCTATTAGGAGGAGAGATATCTGGGTTAAATTGTAACAGGTGCAGAGGATCTTTAGGTGGAGATTCTCAGCCACATGCTATACCCCATAAGCAGGAGGCACTCTGATCTAGGCTCCTAAGCATATGCCATAAATATAACACATGTTTAAATCAGCTATATGGCATGTTTCAACAATTGCTCTGACTCCGTCTAGTCGGTGTTTTCTGTATATATTCAGTAACTACCTAGGTAGTAATTAGCTTTAATTTACTTATAACTCAGATCTAACTTATCATCCCCCTTTAATTATCAATACACTATACAGCTAGCTAGCTAACTAATTAATATAAGCATTAATTAGAAAGATAGCGCTAACTAGCTACTCCGTACTCCGTACTCTATACTCTGCTAGGTAGACTATACGCAGTAACTACTCCGTATTTCATACTCCGTACTCCGTACCTGTAAGTACCGTACTAAAAGTAAATTGTACTCCGTAGTAGGTGCTTTCCTCAAACATCCGACTGACCGGCAAGACTGCTTGGCAGTGCCTGCCGTTACAAGTTTGTCTAACCTATCTGGGAGATTACTGGTGGGGACCAGGACAAGCATTGATCAGGGGGGAACAGTTCCTGCAGTGTTTATTGGCCAGACACCTCAAGTGGTTCCTGACGCTAAGCCATCTGCGCACACCCCCCCACTTCACGGCCTCTTCTCGCCTTGCTTCGTTTCGCTGCCACCAGCCATAAACAATAAACTTGATAAGAAGAGCAGGCTGTATCCTCGAATTGAAGCCAGGAACCCATCTCCAGAGTCTACTACATATGGAATCAAGCCAGAAAGAGGTGAATTTGGTTGTGTTGGGTACGAGCCGAGCTCAGGTCCGAACGAATCCCACCCCCATCCCCCTTATGTAGTAAGCCTAACTTAGCTGAACCAAACCCCTCAGGGGTCACTGTCATTGTGCCACTCGCCTCTTTGCCTGTAAACAGCAGGACTGCACTCACCTATCATGCTTCATCCCTTATCGTCTAAAAAGAGATGCCAATTTATTATTGCCTCCTCCTCGTCTACACCATATACTTTTGATAATAATAGAAAAACCCGTGTTTCCTCCTGAGCGGTGTGGCAGGTCTGAAGAGTCTAGAGTCTCTGTGTTCTGCTAGGGGGCTATCTCTTCTTCCCCCTAGGTCCGGGCTTGCCATACGGTGTAGCTAGGTACGGAGTACTCAGGTAATAACTACCTAGGTAGTTAACTATCACTAACTATGGAGTATCTAGTATCTACTCCGTACAGAGTACTACTATTAGTTATCTCCACACTGCACGGCCTGAGCTTACCCGTCAGTTTGATTGCGGCTTTCCTCCGTACCCCTGCAGTCGTACGGATTTCCCTGTACTCTGTAGCAACTAGTTAGTGGCATATGTCATAGACGGTGCTAGCCTGCCAACCTAGGCTGTTAGTGAATATTATTATAGTGGCTCCCCCCCAATGATAGGCCAAGGGATCCCACTGTCCACGAATGGGACCATCTAGACTGTCTCCCCGTCCGCTGCCCTCATTTTTCTCTTCCTTCTTTGCTCTTCCCTCGTCCTTCTCTCGTTTGGGTTCTCCTCCATCTCCAACTCGCCGTTTGCTTTCTCCCAGTCACTCTTTTTCCAACTTGGGCTCTTTTGCCTGCCGCTCTTTTTTTTTTCTTGGGACTGTCTGTCCTGTTCACTCCTTTATCTGTTGTCTATTAATTTATTTTCACTACTGCTATTGCCAAGATCGCAGTTCTCTGGCTCTCGTGGCACACTATCGAAACTACTCCAATCTTGACTTACTTGATGACGCTCGGAGAAGATATCTAGTCCGTCGACTGTTGTTCGATTGCCTTAAATATATACATGCATATGCATATATACATGCTCGTTTTGGATTGAGAACGTCATGCCTCTTCTACCCCCCGTCTACAATGAGGGCCGTACGACAAGCCGGCAGCCTATCCGACGGGAGGTGATTCCCCGCAGTCGATTACCTACGCTCGTTGCTTTGGATCAACCCACGGTTGTAAAAAGAAGCTCGTCATCAACGGCTTCTTCCTCGTCCGATAGCAGTGGTTCCTCGACCGCGTCAACACTGCCTGTTGTCTTGGGAGTAGTGTATGTGTTGATATTGAGGGTATCCTGCGAACAACAGGGGGGAGAAGCTAACTGGACTGCAGGGTCCCACTTGTTATTGCCATCGTCGTTTTAATTGTTTTACACCGAAGACATGTGAAAAAGCTGCGCCATGAGGATGCCAATGATAAACACAGGTCGCTTGACTTTGGCATGGATGTGGTAGATTCGTCAGGTCCGGCGGGCGGTATGCAGGAGGTTGAGAAAGCCCACACTAAGGGGATGTCGATGGATATGGTCAACCCATATCTTCTGCCACCTGGTCTCCAAGGCTCTCGTGAGTCTTTGCATTCGCTGTCGCGGTCAATTACCGGGGAGGATGACAAATTCCGCCGTGCGACGCACTCGATCTTGCATGCTGACAACATGTCAGTGAACTCACCTCTACATGGCGTTCATGATGATGCCTCAAGCTTCACTGGGTCCGCTCGTCTTCCTGCAGGTGATGAGATGGGCCACGGTCTCCTGCGTAATGCCCAACGGATGTCGCGTTCCTCCCCGCCGCTGTACAACCCTCCGCCTGGCGATAACCGAGCCCGTCAAAGCCCCATCAATCCTCATGACAATGGACTGGAATTGAACCTTCCACCCAGCCTCAATTCTGGAGGGCCCCCTTCTCATGGTGCTAACTACCCTTCGGCGTACCCTGGTATGGCCGATCCCGACCCAGTCCAGAACCTTCCCACCCATGCTACTCCTGGTCAGAACTACGATACCTTGCCGTCACAAGAACCCCGGTTGCCCGATCTGGGTCCCCTGCCAACGAAGCCGACTTTTGAGTCTGCGCAAGCTCCGTCTCTTTCGATTCAGGTACCGAGAATCTCGTTTCCGCTTAGCGATGCTGCCAGCGATTATGGGGACGCCCGGAATTCCGAGCTCATGCTCCCATCTATCAATATCTCCGCTCAAGAAGAGGTTCATAAAGAGAAGCCCACAATCCCTGAGATCCCCCATCCTCCCCCCCAACCGAAGATGAACGTGCCTGCTGGCCCTGACCCCCGCCGCATGACTCTCGGCTTGCGCCCTCTACCCCCGGAGGACCCTTCGGACAACCCTGAACAGCGTGCCAACCGGATCCGATCCTTCTACAAGGAATATTTTGACGAAAGTAAACCTGGGAGGGAGTCGTATTTTGCGGGCTATGGCCTGGATTATTACGGAGAGGTCGACCCTACGACAGGGGAGTTCGAAGGCGGCTTCGTGCCTCCGTATGCCGAGCCGGTCAACCGTCGTGCCATGACGCCGCCGCCTCGCGCGCCTCCGCGGTTCCAGGGAGCAGCACGACACATGGCTACCAACTCGGCTGGTGGTGGTGGATTCCCCCCGCCGGGTCCCCGTGCTTTCTCGTCTGCCTCCGGCCGACTCCCTGCCCCCAAACCCCGCAAGCCGATTCCTGCTCCCTCGCCTCTACAAGTCCTCCCCTCCCCTCATATGCTGAAAGACGATTCCATCATGACCGCGGCTGAATATGCCCCAAGTGCAAGTGCCTCTGAACGACGAGAAGGTAGACCAGAGACGCCGAGAGGCGGGTTAAAACCTTTCAACCCGATGACCGCCATTCACAGTCCACTTGTCTCGGCATTCGACGAGCTCGCGGCGATACCAAGCCCGTAAGTTTTTCTTTCTTTTTTCTGTCTTGCATTCATCACTAATTCGTATAGGCACGCGCTACGGAAATCAGCCACATATACAAGTCTGGACTTCGCGCCCCCTCCCAGGTTTAAGAACGGCGACACTTCAAGCGATGCCGGCAGCATTCGCAGTAACCGTACGGGCATTTCGGCTACTCATCTACAGAACATCCGCAACGGAGCGTATCGCATCAGCCGTCTTCCAGCCGACACGGTGGGCACCAAGGATGACCTCTACACCAGCCTACGCCCGACTTGGGATATGAAGCAGTAGTAGATATCACTTCTCTCTTCATTCGCATCCGGTTTCTAGGTAGCTTACCCCCGAGGTCCCTGCAACGATGTATCTACCTTCCGGTTGATTCTCCATGCCCCCTCACGATCCATCTGTCGCTTGTACATTTTCCTCTTCAAAGAGTCTTCCTTCAGGTCGGAGCAAACATTGGCTACATGGGAGTTTTTTTTTTTTTTTTTTTTTCTTTATTTGATTTTGTATTTCTTCATATCTGACCATTCTTTTGAAATCAATGGCGTACATAGACAATGGCAGGAACCTTTTGGCCAAGTTCTTTTTTTTTAGCTCCATATTACATTTCCCTTCTCTTATTTTTTTATCTCTGGTGTATGTTATATATAGACAGTCTCATTTTCTTCTGCCTACTTCGATATTGAATCTTCATCTTGATATGATTTAATTATACTGTTTATATAACCTCGTAATTCATTACCACAGCCCTGAAGTATATAATTCCCCATGCCACTTGTTAAGTACCATAAGGGTCTAGGTCTAGCTTATTGATCATACGATATACAGATAGATTTATATCCATCAATCTCGTCTTGTAATTCTAGCCCAGTCCGAAAGGTCAGTGTAGATGGCTTCGATGTGCCATGCGCATATTTAGCACTGATAGAGAAGTCTTGTTCATCAACATGAGCTGCTACCTCAAGAATATAATACCTTAGAGGATAGATTAGATGTAGAATAGTGGGGTAGAAGGTGGTGCGAGTGGAAGACGGCTGTTTTTGGCCTTAGGAGCGGTCATTTCCGGCGTCAATTGCACAGGTCCTCGTATTTACGTAGTATTTGGAACAGGAACTGCAACTCCACATCTAATGTAGTATTTATTTTTGACGGTTTTAGGAAACTATGTACCTGCATATATATACATATATACATATATATAAGTATATAATAGAAGAAGATATTCTAAGCTATTTAGTGATGAGAGAAAGATGAATAAAATATTCACAGTAGCCCTAACTAAATTATAGTTAGGAAGTGAATGTAAGATTTAAGACATGTCTCAAAATAGCTCATTTCATTCTATCCACGTGGTGTATGGCTTCAACTTACACAAGATTCTTTGCATCGGCAGCAGGAATGTCGATGTAATAGTTATATCTTATTTGATCGGTAAGTATAGCTTCTAGGAGCCCTAATTACTAGAAGGAGAATTATTAATCTACCTGCTTTTTCCTGACCGGTCGGAGATGAAGCCGTATACTAGCTAGAAAGGAAGTGTGGTATTATTACCTTACCTAGTAACCTGATTCGAAAACTATACATGGTCATTACCTCACGCTGCTGAATCGCTGATTCCTAATTTTATTAGGGTTATCCTTGGATATCATTCATGATCTTTATTTAGTGATGACCAGCAGATCATGATCATCTAGAAGAAAGTAAGAACGTGAGGGGAGACTATTAGGTAGTACCTAGGTACCTAGTGGCAAGGTGAGACAAGAAAAAGACGATTCGATACCGGCTCCGCGACCAAGTAAGGGGAAGACGAATTCGTATACTCTGTAGCCATAGAGTAGTTGTTGTTATTGTTATTGTTATTGTTAATATTAATATTTGGTCTTATTAGCTACTCTTCAAGTTTTTCATTTTGTAGTAGTACATCTTGCGTTGCTGAAGTTGTTCTGGTTGCAGTTACATTTGGTTGCTCAGCACAGGCCGCCCAAGGAACAAGCAAGCCCGCACACGGCGCCCATCGTCCACTGAGCCTCCGAGTTCAGAATCTGGAATTGGATGCTGACTCTCCCAATGCCACCATCTCCGCTTTCTCTTTAGATCCCATGGCTCCCGATTAAATCCTGCGAGCCTGACTTGGACAAGTCAACCTCACTGCAGGTTAAAAAATATTTTTTCTTCTTCCATCTAGTGATCTAGCTCATTGTCAGTTCAGCGAATGCTCTTGCAAAATCTGGCCTCACTCACCCCCTGACGGTTGACCACCCTGATTGTCACTCCCACTCCTTTGATCAACGTCGGTATACTATTGCACTGTCAGCACGCAACTCTTGGCCTTGCTTGAATCCAGCTCTATTCTCAAATCGAACGACACATTTTTGCTGTTGCGTGAGAGACGACCAGACGACCTCGCGCTTCTTTACCTTCCCTTCCCATCCCAGAGCCGTTGGCACCGATCTTACATCAAGCGTGTTTTGTAACACCAATCTGCTTCAATCTTTCTCGCCGAGTATATCGGAATTTCACAGTTCGCTATCCGTTCCGTTCTCTGTGCAGACAGGTGGCTGGCTGTCTGGACTCGCATCGCGGAGATAGCGACAGTCCTTGGCGCTCAGGATAGGTGCAGAGCAAACGAGGGGCGAAGACTTTTTTTTCCCTATTTTCCTATTTATATAGGGAAACCCTCTATCGACAACTAGGTATTCTAGGACTAAGGAAGTCCATATCGACCCCAAGATGGCGACGGTTAATTCTTCTGGTATGATATCTCAATCCTCGCGGCTATTGGAAAACCCCCATATGATGGAGAAATATTGTGTTGACTCGGAACAGTGCCGGCGGCGCAGACAAGCTCGAGCACCACTTCATACACATCTCAGCCGGAGACATCAACGTCTGATTCGTCTACATCGTCTACCAGCACAACAACTTCGTCTTTGCCACCGACCACTTCAACCAGCACGACCAGCAGCACGACCAGCAGTACAAGCAGTACAAGCAGCACGACCACTAGCACGACTACCAGCATCTACTCGAACACGGAAGAGGCTCCTACGACTGCAGCCGCGCTGCCTACCACGACAGCCTCTGAAAGTGTTGAGACAACTGTAGTTAGCGATAGCGGTTCGGTTACGACTATCGTTATCACTTCGACAGCTTCTCTAGCAGCCAATCCAACTGTGGGATCCTCATCCACATCGACAACTAGCTCATCGGGAACGGCGGCGTCTCATACGTCCGGAGCCGGAAGTTCGGGTGGACTCTCGGCTGGTGGAACTATCGCGGTTGCAGTCGTGGTGCCCGTTGTCGGTGTTGCATTGATTATTCTCGCCGCACTCTGGTTCTGGAGGAAAAGAAAGGCAAACAAACTGGCCGAAGAGGAGCGCCGGAAGGAAGCAGAGGAATACGGATTCAACCCCAATAATGACCCGACTCTCCCTGGCGTAGGCGTTGCAGGTGCATATGGCCAGGGCTACGAGCCCAAAGAGGATCAGTCAGGTTATCGAGGCTGGGGTACAACGTCCGCCGGCCGGAAGGCCTCCACCAACTTGTCAAGCACACCTGGGGTTGGCATGGCCATGTCTGACAACGGTAGCGCACCCGGTTATCACCACGCTGCTTCGCCAAGCGATGGCACTATTCAGTACTCTGAAGGGCAAGGAAGACCGATCTCGGGCGAATCAGAGTCTATTGGTGTTCTGGGGGCGGCTCCCGTCTCTGCCAATAATCGCAACCCGGATATCCGCCGTGGCCCATCAAATGCATCATCTGCATACTCGGCTGGTAATCATTCGGAAGCCTCCGACGACAGTCGTATATCCGGTGGACACCCCGGTGCCAACATTTACGACGAAAACCCCTACTATGGTGACGTCCAGCAACCGTATGGGTCATACGGCGAGGGTCCTTACGGTAGCGGACAGCCCGTCATCCGTGACGTTCAAGCACGGCGAAACACACGGATCGAGAACCCAGCCGTGTTTCCAAAGCAAGGGAATGCCGGTATTGCGCAGAACTTCTGATTCTGATCGTTCGAGTGCTATCTGCTGCGCACCATTGCGCAGATATTCTGGAATACCCTTTTATTTATTCATTTTTTTTTCGCTTTCTTCAATTTTCCGTGTATCCACATATTCTCTCGCTCATATCTCATGATTTCCTAGTATATCCATTCAATCTTTCTGAACAGCAGGAGTGACTTTGGGGGATCATGCTTCATTCCCCCCCCCCCCGGGCCTATTATCCACTTTCAATGTGAGTATTTCATTACATACCATGTGATCCTAATTTTGTCTGGCACTCTCCCTTCTTTTTTTTTTTTTCTTTTTTGTACCGTCTACTCGCCCCATATATCCTTCAATTCAAGCCCAGTAGTTCCTTTCTGCTGCCTTGTTCAAGTTGCATTGTACGTTGTCGACTCTCACTGTCAAGGGACATGCATCTTATGACTTGTGACTTAATTGTTTCCTTTATTTCGCCCTTGATGATCCTTGAATATCTTGTTCGAAGTGACCATGTTTTCTTCTTGGTTTGTAATCGCTCTCTGTCTGCACCGGTGAAGAGAGTCATAGGCAGCCTAGTCAATTATAGTATCATTCCATCTTTCTTGTGTCCTAAAATATTGGAGGATTATATTAATATTACATTTGGTATTAAACCAACATGAATCCCAAGCCTAGAGATATCTACGTAACTGTTATCCAAGACCAATTAAGGTTATCAGCGGTGCATTAGTCCCAACGAGATTAGTTGTAGATCTTTAGTGTGGCTTTAGCCGTGTTCAAGGATTCTCATATTGAAGATAACGTCACTATCTAGGGAGTGGCTGACGAAGAGGTACAGAATGGTAGTAGATAACTACACTGCTCCTAAACGAGGCTTCTTTGCTTGATCTAATTTTAGTAACGACTTTGAGGAGGGGAATAAATAACTAGTTAAGTATTCACTACACTCCATTGTACATACAGTATGACTAAGGGTATTTGACTAGCAGGTTACTGTGACTTCTTACTCCATACAAAGTCAGGTATACTGTTAGGTACCTGTTAGTTAGTAGTTAGTTACAGGGTGCCTACTGCCTAATAGATACCTTTTCTATTCTATATATACCCTTACTGTGAGGAGCAACAGGGATAGATTGAGGTTGGGTACATATAGTCTGTATAAGTTTTCTTCTTCTAGGTCCTGGATATTGATTTATCCCAACATCAGCAAACAACTTCAAGTAACCATCACTAAGAGAATCCACTCTTCATGGTTACTCCTTGTCACGCCTGAACACCGGCTACCGGACTCTGGAAATACCTACCTATTGTAACAACACGTTCGTCGTATACAGGTGCTACTTAAGGGTACTCCGTGAGCACTCCGTCCGGCAGGCTAAACTGCATCGGGAAGATGGGTCCACACGTGGGTGCAAGGTAGAACGTGATTGGCGCACTGCGATAAGATTCCAGCAAAGCTCAATCCTAATGGAAGGTAGAACCTGGAGCTCTCTCATCCCACTCCTCTCTTCCTGTACACCTGATTTGCGGCCGGGGCGCTTTCTTCTTACTCCGTAGTCCCGTACTGGACTCCAGGCCCTCTCTTCCATTGACCTAGTTGCTGCTGATTCTAGCCGGACTCGAGCTCTACCCTCAGTTACGGAGTACTCTGACTCTGAGTCCTACCTGGTTGAAAGCCCCGCACATCCTGCTCTGGCCTCGATTGCCCTGGACGGCTGCGTCGCCGCAGTACCAGGTACGTACCACGTACGGAGTACTTTACTTCCCCTACTACTACTACTACTACTACTAACTACTTAGGCAGTACGGAGTAATTACTGTCCAACGTGCTCGATCAGACGGTGGATCCCGGCTCTACCTACCTACCACTTGCCTGTTACTGAGTGTACTGCCTCAAAAGTGAATTTCTTCCTGACAAGCTCGACAATTCGACACCATACCACGCTGACGTGGATTGACTTCTGGGTTGTATAGACTGCCGCACGAGGTACCTACTGCCTCAGAACTTCATTCCTTACCTACCTACCTACTCGATTCATCGATGACCTCTCCTACCGTGCGGCATCCCCGTTAGTTATACCATACCTAACCATCAGCACTGCACTGCCTGCCCCACCTAGGTCCCGGTATCCTACGCCCACGCAACTCGCGCTTTCCGTCATACCGAGAGGGGCAGTTCTATTATTGCCTTCCTGTCTTCTTGCCCTTGAGCTTCGCGACTCGGTCCTGGTTCCATTTCGGCACTGCCAGATCCTACCCAGCCCTTCACTCGACACAGCGGCGTGTCAGAAATTTATTTTCGAGAGGCTGAGAGGAAGGAACGACCGCCTTCTCTTTCTCTCTCAACCTCGTGAAATATGTACGTCTATTGAGCTCCCTATAGATACAAAAACACGCCGGTTTCTCCGCGCACCTCTCCCACCCATCCATCCCCTGCGCAGATCGAGAAACCACCATCCTACCGTTTGCGGCCACATGCTTACCATCGAGATAATAGGAAGTTCGGCAAACAGATACAGCGGAGACAGTTAGATCTTCCAGAATATGCGGCCAGTTTCGTGAACTACAAGGCTCTGAAAAAGGTGACGCCACCTCACTCACACAGGTGGATGCATAACCAAAGTCGCTGACAATCTGAGCAGCTCATCAAGCATCTGAGTGCTACACCCACCATCCCAGCGCAGACAATCCCGGATGTTGTTCAGGATGCGCTCGATCCGCAAGCTGCCCTGCGGGCAAACAAGGAAGTATTCTTCTTCCGATTGGTATGCACATACATCTCCTTCGGTTAAACACAAATGATATCGACCGGAGCCCACCGCTGAGCGTTGTTAGGAACGCGAGATCGAAAAAGTAAACGCTTTTTACTTGCAGAAGGAGGCAGAAGTATGTATTGAGTCCCGGGATGGGGAGACCTCTTGGCTCTGCTATAGCTAACTCCGAAACCCCAGTTTTCATTACGACTACGGACCTTGATCGAGAAGAAAAAGATGGTTCAGTCCCGTGCAGTCACCAGCACAAAGGCGCCAGCAAATTTTGTAGCACTGTTTGAAGGCCTACAGCAATTCGATGGTGACTTGAATAAGCTGCAAGTAAGTTCCCCCTGACAATTTTATACCTATCAATGGGCAATTCTCATTTTGAATTGTAGCAATTTGTGGAGATCAATGAGACAGCAGTGTCCAAAATATTGAAAAAGGTCAGTTGAGAATCACCCATCTTTGTCATGAAACGATTAACAAAAAAAAAAAAAAAAAAAAAAAAAGCAGACGGCTGACATGAATATTAGTGGGATAAAACCTCCAAGGTCAGCGCCCCGACCCGTTTCCATACCGCAAGTTCTGGAGCTCGAGCCTTGCTAACATTCCGTTGTAGTCTCGTATGAAGGAGCTCTATCTTCATCGGGCGGTTGAGGTGCAGCCTTGTTTCAACAGAGAGGTCTTGCGGGATTTATCAGACCGGGCAACAACCGCTCGCTTGGAACTTGAGGCCTGGGCCGAAGGCGAAAACATACAATTCGATACTGCTCGCCCATTAGACCGCGCTGGGGCTGCACCACCTTTTGGTACGGATGAAGACGATATGGATATGCAGGTCCTACAATCAGCAATCGTCGGGAACTTGCAACCCTTACGAGAATGGCTCGCCAAGCTACAATCTTCCTCGGACGCCCGCGAACGTGCGACGCGCACATTTCTCGTCGCAATCAGTGAATCACCTGACGATGCCCTGGCCTTATTATTGGAAAGCGGCCTAGTCGACATTCGCGCGGAGGATGATATCAACGAACGCAACTGTCTACATGAAGCGGCCATATCCGGTCGAGATTTCGTGTTCAAGGCTGGCCTAGCTGCTGGAATCGACATCTCAAGGTCAGACGTCTACGGTCGCATCCCCCTCCATTATGCCTGCATGCATGGCCGGGTGGAGATGGTGGGTGAGCTGCTAAATGCAGGACCACACACAATCGATATCACTGACCATGACAACTTCACTCCATTAATTCATAGTATTGTGAAGGATCAGCTTTTATGTGCTGAGCAGCTGCTCCAGAAGAATGCACGGATCAACCCGGCCTCAGAATCAGATCATATTCCACTTAATCTGGCCTGTCAACATGGGTCCCTTCCAATTGTGAAGATGCTTTTGGAAAAGAAAGCCCAGCTACTACCAGACGCCGAGGGCCTATATCCTCAGCATATGGTTGCACGGTCATCACAGTCTCCTCAGCTTCTGCTGCTTCTGAAAGAGCATGGGGCTGACCTGAACCAAAAGGATAAATTATATCAATGGACACCTCTTTTCCATGCGGCGAGTGAAGGCTGCGTTGACTGTGTGCGCACCCTTCTACATTCTGATGTGGATGTAGATGCTATGGATGAGAAGGGTCTGTCCGCAATGTACTATGCTGCCTGGGAAGGACATCTTGAATGCATGCTCCTGCTGTGGTCTGATCGGACCAGAACAGGCATGTCCCATAGGCCACTGGACATTCTCAACGGTTTAAGGCTACAAGAGAACATGTCGGTCTCGGACCGCCCGGGCACTGAAACGGTCGTCTCGGCAGAAATGGAGACGGTTGACGGTATCCCGGATCTTTCATTACCACCACCCATCATTCCCCTGAGGCGATACGGCCACAATTTCTTGGACAAGAAGGTTTTTATTCAAATCTTCTTCGACCCAAGCGATTCGGGATCAATCGTCTTTGATCAAGCGGGCCGCTATCCTGCTGCTCGCTTAACTATCTCATCAAAACTCTCCGACCTGATTCCTCGTAACATCATGCTCCCCATTCAAGACGATTCGACGATCATCTCGTTTCAGATCGACAATCTGGACACTTTTGCAGTCGACTTTGAAATTTTCCCTACGTTCGGCTCAAAGGTGATCGCTAAGAGTGTCGCTCTTCCCTCGGTATTCCAAGCGGAGCATTCTAGCACCGGGTCGTGCTGTCTACCCTTGTTCGACCCTAGACTGCGATCTATCGGTCAGTTGCGGTTTGGGTTCCAGGTGATCAAGCCGTACCACGGTGATCCACTCGAAATCACGCATTTCGCGACGTACTGGAAAGCCACCAGCACTCTCGATTCGGAACACAACGGACTGGTCACCGGGTCTAGCCTTTCAGGCGACCATGTGCAGTTGTTTGTCCAGCTTACAAAGGACAAGGTCCCTGTGCTATTTCCACGGTTTATGATCAACCACCACGGGATCAAGATACCGATTTGCTGCCTCACTTATGACCAATTCCACTTGATTGGATCTCAGGCCGGAGTGAATCAGTCGGAGGTCCTGCACTTCCTACAGGACCAAGCCGCTGAAGATATGGCCAGTACGCACCGGACCCTAGCCGAATCATTCTTGTCATTGCGGGACGTGCTTCAGCATCTCAAAATTTCTATTAATGTCAATATCTCTGTTCTTTACCCCTCCAGTATTGGAGAACAATCGTTCGATATGTCCTGTTTGGCGGATGTGAACAGCTTTGCTGATGCCATCCTCACTGATGTCTTTAATCATGCACGAATTACACGAGACCAGAATCCGGATTTTATGCGTTCAGTTGTGTTCACGTCATACAATTCAGACATTTGCACAGCCTTGAACTGGAAACAACCAAATTGTGAGCATACCCCCTCGTCTGTATAGATTCTATGTGGTCTTTTCTTCTAATCTCTTGAGTAAAACAGATCCGGTTCTTCTGTGCAATGACCTTGGTCAGATCCGAGATCTCACGCATGATCCTGGCTTCGTCCAGCGTATTAATAGCAGTGGTCGGACATCGATGTCCATTAAGGAAACAGCCCGAATTGCGCAAAGTAATAACTTTATGGGTTTGATATGTCGCTCAAGTCTTCTGGTAAGCTGCCTGGTTTTCATTTCAACCCTTATGGTGGGATAGAATTACTTGCTGACATGTGGAATTTCTTTTAGAATGTCGTACCTGCTCTTGTAGAGACAATAAAAGAGCTCGGTCTTGTGCTTATCGCTGATACCTCTGACGAGGCTGGACAGCCCGACAGAAACGACGCTCTAGCCACTGCAAGCACCATGGGTGTGTCTACCGAATGGGCGTACAGAATGCCTGAAGGTGTAAATGGCGTGATGAAAGCAAACGGCATCCTGCGTTTCAACGACATGATTGATATGTGAAAACTCTTCTTTCTAAAATCACACCGCCATAATTTTTGATGAAATTAATGAGCAGCTGTAATTATTTCTAGTTCTTGTTTCTTCAGTTTCTTGATCATATCTTCCATGGAGGTATTTGTGATTCTGTTCATAAAATCTAGTTAATATACCACCACTCAGCTATTTGGTATTCAAGTTCTTCTGTTTGTTTACTGCTGTTTCTGCCTTTTATCTTATATACTAGGGAAATTTATTCAATTAAGACCTTCTCGGGCAAAGCATGCATTCTTTGTCGAGCTCAGTTAGTATCTTTAGATGCATTAATAAGTGAGGAGCTGCAGATATATTAGTAGTTATTCATATATATCTTGAACAATTTGGCCGGGGAGTTTTGGAAAAAGATAGGTCCAGATACATGCATGGCATTGGATATTAGTTAATGGGACTAATGTACAAAATGAGTTTTTATCTAAAGGTCTAATAAAACGACACTCTATTCCCGGCCGAGATAAGAGAGAAAGGAGATTGAAGTAAAGAGAACCGATTATACAGACGCGAAGGTTGAGAGGAGGGTCGGCTTACGATAGTTCATATAATATCATAATATGAACGAGTAGGCATCACATGCCCTTTGGTCTGCCTCGTGTAAGGTCCCATCCCCAATGCCTCAGAGTCTTGACCACGTTCGGGGTGATTGCCGCTGTTAAGGGGACGCGGAAGATGATGAGACTCTTGTGGACGGCATAAGCGATGGCAAGTTGTGTCCAAATACCTGAAAAGGGAAGGATTTAGAATCAGTCTAACTAGAATAGATTATCGTTCAGATGCCGAGGCAAATATTCAGAGATACGTACTCGCTTTCTCTCCGGAAGATCCATTACCGTCGTTGCTTTCACTGTTCTTCTCCGATGTTGCATCATCGGACAAGATTCCGGGCCACACGGCATTGGCGGCGTCCTTTGCAGCACCAAAAATGACACTTTCATAGTATCCAATCCTTTCCACGCCAAAAAGACGCACAGCAGCGAAGCAAAAGGGGAAGTCCAGAGCGGACAAAAGCAGGTAGACGCCTAGCCCAGCCCAGCCGTACTCTCGGGTGAGCTTGCGCAACCGTTGTGACAGAGAGGTAGGTTCGGACTGTGCATTGCTAGTTTTTGTGGAGTTGAAGCGGCGGGGGATCTGTCGTACGCGACTTGGATTTATTGTAGTCTTGTAAAGGTTCGTTGCCCCGTTTTTAGGAGTGACTCGACGTGATGCTAATCTCATAGATGCAAAGGTGCGGCTCCAGACGCTAGGAAGGCGACGGGTCGCAGCACTCGGGGACATTGTCGTTGCCGAAGAAATAGAAAAGGTAGGAGACGGTGACAGAGTTCGATATCGAAGGTCTCCGGCATTCCGAACGAGCCGGGTCGATTGGGAGATCCAACGCGATGCGGCAGAAAGTCTAGCGGACATGTTCAAGAACTTGCTGTGCCGGGGTATAGTTAATTATTGTGCGTTCAGATTTATTATTTATGGGGGGGGGATAAATAGCAAGTTCCATCAATTGAAGGCCATCAAAATCGAATGGTAAAATATAGTGACAGAGAAAAATAAACCAATTTTCAAGAGCTTAGCGGCGCTGGAGAATTTTTAAACATTCCGCTAGGAGGGAGAGGTTATCTACTCTAATGCTTTAGCTAGTTATTTACGGAATACAGAACAATCATCTATGTCTCCATATACAGCCACAGCAATAGTAAACCTCATGTCTGGCGGAGACCGACTTATAATTAGAAATGAATTCCATACATATATATGTAGTATTTTGTATCAAACGAGAGCAAATACTAAGAGCAAGCTAGGATTGAGAGGAATTGACTAATTGCTGACTAACGTAAATCTCACCGCCTTCGCAGCGTTTGGTACCTGGATAGGTTACCTACCTAGTAGAGCTTTAGGAAAAAACCTGATGCCTCCTATCAACATCGGATATACACTGTGATAGACATCCACCATGCCGCCGCGTCTACATTGGAATTTATTACAATTACCCTCGCTCCCTGGGAAACCTCGATTCATCGTACCGCAATGCTCAATACGGAATTTCGGCATCAGGTCTTTGAATCCACCGAAACCTGATCGGTTCAATGTTGGCGACGACCTTCCTGTTCTCAAATCAACTTCAACTGCAGCTCTTGAGCGCAAAGCGTGGACATTACCTCCTCGAACCGGTGCCATTGCAATTAAAAAGGGGATGACAGCGATATACGATGCGGAAACTGGGCAACGCCTAGCATGCACAGTCTTACAACTTGATCGGGTTGAAGTCGTATCACACAAAACCCGTGAGAAGCACGGCTATTTTGCCGTGCAAGTCGGTGCTGGCTGGCGCCATCATAGCAATATGCCAAAGTCACTGGTGGGCCATTTCTCTGCCAATGGTCTCTCGCCCAAGAGACATGTGTATGAATTCCGAGTGAAGGACGAGAGCGGCCTGTTACCTGTTGGTCAAATTATCAACGCGGGTTGGTTCCAGGAAGGGCAATACATCGATGCGCGGTCCAATACCAAGGGAAAAGGCTTTGCAGGAGTGATGAAGAGGCACGGTTTTCATGGTCAAGATCGCAGCCATGGTGTCAGTTTGACGCATCGATCTCTTGGTTCTGCCGGACCAAGTCAGGGGGGTGGTTCGAGAGTGTATCCAGGAAAGAAGATGGCTGGAAACATGGGCAACGAACAACACACTGAGCAAAACTTGAGGATTCTGAGAGTAGACCCTGAAAATGGGCTTGTTGTGGTCAAAGGTACGATTATGTTTTACATTGAAGCAGGCGGCTTTATCCCCCTCCAGAATGCCCTCTCGTTTCATACTAGTAAGCTAACAAGTTGTTTTCATGTTTCTTAGGTGCTGTGAGCGGCCCCAAAGGTTGTGTCGTCAGAATTCAAGATGCCATCAAAAAGCCATGGCCAGAGCATACTTCTGTAGAATAAGTTATTTAGTGCCAGTGTTCAATCTGGTCTATTAAATGTATTATTATTATGCTATATTATTATAGGGATATTATCTATATATAATCTATAAACAATGTACTCTTCTATATCTTCAAAGCTCTTATCTACTGTCAGTTCTAAAATCTATGTGAATCGTTTACTCCCCAAATGCTATCTATAATCAAGGCTAAAGATGAATGGTCCTTTCGATGATTATATCTTAGTATTAAAATTCCCATAAATTTGTATTTTATACACAGGTATCATGCAATTATTTTAGCTCTTCTGGTGGAATGGGTCACCATCAGCTTCATTAAGCAATTGCACCACAGTTCCATTCTCTGTCTCTAGGCTCCACTCCTCAGTACGAAACTATATTTTAGTTGAGATATAGTATTAGCCTAGTCTGTTATAGATACTGCTCTTGGGCGATCATTGCAAAATAAAAACCAAGGTGGTCACGTATAAAATTGCGTTTAAGAGCTTTCGACTATTCTTACTGGGTTGACTTACAAAGCTCATCCGGTCTGGTCTTATGCTGCGAAACCTCATTTTACCCTGCCCCTTTGTTCCCTTGACCCAGAATGATATATCGATTCGACCATGCAATTGGTTCATCTCGCCACTAATCCACGGTACTTTCTGGGCAAAGTAGATTTCATCGCCAAGAATTTCGCGGGCTCGAGAAGACGTTCTTAAAGCGTAGAGGGTACTGCTGACAACACTTGATGAGGATTTCTGGTAATTAAAAATTCCAAGCATCGCCGCCCCCACGGCCAACGCAAAAATCGGAAGGGTCTTTAGCCAGCGTCTATTGGCATTGATTGAAGGCAGCTCTCTGTCGGCACGCCGCTCCATCAGCGGGCCGGTGTTGGGTCCTGGAGCCGGGGTTATGTTGCGATGTTGAGCCCGTCTCAGAAGATTAGGCGCCGAGCGCATGCCGACGCGGCTTTGAAAAATCCGCCGATACATCCTGCTTTCGGGTTGAGGATTGAGAAGATGTTGAAGAGGTTTGGAGGAGATTGAGCCAAGAAGGTACCTAACAATTGTGTCTAGCTAGTGGCTACAACGGTCGGAACGGGTCTTGACAAACAAAGCAAACTCCGGGAGATAGCTCAGCTCTATTTTTCCGGGAGGGGGAATCAATAGTAAATCATACGATAATACCAGTAATACTCCCTTTCTTCCATCAGGATTCCATCCGTCAATGATGTCAAATCTGAGGCTTCGAAATGTTTTCCAATATCCGGGAGATTCTGAGATTGAGCCTGGCCGCGAAGAGCTGGATGAGGAAGGTATGGTGGGATATGCCTTTTCCCCATTGTTTCGATGCTAAGCAAAACCAGAGCAGGAAAATACAATAAACCAATTATATGATGAAAATGAAAAACGTAACAAAGAATATAAAGTATGAAATATCACATGTTGTCTTTCTATGGCATACTTGACAGCAGGTAGAAGAAGATACTAACTTGAATCAGGTGGCCTTCTCCCTACTCTCCTTTATATCAATTATTCCTTTTGTCTATGAGATGCTATTGACTACCTTATCAACCTATGAAAGACTTCTATGCATCTCTAGCATCATATCACTTATTTTAACATCTTATATGATGTCTCACCAATTATGGCAGAATTTAGCCCTTTGGCCTTTAAATTCTCTGCAGACGAAAAAGACAGAGGCCTTCATTACTTCAAAAATACTCTCTTCTTTAAACGCTATGATTTGTGGATGCCTGGTATTGGGTGTGTATCTAATAGAAGCAATGGGCTGGCCGTGCAACTCTCACCTACTTTTATTTCTGACTCCAGGAGGTTAGTTCATTTTCTATGAAACTTGGATTAGAAGCTGACTTGACATACAGCAATGTTGATCGTTGCCTTAATCGTCCAGGCACTGATGCATTCGATTGATATAAATCATCTTCAAAGTCTTCGTTACGCTTACAAAGGGGCTTAGGCACCTAACAAAAGCAATGAACCAATCATAGTATCCATATGGCGAATTATATGCCTGGATCTTCAGCCATGCCTTCTCTCTAACTCGTCCATAAACTATGACAATGTATCTAAGGCACTTTTTGCTGCGAATGTCGGGTTCAGATCTGACTCTTTCCATGTCATACGTCCATTGTGAAACTGATCAATTCCTTGGGAAACCATTTTCAGTGCAGGATCAACAGGAATGTCCTCAAAATCCGGAGAGTCTTTCTGTATTGAAGCAGGGTGCTCTTCGACGCCAATGTGATGATCATCGAGTGGTTGAGTTCCACTATCAAGCTCATCAATGATTTGTTTCTTCAAATGTTTCTTGGAAACCGAGAAGTCTTCCGAGGAATCGTCGTTAGCCTTTTTCATCCACTGAATATTTGAATGACTGAAATTGACCAGGACCTCTACACTCCTGGGGTCTGCTATCTTTTTTGTGTCATGACCAAGAGATATGCTGGTATGTTGAAAAGGAGTCATGGAAGGGTTCCGACGGCAAGCTCCACAGTTGCAAATTTTACGACATTTTGGGCACTCCCACTTAAGGGTCTCCATGATTTCCTGCGGTTTCCAGTTGAACGCCCGAAAAAGGCTTCCATAACAGTACTTTCCGTCACAGGTTGTGCAGGATGCAAGCTTCCAAAGGGGATCTAGTGTCTTGCACACATGACAGCGTCCCATTTCCTTGAGCCACTTCGCGGATGGCTTACTCTTCTTTCGTCTTTTGTGAGCTCTCTCGACATCTTCATCTAGGTCTAGCCCATCCCCTTCAACCTCGCGGACAACAGGCTTGGTAATATCCACCCATGGTCGCTTTTTTAACTCCTCCTGGCAAACCTCAGCAAGGGCTTTTTTTCCAGTTAGCCCACGAGCCTGGGAGAGGCTATGGCAAGAACTGTCGAATTTGAGAATCTGGCGCCACCAGATTTCATGATTTTCTATGAGTTCCCCCCAGCGAAATTGCTCAACCCATTTCAATCCTGAAATACAGGCGCAACTCCTACCCATTGCGTAGCACTCCATGCAAATATCGTAAGGGTCCATCTCTGTCTTCTGCTGGTTCCCTGCGCACCATGGGCAAGAAAGAAACCGGTTAAAAATGTTGCAACGGCAGTACGAACATGTGATGTTGCCATCAAATGGAAGAAACTCGACATTCTCTTCATGTAACTTCTCTGAGAAGCTTTCGGAGACAAGGATCTCTGTAAAAAGAGTAAATAGCCGCGTGAAATCTTTCTGTAACCGGCGGACCTTTAGTGGCAGCACGCCACTGTGCCCAGACTGGCGCAGCCTGTCCGAGTACTGCTGGAGAGCATAGTACACAATTGCTTTGTTCTTGTACTGCTCATCACGACAAACCATTCTGGCGCCATGTAGAGCTTCATTCAGAGCCATATCCAACGTCTCCACAGTGGTACGATTCCAGGCTATTTTCATTGTGCGTGTGCCCCTGTTCCAAACTTGGTGGACAGCTAGGGGAGGAATCAGAATGAAATCACCTAGCTTTTGCTCGACCATGTAGGTCTTGAAAGGAGCCAACCTCCAAGCATTGAGCTGCGCAAAGTGATCCTCAAGTTCGATGTCATGGCCCAGTTTAGAAATCCAATATTCGGCTGCCATCTTGCGTTCTTTGCTTTCAGTCATGAACCATATGGAAGATCCTGGTTTGGTTTTTTTCCCGTACTCAATGAGTCCTGTAGACGTCTCGACCATCAAATTATGACCGAGACTAGCACACATTTCTCGATGGGATGGTGTATATGTGCCTTCATGTCCTATATAGCACATAAGGTTGTCTGCGCGCATGTTGATAGGTAGACAGCTCATAAGATCACCAGCCACTGAGACATTTTGTCTGTTTAGTGATGACTGACTTGGAATTTCACCGTCATTATCAAGTATGCTCACGGAGTTATTGTGATAGAAAAGCGCGGGGGGGGTCATGTCCTTCAATTTCTCGTACCATAGCGCAGGGCAGTCGATATCCTTCAGATATATGCGCTGACGATCACGGTCTTTATAGTTACGCTCGTTCCACTGGTCGGTCAGAAGAGGCATGCTTTTGAGGTAATGGCCAACAGTGAGTGCAAGGTTGGATTTGTTCGTCAGATCGCGGGCGGTTTCAACTTTGATAAATTCGCGCATTTAGAAGAGAACAGATGATACTGTTAGTATTGGTGCTTACCCTTTGAATTGTAGTTGCATCTTAACCATTTCTCAGAGAAAACATCCTTATCAAGTAGCTGTTCAAATCCCTCGATGACTAGCGGTTTTCCGCCAATGACCACATGAAGCAATACTAGCTTTTCAAACCTGTCTAGTCCTTGCTCCTCGATAGACTCGTAGGGTATTCTCGGTGCCAATTCGAAGTTTGGAGTAGACTCCACAAGAGATGTAACGTCCAGGTCCGGTGATATTGGTTCAAAGGACGCGCGGGAGCGAGGGGTAGGCATTATGTTGGTTTGAGTAAGAGGAGAGAGGTCATGGGGTTGATGAAGTATTGTTGAATTGTTGAAGGTTCGGTGAAAAGTTAAGCACTCATCTATTCCACTTGTATCTCAAGAGCTACATCAAGACGGGGCAGGAAATATAATCAATGGTCGGAGAGAGTGGTACAATCAAAAGGGCATTGATCAGTTTAAATGTTATTTTTAGGTACCCTTGGTATTGGTTGTTGAAGAGAACTTCAAGGGTCAAAGATATATAAGGACGATGGTTCCTTAAGTAGTATTACAATTTATATTCACACCATGACTGTCTTTAAAATGAAGAATAGTAACTTACTCCATAAAAAAGTTCTTAAAATTGTTGATATCATCTCACAAGAAGGTGAATGGTTTTAACTAAAAGAATAAGGCAGTGAGTGATGTAGATATGATTCTGTTCTAACCTATAATACCCTTACACTAGATGAGAAAAAAATGTCCACATGAAGGCTATATAGACATGAGGTGAATACTCATGTTTAGCACCCGAATAATATCTAACTATATATAGAAATAATTGAAAAAGAATGTATAAATTAATATATAAAATAACTACCACATATACTAATTAATACCTTAGCACTAACTAAATAATAACCATTCACTATATAATTGACAGTTAGGGTGAACCTATTATGGAAGCACTGTGCTAGAGACTAGACTACTAGTTAATATAAACCAGTCTATTAAATATAAATAACTTATTATATATGACTATAAGTATCCTCTCAACACTCTATAGACTGTAAAGCACATGATAAGCATAGAGTCCCATTGCCTTTGCCGTCTATCAATATGGTAGCCCAAGTCTGCTAGATCATTTTATGTACCAGATCTCTGTCCTGTCAAACAATGGGGTAGACCAAGAAACTCTCATAGAGCTTGGAACATGTTTAGACAAGAAAAATCAAACCTGTATCCGGTAAAACTATAGAGAATACAAGGCCATGCCATCTGATATGATTAGGCTATGCACCCTATCTAGGATGCAACCCCGGTGCTGATGCCCAGATGTCCTTTCTGTTGTATCTTCTGCCGGACCCATGCGCTAGGCATCATAAGCGCCTTTCTCAAAAAGAACCAAATCTTTTCGGAGACATTGCTGGCCAACGAGTTCTCACTGTATGCGAGAGAAAAACATGTCCTTCTTTCAAGGATTCGCTTTGTCCGATGGCCTTGGCATTTTCTCGTAAGCATTGGGGCTTGGTTTTCTATTTCTCCCTCCACTTTGTTTTCGACCAGCCTGCCGTCTCCCATCGCGGTGGTTAGAGTGATGTGAATAACCTGGGTCGTGTTCGCAACGATGCACATCACCATCATCATTGTCTGTATCTGAGGTATCTGAATCGGAGGACTCGGATTCAGAACTGCTTTCACCCACTGGGCGAGACTTATGATAAATACAGCAAACTATCTAGACATCAGCAAACTGAGGAATACCCCTGTTTCTTTGCAAATGACGAAGGCATAGGGACGAATCGAGACATGTACGATTATTACACCCACCTTTTGAGCTTTTCTTGCCCATTCCTTCATTGTCGACAACATCCTCGCTCCATCTTATATGACGACCAGCAGCAGCTCTTTCATCAGCATCGATAGAATCTAAATTCTCTTCTCCACGTAGTATAATATTGCCGGAAATCCGAACAGTTGATGCGCGACTTTCCGATTCAGTCGCGGTTTGAACCTGAGGGGTTTGCCTTGCTTGGAGGGTGGCAGGCCGAGTTTGAGACATCCTGTATATCACGATAGCAGAGCAACAAGCAGGCTTTTAATGCGATGCGAATGAGCTGCGGAATGTAGCAGAAGCAGTAATGTTCATATGTTTCTAGTATCTGCTCATAGAGAGAGATGGACTATCAAGTAAAAGTATTGGGGGGAGCCACTGTAAGGTGTGGTGTATATTGGAAGTTGGGAACGATCAGTCCACACCAGACCCCGACCAACCAGACTTAGATTAGTACTTTAGTTACCACTCATCTACGGAGTAGAACAAACCATGAAAAATGCCAATTCTTCAGGGTTTGGGGTATGCCATTAGTAAATAGAAAATCAGGTGTGAGATATATTACGTCAGCTTTTATATCATCATATTTGGCTTAGTGGAAATTAGTTAATTAAAGTAGAATTGGAATAACTAACTACCTACCTTATGGAGTACCTAACTACGTCTTATCTATTTCTACTACATATAACTACTCAGTATAGTTAGTTACTAACTAACTATAATTAACTAGTTAGTTAGGTAGTAGGTAGATAATCCAAATCACCATACTACATAGAGTACTACATAGTATTATTATTATCAGCACCCAGGCACCTAAGGTAGGACTGGACCCAACCTATACCCTGTAAATGGAATTCTGTTTTACCATATCAAGCTTACTGTATCGCCTTACTGTCATATTTCCATACTCAATTCTGAACGTGCTGGCATCTGGGACTATGTCTTGACGCCAGAAGACTACATATCTTGCTATCCCAGGGGCCGACAGTCGTCGATACCTGGTCAGCGCCGATATGATGACCAGTATAGCACCTGAACACCTCGAAAATCACAGTTACTCGTAATTCGCATCATTAGAAAAACACCAATTCTTCCCTTCAAATAATAGGATACATATTTATAGCATAATATTAGCATGATGCTGTCCCCTATCAATTAGCTCCCTGGGAAACCACTGCCGAATCCTCAGAGGCTTTTAGTATCACGCTTTCAAGGGCTATGGCTTCCTGTATTTCTAGTCCCTTTGCATGTTTCCCAAACATCTGTTTCATGATGCAAACAAGATCAGCGAACCAACATGAGATGGAAATTGCCAGCATCATAGTCCATACAGAGACCAGCCATCATCCAGTAAGTGTTTGGGAGGGCGAGATTGGGTGTTTCCCAAGTGTTCTTCTGAGGTTGCACACAATAACGATGCAGCATTTGTCTCTCGAAATTCTACCTCTAGTCATAGCTCATCCTCCTGGTCCATCTCTGACGGCTTCAGCAAGCCTCCCACCCTCATTGCACGGTCTCTCTCGGCTGCTTTAGCATCCTTTAGAGCCTGTTCACGTTCTTCCGCATAGAGGTCTGCATTATCGCCTGAGAACTCTTTCAAGGAGATCAAGAAGTCTCGTAGATGTGTTTTGAACTTGTTGAAATCATCATTAAAGGTGAATAACCCAATCACGAATTGTTTGATCTGGATTCTATTATATTGTTAGTATTTTATGAAGGATGGGAGTGTGGGAAGAAGATATAACAAAACAGAAAAAACTCACTCCTGAAGATTCTTGAAAGCATTCTGCAACAGGTTTGCAACATAGCCTTGCAAGAACTCTTTATTGGAGCTTCCCGAAGGCGCTTGATCAGGAGAGTAGATTGGCTCTTGAAACTTCCCAGCCTCAACAAAATAAAACATTCGTGACAAAAGCATGGCCTGGGATTTGAAACCTGAAAATAATTAGAAACCGAATCTTTTTAAGTTATTCAACTGTACATACCAGCCTTGTGATCACTGTCAGTGAGCACAAAGAATACATCTTGCAGGATGGAGATGTAAAATTGGCGGAAAAAGATGCTTGATGTTTGGATATCGGTCTCAGCCATGTTGTTCATTAATTCGAGGCACATCGTAAGACCAGTGTTCTCCACTTCGCGGTTATCATGTTTACTAGCCCACATGCAGGAGTCTATTACAAACTTGAACTGTGTGGCATCAAGTTTGAGAAGAGCTGGGAAACAGTACAGGTTAATCGCTTGAAGAAGTTTGAAAAATTGGACTCGATGCTCTGGGTATTCGTGGAAATCTTTGTTGATCATTTCCAGCGTGCAATCAAACACACTCTCCATGATCGCCGGGACTTTGTCTTCCATCAAATTCTGAAGCCAGGTCAGCTTATCATCCATATATTAAGCCGTGTATCAGAAAGCTGATACGCACATGAAGTTTATGAATGATTGTTGTCATGACATTGAGGACTTCTGCCTCACGTGCATCGGGGACATTACGATTGTAGTCCACAAGGACCGCCTCAAGAAGGGCTGGAACCATGTTCGCATTGACCATCTCTAGGTCATCTGCTTTCTGGACGTACGTATCGATAAGCTTCAGTATCTCCTTCTTGATGGTTCTGAGTCCTCGGACTTTAGGTGTCTTAGTTGCGATGTTTCCTAAATGGTGCTCGAGTCAGACATGGTGATAATGATAATGGCTCAATTGGGGTAGCTTTACCATCGTGCGCAACACTGTCATTGATTAATTGGCTCGATGCTCGGTACATGTTCAACATGTCATGGTAGATGCGGCCAATCTGAGAATAGAAATATGTGCCTATTGACGAGCAGGCTGCCACATTAGTTTTCATGATGTTTCCGATGATTTTTATGGTTTCTCCATCCTGCAGGATAGAGGAATCCTGATTCGCTTGAGCTATGATTGCATCCCAGGCGCTGTTTGGCAGAGACATCAGATTTTCAATTAGTCGATCTTGAAGACCTTTCTGCCCCTGTGCTGATATCATGTAACCGCATGCTTCGTAGAAAGTATGGATTTGCTGAGGTGACAGATCGCATGTGATCTTTCTCATGTTCCTAACGATCTCCTCGATGAATGGTTCATTTTCTCCGGGCTGGAGAGCAACAAAATGTCGCCGGCACTTATTGGCGATTTTTATGAAAGTATCACAGGCCATATCCTGAACACCTAGAGAAAATCAACACAGATATTCATTTTGCCACCAGGCAGACTCACCTTCGTGTGTTTCATGCATGAATTCGAACAATTTGTTGACCACGGTCTTGAGAAATTTCCAGTGAGCCTTCAGAAAACGAGGATATTGTCCCACGATGTACATGATATTACTGGCCACCACAGCTTTGTTGTCTTTGCCCCGTTTCATTTCGGTCAGACCAAGAAGATCTTTGATGACGGTGACAAGGAAGCGCTTCTCGGTTTCCTCATTCATAGCGCCAGAGATTGACCCGATGGCCCAGCAAAGAGTGTTACAATTTGCCCAAGACCATTCGGTTCCATCGACCTGTTTAGCCAGTTTCTCGATCATGATATTTTCCGTGTCCACAACATCAAGATGAGTAAGATAGACAAGACACTCTCTGATTGTCTTGTAGAGTTGAATAGTGTCACTTTCTTTGACAAACTCACGGACAATCTCACCTTCATCATTCTCAACAATAAGAACTTCCTCTGGTCGAACCATTTTCTCAATCATAACTGTTCGTAAACTGGAAAGTATTTCTTCATACTTGTGTTTACGAAGTGGGTAGTTCGCCAGAGTGCTTGGATGAGGTGCACCGCCACTGGACAGCCCACTGACACCCATATTAACCAAAGGATTAAGATCAGTGATCGGGAGTTGTTGCATCTCTTCATAAAGTTCTTGAACTAGTTTGGTCCAATACTCCAAGCAAATTTTGAAAACCTCCCTATCATCAATCTGGCTTATACGAATGAGATAAAAGTGCGCGTGTGTAAGGTAGTCACGATTTGGAAGCTTCTCGATGAGCTAGAAAGATTAGTGGGGGTATATTTGATTATTAGGATTAGACACTTACAGTCAGGTGCGCACTGAAGAAGCTGCAAAGAAAAAGTGCCAAGTTGAGAACAAACTCTTGATCTCTTGAATTACTATTGGCATAGGTCTGCTTGAGGTCCATTGATAGTGGAATGATCCTGGACACTGTGGTCAATGTTTCTGTGAACATGTGCACTAGTCTCTCGTCATAGTTGTACGGTGCACCAATCTGCAAACCACCAATCTCCGTGAGACATTTAAGTGTAACATTTCGAAAGTCTGGAACATCTAAAAACCTCACCAAGAGGGTATTGATGATAGGGGTCTCGAAAATGTACCCAAGGGGGATCCAGTTCAGGAAACGAAGGAGGGTTTCAAGAGTGGCTTTGATGAGACTCGGCTGATTCGCAGTATTCAGGACTTCGGAACACAGTTGAAAAATGGACGAGAACTCCTGGGTCATCGAAGTCTTGAGGTTTCTCGCTTTTGCTGAGGTCATTTGATCTTGAGAGAAATCAAAAACCTCCTCTGAAAGGAGGCGAAGAATTGCCATGTTATTCTCACAGATCGATAAACTGGTATGGCAAGAGGAGATGATCTCGGTGATGAAGGTAGACCAATTATGAGGCCATTCTTGCTTCAGTATAGAGACAAGAACTAGATTGAGTTTATTCAAAAAAGCTCGCTCGCTCTTGAGTTTCTCTTCCGATTTCGAGTTCTCGATGATGAAGTTGACGATGAAGTTTCGGATACCTAAACATTGCTCCCTGGGTAAGACCTTCCATCTGGTCATGATAACATCGTCGAGAACTTGAAGAGCCAGGTCTACTATTCTTAGCAATATTTCCATCAACTGTAGGCTGGAAACTCACATTTGGTTTGCGGATAAGATGATTCTTGTAGAATATCTCCAACAATCAACCAAGCGTCTGGATTTTGCTTGAACTAGAATGCAAAGTTCAGTCAGCTAATGCTACTTTCATAATGACTCTTACTTACTTCTGTCAGAGTTTGTTGGGCTTGCTTTTGCTGTTAAGGTGAGGGATAGTTAGTGAGAATCAGAGCCCGAGTATAGAAGAATTATGATTCTGCAGCCTTAATTATGGAGGATACTTACCACATCTCCCTTTCCTTCATAAAATGCCTGGACGGTATTGTCCAACTCTTGTATGGAAACAGACATTCCGTACCAGAATCCGACAATATCGACTTCAAGGGATGCGGAGTTTTACTTGAAGTTGTAAAATTCTGGAGTATTTTGTGTATAGGTATTAACAGGGAAAGGTGAAGAAGGTTGGCGGCGTCTGCAGGTGGGGTACAGAGGTCTTTGGAGGGGCTAGCGAGGTGATAGTGGTAAGATTTCCGTCAAAAGTTCTCAATAATAAGGGAAAAAATAGAAGGGTTAAATGTAATTTTGAACTATAGGCCAATGAAAGACAAAAGGCTGAAAAATGGAATCAAGCAAGAAGAGTGTAAAACAGTACCCTTTCAGGATTATAGGCTAGTTATACCGTGAGATTTAACTATCCTACCTACCTAAGTTCAACTGGCCAGGCTAAAATAGGTTCTAACTATATCTAGTTAGTAGTTATTTTGAAAGGTGAAGCTTAGTCAGACCATGTTAAATAACTACATGGTTAACTACCTAACTAGTTAGTACTAAGGTACCTTAGGTACCTAGATAGTTAACTAGGTGGTAACATATTCCACATACAAACTACACAGGCTTGTATACCATATAAAATATCAATATTATAACCCTTAATATTACCCTATATATTATATTATATATTCTAGAAATCTCCATATATACTATAGAGGCTAATAGCTATTTATTAATATATTAATATTAAAAATAATCCTTATATTTAGTGATAATTACAATCCTTTTAATTATTATAGTAATAATATACTGTAATTTTTAATATAATAGGGCTATAGAGGGTCTTATATTAAAATATTATTATACTTCTTATATCTTAGCTATAGAGTATTATATTATATATATTATTTAACATCTCTCTATGAAAGTTGCTGGATATTGAAGGTGGTAATATATCTATTTTGTATGGGGTGTAGGCCTGCGCAGCTCGCCCGTGTGCGCGGTTTGTATATGGTTTATATTACTCCGTAACTGACTACCTAGGTATTCATCTCTTAGCATGCTAAATGGCATTAATACCAGGCAGTGAAAGGTGCCACTCCTAGGGATTTAGCAACATTCTCTTCTTCTATACAGAGTAAGTCTGTGCCATATATCGTAAGGCACTAAGGGGAATCTTATGATTACTATATTGATCAATGAATACCCCATTAATTCCATATAATTCCTATAATGACTCTTGCGTCGATTCCTGCATTGGTTCCACGTTGAATCTATATCAAGTTTTGTGTTGGAGGATCCTGTGTTGATACTCTAGAGTCTATGAAGTAGATCTATAGAACTTAATAAATTATAAAACTCTATTGGGTGCCTTAGTTAATACCTGAATACTACCTAGTACCTTAGGTACCTACCTAGTAGGTAAATGATAGAGTACCTAAGTACCTAGGGAACTACCGCCCTCTAAAGAGAATGTAGCACCAAATCTACAATGGTGTTGCTGTACCACTGCCTTATGGTTAGTATTATTATTGAAGAAAATATGAAAATAGAGTAAAATATGGAGGGACTATAATAAATTTTATTTCATAAGAAAGAAGCATGAATATTACAATAGATTTATTTACAAAGGATAATAGGCCTAGAAGGCTAGAAGGTCTTTCTCTCTGGGAGAGCAATAGCAACATTCTTCCACAAATTTAGAGCTCACACTCTTGACAAGGTATACTATACATAAAAAGCTTAATATATTAATTTAATTCTCTACCCTTTAAGAATAAATAGCATATGATTTCCATATATGTAATTTTTTTAAATTGAAGAGCTTCAATTTAGACATGACATAACTAGGTATGGAGTAGCATTAAGCTGACTATTCCTGACGTCACTGCAACATGTTCTCTAGTTACTACCTAGGATGGTACCTTAGGTAGGTACTAGGTAACTAGCTACCTACTGTATGTAAGGTGTATGTAGTATGTACAGTGCCCAAACCACACAACTCAACCCACCGACACAGACCAACTATCACTGCCATCACTGCTAGTACAATGTCTTTCCTTCGACCCTCTATCCTCGGCATCGGCGTGGGCCTCTCCTTCGCCCTGCACCCTCTCTCCCCGCTCCGCTCACCCCCAATGCAGACACAGTACACAGCGCCGCACTCGCGTTCCAACGAGCACCCTCATGAAACAGTGTGGTCAATTGCCAACGATGAGGTCTTGAACAAACAAGGGAAAACTGGAATACAGAACAGTCAGAAGACAAGCACAGGGATGCGAACAGGACTGTTGAATGCCTCAACGATGCGGCAGGTTAGTCTGGGGAGTGTCTTGGGCTTAATGGTTGGTGTGGGATTACGCGCCTTCTCGCGCGCTTTGGTCGTTCTTCTAGGGATGGGAATTGTTATTGTTGAGGTATATATCCAAGTTTTTAATAATACATGGGCGTGCTAACGAATAATATTCTAGTGGGCCGCTGCAAGAGGGTACAATCTCATCCCTGTGAACTGGATGCAGAAGTACGTCAAGGGTGTGGATGTGCAAAGGGCCCTCACGGTGCATATGCCGTTTAAGATGAGTTTTGGGCTTACAATGACCCTCGCTGCTTTTGCAAGATTTTGATTAATATGGATCACCGGAAAACAAAGTATTGGTGTATATATTAGAAATCGGGACTGGTCAAAATAATGTACGGGTGATATTTCATATTGGGTATCACGTAAAGGTAGGTATGTTAGGACACTGTATGCTAGGCCAGTACTAGGTCTTCCAAAACCCCTTCCATCTCGTCTCGCGATAGAGGCACCCCCAAGATCTCCATCCCGCTCGAGTCCATCCGCGAGGTAATCATCTGGTGGTCGTGGAACTCCTTGAGCAAAGTCCTGAACATCATCTCGGACGAGGCGATGAACTCCTCCGCCGCCTTCTGGTACAGGGTGCGGAACTCGATACCCAAGTCCCCTGCGCCGCGAGCTCCGGCCACCTCTCGCCCTTCGTCCTCCTCGCCTTCTAGCTCGTCATCCGACATGTGACCCTCGTCTAGCATCGTGATCAGCTCCGTCAGCAGCAGCCGGTATAGGTTGCGCGCGTTCTCCGGCAGACTTTTCAGCACAAAACCGACCCCGTCCTTGCCGCCCACACGTCGACCCTTGCGGCCCAGTAGGCTGTGCACCTCTTCCACCACATCAACCTCCGCCTCGTACGCGCTAAATGTCGTGCAGTCGTGGAAGACGAAGTTGAGCTGGTCCTGCAGGCTAATGTCCCACATCAGGCCGAAATTGGGAGTGTCCGCCGTCGCCAGCACTCGGATCATTGGTGTCGCCGCCAGTCGGGCCAACAGCGCCTGGCCCATCGCCCGGCGGAGCGGAGGGGCGTCAATCGAGTTGATCAGCACCGTCACGGGGAGTCTCAACGGCCGAGACTTGAGCGCCGACTGAAGCAGCTCTAGCACCTCCGTTGGCTGTGACCCCAGCTTTGACGGGAGATCAGCGCCGAGCACGGCTGTGGCGACGGTCGCGAAAATCGACCGAATCGAGATATTCGGCGTGTAGCCATTGACTATAATGATAGTAGGCGCAGCGGCGTCCTCCCTGCGTCGAAGGTATAGCCAGTCCGCAAACTGCTGCACCAGGTTTCGTTTCGAGCCATATCCATACAGACAAACGTTGAAGTCCTCGTCCAACTCAAACTCCCACTGCGGGAACGATCGCTGGTGAACCTCCAGCAAGAAATCCTTTTCGGACAGGTTCGGATCCTGGTGATATGCCAGTTTCTCAAAGTACTCCTCGTGAGTAAGCAGATTGACTTTGTTGAGGTTATTGTTCGACGTGCGAGGAGGCCCCGCGCGGTTCTGGAAGAAATATCTCTCGTGCGGTGGCAGCTCGCCTTCTGGCGTGGGCGACCGCTTGTTCTTCGCGCCTTTGGGTCGCCCAGCGCGACGCTTTTTTGTTTCTGTTGTCCTTTTCTTCGCCTCCCCACCATTCGTGCCCGTTTCGATTGTCTGCCTCAGATCCGGGTTCTCATTGACAACAGCAGCTGATTCGCTCTCCTCTTCCAGAATCTCCTCCGCCAGTCGATCAGCTCCATCCCATACATCGTCTTCATCTTGTTCGAGCAAGAGCCGGACGCTTTTCCGTTTTGCCGACCGATCGGCATTTATCGCACGAGACGGCGTGGATGCAGCAATGCGTTTCGTAGGGGTCGCAAAAAGGGAGGTAGCTTTCGATTTGTGGGTAGGTGTCTTGAGACCCGGTGGGTTTAGGCCCGATGTAGCGGTAGCATCATTCGACTTCCTCGGCGTCGATTTTGCTCGTTTCGATGGGCTCGCTGCCTCTGTAGCCTCATCTGCGGCCACTTCATGGTCCCGGTAATTAACGGTCGCTGTCCTCTTCTGCCTCTTGGGCGTGGAAACAGGAAGCTGGTCCTCACCCAGCTCCGTGCCTGGTTGCCTGCGCTTCATCTCCGTCAGCCGATCGGGAAAAAAGAAGAAATGAGAACGAAATGTGCAAAAGGAAATCCTACCATCCAGACGCGAGTATATCTCCCTGGTTTAACTTTTCCAGCCGGTGCCAGCACAAGCAAGGGGGCTACGGGCAGTTTTCCTTCGAAGCGTGTCTGGAACGCGCCGAACAACGCTCTGCCGCCGGGTTTCTCCGGCTCCGTGATATCAAAGAACAACCACCAGACAACGATTGCTCTTTCCACACGGCGGACTTCGAAGGCTGGGAGTGTGAGCTTGCTGCGAATTTTGTTCAGGAGAGAGCTGCAGACGTGCGGTTCGGTTTGGTGTGATTCAAGTGTTAATCTCACGCAGTCCCCGTTGCTCCGTCAAGCTATTCGTGAGTCATTCCCATCTAGCTTTCCAGCCTCAATCCTTTCGTTCTCCTGGACATTGTCTAGATTTTTCATTCCTATTACCGCCGGTAATATGAGATATATGGTCAATCCTGTACAAACAACGGTCACGATGGCTACGTTTGCACGCATGGCCAAAGGTCAGGTGCGCTTCTATTCTGCACCGCTAGACATGGCGATTCCGGCCTCGAAGCAGAAGTACATCCCTACCTCTGGCACTTATCCGAAGGGATTCAGTGTCTCCGGTGTCCATGTGGGAGTAAAGGCGTCCAACACGAAGTTCCCGGACTTGGCGTTGATATCTTCCGACGTGCCCTGCTCGGCGGCTGCGGTGTTTACCACAAACAAGTTCCAGGCAGCTCCGGTTCAGGTCAGCAAGAACACGCTGCAGAAGTGCCAGGGCCAGGGGATTCGCTCAGTTGTGATTAACTCTGGCTGTGCAAATGCCGTCACCGGCAAGGGTGGTTTGGAGGACGCTGCCAACATGGTTGCCAAGGTCGATGAGTGCAACGGGCTTGACGAACCTAGCACCATCGTCATGAGTACGGGTGTGATTGGGCAGCGGTAATGCCTCTCTCCCATATCTTTCTATAAATGCTTATTTTCAGGCTACCCATCTCGAAGATCCTCGACAAGATCCCCACCGCTCACGCGGCCCTAGAGGCCTCGCACGATGCTTGGCTCACTACCGCGCGTACCATCTGCACCACGGACACCTTTCCCAAGCTTCTATCTCGGACTTTTACCCTGCCCTCCTCGTCTGGAACAACCTACAGTCTTGTGGGGATGACGAAAGGCGCGGGAATGATCCACCCGAACATGGCGACTCTGCTAGGCGTACTGTGCACAGATGCGCCGATCCAGCCCTCCGCACTAAAGTCGTTGCTCACGCACGCCGTCTCGCGCTCCTTCAATTCTATCTCCGTCGATGGTGACACCAGCACCAATGACACCATCGCCCTGCTGGCCAACGGGGCCGCGGGCGGCACACCCATCGCATGTGACGGCACCAATGGCAATAACAACGAAGATTACATCGCCATGCGGGACGTGCTGACCTCTTTCGCACAGTCGCTGTCGCAGCTCGTCGTCCGCGACGGTGAAGGTGCCACGAAGTTCGTGACGGTGCGCGTCAGCAACGCAACGGACTATGCCTCCGCGCGGGCCATTGCGTCCACTATCGCCCGCTCCCCGCTCGTTAAAACTGCCTTGTACGGCCGTGATGCCAACTGGGGCCGTATCCTTTGCGCGGTCGGGTACACCCCGGATGTCGCTGAGGGAGTTGTCGTCCCTGAACGCACGAGTGTAAGTTTCCGCCCCGTCGACGGATCCGCGCCGCTCCACCTGCTCGTCAACGGTGAGCCAGAGGTCGTCGACGAAGACCGCGCGGCTACTATCTTGCAGGATGAGGATCTCGAGATTGTTGTGGATTTGGGCGGCGGCAAGAGTGGCCTGGGAAGCGAGGAGGCCATCTACTGGTTTTGCGACTTCAGTCATGAATACGTGACTATCAATGGTGACTATAGGACATAGTTTGTCGCCATATGTAAAGATTATCGTTACATTTAAAGAAGTACATACTTTCAAATGCCATGACTGGATCAAGACCAACTTATACTTGCTACCATACTTGACTAATATATATACGGCTAGGCAATGCTCTGTTATACAAGGTTCCCAAAAATACTACCGGTACATTTTTCGAAATTAGAAAATGATAATCCGATGCTCCCCGTAACGTTAAAACCACAATTCCTTCCCGCCGCTTGGAGATCAAGTACGCCTTACATCTTCGAAGTTGCAGAAGTCACGGTGCCGACGGGCAGAAGCGGAAATTTGTGAACGATAAAAAAAACATGAATAAAGTAGTAGTATAGCCAAGGGGGGATATTATCCCTTGTCATGCTTCTCATCAAAGATTGTCCCGGGGCTTAGTTGCCAGGGACAAGACCCTTGAGGCCTGAGCCAATGTCGCCTTCTCGGGCAGCGATTTCGAAGTAGCCGTAGATGATACTGATAACTCGTTAGCAAACAGCTACGATTCGCAGGGGAATATTTAACTTACGTCACAGCAAGGAGGATACCAGTGCCGCTGCCAAGAGCGCCAAGGAGGTCAGAGGCAACAGAGAGAGCACCAATGCAGGCACCACCGAAGGCGGCAGCGGTAGGAATAACACGCTTCAGTTCTTTGTACATGCTCTGCTCACGATGGCCGGCCATGACGAGACCCTGATCCTTGAGCTGCTTGGCCACGTCACGCGGGGCAGAGCCGGAGACCTCGATCCAGGTCTTAGAAAAGAGGGCGCAGGCGACAAGCATGAAGGTGATGTAGATGGCAGTGTGTATGGGGTCCAGAAGAGCCTCTTTGAAGTTAAGGGGGGGAGACATGTAGTAGGCGATACCAGAGGAGGCATAGAGCTGGGCGGAACCCTCGCGAGGCTCCCAGACACCGAGAAGGCGGACGAGGAGGTTGTCGGAGAAGCGGGAAAAGAGCATCTGGCTGATTAAAAAGATGTTGGAGCACAGAGCAGACTGCAGCATGATGGGCATGTTGGAGGTATAGAACAGGCGGACGGGGTAGGATCCGCGCATGCCGCGCTGGCGGGAGGACTTGACGGGGATCTCCACGCGGAAACCCTGCAGGTAAATGACGGCGGCAAAGACGAGCAAAGTGGCCAGCAGGTTCATGACGTTGGGGAGGTTCTGGCGGTAGAAAGCCTCATATAGAGCACGCTGCTTGTCGGGCCAGGTCAGGAGCAGGTGGAACAGGGCAATGATTGCACCCTCAAACTCGGGGCCACGGCCGGTATTGATAGTGGTGGGCGAAAAGGCCTTCCAGACGATTGACTCGCAGATATTGGTAGCAATGAACAGTGAGATACCGCTGCCTAGTCCGTAACCCTTCTGGAGCAGTTCGTCCAGCAAAATGACCACCAGACCGGCGACCACAAGCTGGACAATGAGGAGAACACAAATACCCGCTCCCAGATCGCTGGGCTGCCCGTACAAGCCGGTCAAGACGTACACGCAGGCCTGGCCAAACGAAAGGATAATGGCAAACAGCTTCTGGGCGGTCTGATACAATTCACGGTCGGTCTTGAGGTCCAGGTTCACATCAATGAGGTGAGTACCGGCGAGGAGCTACCGGGGATTAGACAATTTACATGCAGAGTAAACCAATCGGCGACTTTCTAACATACCTGGAAAACCATGCCGGAGGAGATGATGGGGGTGATACCCAACTCCATCAGAGTACCTCTATTACTGGCCAACATCATACGTAGCCAGTACAGGGGATCCGACGTGTCCGAGGAAACAATGCCATACAATGGCATCTGGCTCATAACCAAGAATATCAACAAGGTCAACTATTATTAAACCGTCAGCTGTAATCCTCGCTTTCCTCCTGCACAGAAAAAACAACATACACCTGTCCACATGAGCTTCTGGTTGAAGGGCACCTTGGTCTCTGGCGCGGCCACCTCCGGGAGGAGGGGCGTAAATGGCTTAATCAAGTCAAGAAAACGAACTGCATTGTACTATCAGCATTAAAATTATTAAATAAGAGGGATCATTAGATATAAAAATCATAAGCGATCGTGTGCTGGGCTCAAGGTACTTACGTCCACTCATTGTGATTGATTCCGTCGCGCCAGCACATACACAAACAGATCAGGAAAAAAGATGGAAGCTGGCACTGATGAGCCAGTCAAAGGAGCGAAGGTCTGAAGAAGAAAATGAAGAAGGGAAAGGGGGAGGGAAGGGGAAGAAGGAATAGAAGGGCCGTCTGGGGAAGAAGAGAGGAGGTGGGAAAATGCCACAGATGAGGTCCTGCTTGACGCCTTGCTGTCCACTTCCAGGGCCGCGCTAACCTGTTGGGGAACTCCTTTTCCGCAAGCTTATAGTAGAGCCGAGGATTGATTGAGGTTAAGAGTCAGATAATACAGTTGATTATCTATTGTATCTACAGTATAAAATTAATGAGTATGGTATTAGTTATTAAATGTTTGAATTTTCTTGGTTTTGTTAGTAAGTATCCTAATATTAAATGAATCTTAACTGAAGAGAGGACCAATTAGGTATTCATATAATTAGAGAGTAAATAAGTACTTTATAGAATAGTGAAGTAAAAAATGAAATATTTCTAAAAGAATCTCTATGTTATATCTAGTTTTTGGCCTTTTGATGCATATTACGCCTCATAGAAGTAACTTTAATATAGAAATGTAAGAATAGAAGGAAGGCATGAGCCTATCAACCATAAGGATAGAAATCACGTTTAGAGTATTTTTATATACTATATATATTATTAATGTTACTTTATATGCTAGACAGTATATTAATAGTTTAACAAATAACTATGTATAATTGTTAGCTAGTTGGTCAGTTCTAGCAAGATTATTATTAAATAGCCCCAATGAGGGTTCTTCTGGGGTTGACAGAATACCTGGTGGCGACTATGCACGGACCTCGGTCAACTATGGCAGAATTTTTTTTTCTGCCATAGTTGACCGAGGTCCATACATAGTAGAATTCTCAAAAATATAATGCCAAGGTATTTATTTATATTTCTTATTATTAAAATTCCTATGTTAAATATATAAAAACTAGTAAGAACTATAAGTATTTTATAAATATTTTATAATCATTTAGAGATTTATAAATTATATTTAAATATTTTTATTATTAAAAAATACTTCTTAATTATTTAATATTTATTTAGCATTTTTAGATAATTTCTAAAGAAATTCCTTAGAACTTTAAGTAATAACTAATTTATTTTAAATATTTACTAAATGATTATAAAATATTTATAAAATACTTATAGTTCTTACTAGTTTTTATATATTTAATATAGGAATTTTAATAATTAAATATTATGGTATTTTAATTACTTACTAAGTAGTATACAGATGGCGGGTAATAGTGGCAGAATCCCTTTTTTCTGCTATAGTGGACCACCGTCTGTGCATAGTCGAGATCCTCTAGGTCCTGTACCTAGGCAGGTATTGTTACTAATAACTAACTAATTAAGAAGGTAGGTGCTCTTACATAAGCCCAGGTATTACTAACTAGCTCCCGCTGCCCTAGTACATAGATAGAGTTTAGTATCATTGAAACCCATATCCATTGCTGATCCAAGCTGCGCACAGCTGGGTGCGTCGACAGAGCTACATGTGCTCATGATTACCTAGGTACCTGGTAACTGCTACCCAGACAGATTTGAGCTAACTGACGCGAAAATTATGTGTTATACCATGCAATTATAGAGTTGTAGATGTAGTAGATTATTGTGAGGCCTAGGGTTGAAGGGGCTCAATGCTCGGTTGAGCTCATATTAGACCCACTTTCGGCTTAGGTCAGAACGCCTTGAATTATTTAACATAATTCAGCAGGAGCATATAGGTGGTGGTGACTATGCACAGACCTTAGTCAACTATAGTAGAACTTATTTTTTCTGCTATAGTAGACTACTATCTATATATTATAGAATTCTGTTAGCAGTGACCTCGCACTGCTAAGGTTGAATAGGTGAGATATCAGTATAACTAGGTAATAGTAAGGTCTAGGGATATAAGAAGTCTATAGTAGGTCTAATAAGAGAATAAGATAAAATACTTAAGGTTCTATTTTATCTAAGGAAGATAGTATATATCTTAACTTTAAATAAGGTACTTAATAAGTGCCTAATTAATACCTAATATTAACTAATAGTTATATAATATACTTAGTTAAATAGCTTATAGGGTGGTATTAGTGCTAGCCTTATAATTATTCCTCCCCTTAAAGAGGCTCAGCCCTAAGCTATTATAAAAATAAATAAAAAATAGCTATTTTTATAAGTAGACTCTAATTAGATACTATATAGATATAATATTAAATATAAGAGTTTATTAATAAAGAAATAAAGAGTATAA